CCAGTGTTGGCACCCTGCTGTGCCTGAGCAGCGGCGCCGGTCTGGCCCTGACGTTGAGCGCCAGTGTTGGCACCCTGCTGTGCCTGAGCGGCGGTGCCGGTCTGACCTTGCTGGGCGCCAGTGGCGGTACCCTGAGTACCCTGAGCAGCAGTGCCGGCGTTGGTTCCTTGCTGAGCGCCAGTGTTAGCACCAGTGTTCACGCCCTGGGTGGTTTGGCCCGCCTGGGTGCCCTGAGCGCCACCAGCAACGTTGGGGTTGGCCACGGTGCCTGCGCCTTGGTTTCCGTTGACGCCAGTGCCCTTTCCGTTCGCTCCAGTCTTGGGAGCGCCGGCGTTCGCGGCAGTGCCAGCGGTACCGGCAGTCTGCGACATTTGACCGGTTCCGGTTCCGGAAGCGAGAGCCTTAGCAGCGGCGAAGGCCTGCTGGGGAGTTCCCTACGCATCTGTTAGTGAATAGGTCCAAAGTTCCGAGCGAGCAACACGTACTGGAGTCTGGCCGGGCAGCGTGGGACCGTTGCTCTGGACACCGCCAATGACACCAGTCTGGTCGCAGACGTTGGGACGAACAGCCTGGCTGTTCGATCCAGTGGACGCCATGTATGCATCAATGTTAGGGAGAACGTTGGTGCAACGGTTCTGGTTGATGAGGTCGATGTTGTTGGCAGCAGCCTTGCCCTGCTGGGACATGAGCTGGAGCTTGTCGACGACATCCTGGAAGGCACCGCCAGTGGCGAGGGTAGAGTTGGCGGCCTGGACGTTGGGGAGTTGACCATTGGCAGCATCGATGACGGCCTTATGGGTAAGCTCGTCAACTTCGGCATTGAACGCGACAAGGGCGGCCTGCTTGAAGGCAGCGTCGTCCTGAATGGTTGGTCCGCTGTTCAAGAACTGGGAGACCATCGAGGTGTCGGCCATCCAGTTGGCGACGGCAGTAGCAAGGTCTCCAGCAGTGGGAGTCTGGCCCGGAGCACCTCCCGGCGGCGGGGGAACGGCGCTGGAAGTCCCAGGAGTGATAGTGCCGGGAGTACCAGCGGCAGGCTGGGTTGCGCCAGTTTGGCCAGTTGCACCGGTCTGTCCAGTTGTGCCTTGAGTTCCAGCAGCGCCCGTAGCGCCCGTGGCAGCTCCAGCAGTTCCAGCAGTTCCAGCAGCTCCAGCAGCTCCCGTGTTTCCTGCAGTTCCCTTGGCGGCGCCCGCACCGGCCTGGTTGCTGTTGGCATTTGCGTTCGCGTTGTTCCCGCCATTAGCATTACCACCCTGGTTTCGGTTGGCAGGAGTGGGGGCAGCAATAGCCGCGGATGCGAGAAGAGCGCTGAGGATTAGGTACTTCATGGTGAAGGTAGATTCTTGAAGAAGAATAGAATAGATACTAAGTAATATCAAAGAGGGCTAATGATGGGAATGAAGTGAAGAAGAGTGAATAGAAGTTAAGTAGCCAGCTAGAGAATGTGGAACCTGCCCATGTAGGAGAAAACTGAGGGCCACGATGGAGGGTATTTGTAGTCGCGAACTTGGGGTTCCACGAGGGAGCTGCACATAGCAAGGCTATCGTCCGCTGCGAATCTGGGGCACGATCCGAGCATCGTGTGCCGACCTCCGCTCTTGGCGGTTGCTGTTGTCACGTAAGAGACGCTCCATGGTGCGCGAAATACTGTGATGCTGCTAAACAAAGAGACCTCCGCCTGACATACTGTCCATATTTGGCCAAAACCGAACGGCAAAACCAGACGCAAAGGCCTGTTTCGCCAGGATACCCGTGGCAGCAGTCATAGCCAAACGAGTCCGATACGTTTTGGGGGTAAAGGCCGATGTTTTGTAGGCGTATGGGAGGGGTTTCGTGTTCTTGGCACTGGCGCCCCAAAGCTTGACCAGAACTGGATCGTTGCTTAGCTCCCGCCAACAAACCCCCTGCGAAGAACACTACTGTATGCTCAGACCATTGTTTCGGAAATCAACTTGGCTATTGGATCGGTCGAGATGCCATGTTGATGCGATTTTCAAATATTCAAACCATTCGCCGAATATTGCCGTCTCCCCAAACGCTTCAATGTGTGATCCGCTCAATTATCGACGCAATTTCTGTCGCTGCATCTGAACCATCTGAATATTGACAGAGGAATAGCATCACATTACTTCGAGTTATTGACTCACGGGTGGTCGCACTCTTCGTCGTATCTCTTGGAGCTTCCTGAAAGAGTGAGTTCAGTAGTCCGAGTGTAGTGACAGTCAAGTCGGGCCCCAGTGGTTGTGCAGACGATTGGAAGTGTGAAATAGTGTATCAAGAGCGTGTAGAAGTCAGACCGGACGTGCTAAAAACAGAATATCGGAGTCCGGTGGGTCGTTGCTGCCCCTCATGCCCCTCCTCGCTAAGAACATGTTTGGGGTTTATGCGTAAAAAAGTAAGACCGAACTTCAAGAATAGGTCGCGTACATGGGATCACAGTGTCCTTCCACAGAGAAATTAGATGGTGACAAGGACGCATTTATTGCCAATCGCATCGCCATCTAATGTATAATTCATTGTCAGCAATTATTAGCCATCGGCAAGCAAGTTTGGCTCTACCGTTTGTCTGCAGGTCCGGACCAACAGCCAGGAACATTATGTCAGGAACATTATGCCTTGCAAAACCTGGGCGCTTCGAAAACATATCACATGTTGGTTTGAGACTCTCTGCAGGCGGTCACTTGGCCTCTGGCAGGGTCTGAGTTGCTTCATCGCGACCACCCATCTCCGCCATTGGGACCTCGGCTCCTTCGACAACCTCTTTTTCCCAACCTTCCCACACCTTCCCACTGGCAGGATCCATCGCAGTCTCAATCTTTCGAATGACTCTGGCTGGATTCCCTGCTACTACAGTGAAGTCTGGAACGCTCTTGGTGACGACCGAGCCAGCGCCTACGACCGATCCTCGACCAATGTTGACACCAGGTAGGATAACGACATTTCCACCAATCCAGCAGTCCTCCCCAACGTGGATTTCCTTCCCTAGCTCCGGTCCCTTGGTTCCTTGACGGAGGACAGGATCAAGCGGGTGCGTGGCAGAGTAAAACGAGACATTTGGGCCGCACATGGTTCGACTGCCTACACTGATCTCGCACGTGTCCAGGAAGGTCGCATTGAAGTTGATCATCACGTTCTTACCAAGCTTTACATTGTAACCGTAGTCCATGTTGACCGGTCGACAGACCCATGGATGATCCTCGAACAGTTTTTCATCCTCTTCTGGGGTTGTGGCCGGAGGAGGCAGTGCGGCCTTGTCGCACAGAATGCTGGAATACGGCGTCAGGGGCGCGGTGGTCGGACTTCGTGAGGCAGCACATACTCCTGGAACAGTTCAGCTAGACGGCGCCTTGAGACGTCACCCGCGTTGTTGTATCGGGCGCACGCTTGTCCGCAGCGGTTACGTTCAGCCGTCAGTTCGGGGACAAATGCGTAGTAAAGCTCCCCACGGAGCATTTTCTGCTTGTTCTCGGATAGCTCCATCGTTGTGTATGCTCTCGACGTGAATGAAAGGTGATGTGACAGCGCTCAGCACAAACAAGGACAATAGGCAGCAAGGGAGTGAAGCAGTCGTGTAGTTGGACGGATGTCGGACCGATACCGTGGGCTTGAAGGTATCACTTCAAGGCGCCAGCACTTGAGCCGTTGGACACGTGGGCGTTCAAAGAAGGGTGCACATTCGGTAAAACCTCGGACCTTGACGGGTGACGCCATGGGCCGGTCGCCTAGCGAAATAACAACGCGCTGTTGGCGCTCAAGGAAAGTACAACAAACACGAGCTTACTATTGTTCCTCTCCAGCCCCACGACGCCTCAACAGGCTGTCTCTCCCGCAAAATATCATGTCTTGGTGACCTCCCTCTCCATCGTACCAGTTCTCACCACCTCCACATCATGGCGTCGCAAAACGGAGCCCCCTCGTCCCCACACGCGGACATCTCGTTCCCCGTAAACCGCCCTGCAGAGCCAGGCAAATGGACGCCCGAGCTCGACGCAAAGATCCGCGCGCAAGAAGCCGCAAACATACAGCTCAAGAAAACCATCCTGCCGCGCTACCTCTGGCCAGGCGGCGATCGCTCCCTTGCGGGCATCGCCATCCGTGCCTTCCTCCTGGGAGTCTCCGGCGCAATGGGTTTCCTCCTCACCGTTGCCCTCGCATACAACGGCATCCGGCTGTGGCGCCCCTGCTTCTTCCTCGGCGTGCTCTGTGTGTTCCACTTCCTCGAGTTCTGGACAACCGCCGCATACAACACGCCCACGGCGTACATCTCGTCGTTCCTGCTCACAAATGGCAGCCGTTATCGCCAGGCACACACGGTCGCCTTTGTAGAGACGATCACAACCTCGTACTTCTTCCCTGGATGGCAGGCGTGCGTGCACCCGCCGTGGGTTGTCGCGCTGGGCGTGGTGATGATAGTCGTGGGGCAGGTCGTGCGTAGCCTTGCCATGGTGCAGGCGGGGACCAATTTCAACCATCAAGTGCAGCAGCACAAGAACGAGGGGCACGAGCTAGTTACAACGGGGCTGTACTCGGTGTTTAGACATCCGTCGTACTTTGGCTTTTTCTGGTGGGGGCTAGGGACGCAGGTAGCTCTGGGTAACACAGTCAGCTTTGTGGGATATGCGGGTATCCTGTGGTACTTCTTCTATACGAGAATTACGCGTAAGTCGAGTCTACTGTCCGCCCATGTTGAATATGGCTAATATCACGTAGATGAAGAAAAGCACCTCATAGAGTTCTTCGGCGACGACTACAAGGCGTACAAAACGAGGACTCGGGTTTGGATACCCTTCATTTGAATAGCAGCATCTCGCTCAGCCTAGGGCTGAGATATTTTAGCTACCATTGTACCACACACGTGCCCACGTAGTTAAAATTGATAACCATCTCGTCGCAAATTCGGCTAGACTCTTGTCTTATTTGGAACACGATCACAAGCAGAATGATTGGGGCTGAAAAGTGTATTGATCGATTCCCAAGGTCGCTATGACGAAAAGAAGTGCCAGATTTAAGGGGGGAAAAAAATTGCCTGACTCCGGCACATGGTACTTTTTAGCCGCTCCTGACAGATATACACCAAGCTTACAGTCATGACAAAGAAAGAAACCGCTACGCCTACTCTGCATCCGTCACGCAACCATGGCTCGCGTCCTTGACGAACCGCGCGTACTTGAACAAGGTACCCCTCCGGAACTTCAACGGCGGCGCAACATAGTCCTTCTTCCTCTGCTCCATCTCTGCGTCGCTAATATTTACGTTCAGAAGATTTTCTTCGGCATCGATGGTGATCTCGTCGCCGTCCTTGACAAGACCAATCGGTCCACCTTCTTGCGCCTCAGGCACGATATGGCCGATGAGGAAACCGTGGCTGCCACCGCTGAAGCGGCCATCAGTGATGAGCGCGACGTCGTGGCCGAGGCCGGCGCCCATGATGGCGGAGCTGGGCTTCAGCATCTCGGGCATGCCGGGGCCACCTTTGGGGCCCTCGTAGCGGATGACAACGACTGTCTTCTCGCCCTTCTTGAACTCGCCGGCCTCAAGCGAGGTGATGAACTCGTCTTCGGCGTTGTAGCAGCGGGCTTTGCCAGTGAACTTTGTGCCCTCCTTGCCGGTGATCTTGCCTACGGAGCCGCCAGGTGCGAGGTTACCGCGGAGGATCTGCAGGTGGCCAGTCTCCTTGATAGGGTTATCAAGTCCCCTAAATATCTTCTGGTCGGCGGGGAAGTCTTGCGCGTGCTCTAGGTTCTGCTTCAGGGTCTTGCCGGTGACGGTGATGGTGTCGCCGTCAATGAGACCTTCCTTGAGCAGGAACTTGCAGAGCGCGGGTGTGCCGCCGATATCGTGGACGTCGGCCATGACGTATTTGCCTGAGGGCTTAAGGTCGGCGAGGAGCGGAATACGGTCGCTGACGCTCTGGAAGTCATCGAGGGTGAGTTTGATGCCGACCGAGTCTGCTATGGCGATCAAGTGGAGAACCGCGTTGGTCGAGCCACCAGTGACGCTGACGAGCACCATGGCGTTTTCGAGTGACTTTCGGGTAATGATATCCCTGGGTCTGATGTCCTCCTTGAGTAGGTTCTTGATGGCACCTCCAGCTGCCAAACACTCGAGCACCTTCCCCTTGGAGTTTGCCGTGTTGGATGAGGAGCCAGGGAGTGTAAGACCCATGACTTCGATGGCTGTGGCCATGGTGTTCGCCGTGTACATGCCGCCGCAGGCTCCCTGACCGTTGCAGGCATGCCTGATAATGTCGAAGCGCTGTTCTTCGGAGATGTCGCCCGTGATGAATTGTCCGTAGGCCTGGAAAGCGGAGACGATGTCGACCTGCTGCTTGTCTGCAGGCATTGACGATGCGCAGCCTGGCTGGATGGTGCCGCCGTAGACCATGAGCGACGGCCTGTTGACGCGACCCATGGCCATGATGACTCCAGGCATGTTCTTGTCGCATCCTGGAATGGAAATGTTCGCATCGTACCACTGGCCGCCCATGACGGTCTCAATGGAGTCGGCAATGAGGTCGCGCGACTGCAACGAGTAGCGCATGCCCTTGGTACCCATGGAGATGCCGTCGCTGACACCGATGGTGTTGAACTGCATGCCTAGCAGTCCCGCGCGCTGTACGCCCTCTTTTACTTTGTTGTTCAGGTCGAGCAGGTGCATGTTGCACGGGTTGCCCGAGTACCAGACGGACGAGATGCCGACCTGGGCCTTGTTCATGTCCTGCTCGTCCATGCCTGTGGCGTACAGCATGGCCTGTGAGGCGCCTTGCGACTTGGGCTGCGTGATGGCATGGCTGACCCAGTTGAGCTCATCGTCGGACCTCTTCCAGCGGGCTGCGGAGCTGGAGAGTGCGCGCCTGTGCCTGTTAGCTGGTGGAGCGGATTGCGCGGGCTGCGCCAGGCATTGAGCTTACGTCTGGTGCGCGTTCAGACGAGGAGCACATCGCGAGCGCAGGAATTGCGCGCCGGAGCGAGCAAGAGAAGGCATTGTGGGCTGCCCGCTGCTGAAAGTCTGGCGCGGCGAATATAAACTGCAGCTCGGTAGCTTCTGCTCGGGGAAGCCGCCGCACCTCCGATGGCGAGAAGTCCATGCCTACACCGGTCCGACGACGTAATCTGCCGCGCGCTGATTGGCTGTGCGTCTGGGCGACCATCGTCAACCGCGACTGCAACCTACGAACCTCACACAGATCATCGTTCGGTGCCCTTGTTCGTCAGCCGTAGCCTTCGCGCTTCCAACGTTCGCATCCGTTAGGCCTTGTCCGCGCGAGTGACTCCACCCCTGCGTGTTCAAGGCCATTTGCGAGAGCTCCGAGATCGGCCTGTCGGACGCTGTGAAGCACGGCAGCAGCTCGAACCGCGGAGGCACATGGACTTAAGCAAGAGCTATCACGGGTCAACTGTGGGAGATCTGTTAGTATGTACGTATCGTATCTGATCGTGCCTGGGTGGTTTCCTCCCACCTCAATCGCGCGAGAGTTCAAGACAGGATAGCACGCCCTCTCTTGTTGTTGCTTCCACAGGCTGAGGGCTCCTTCCTTCTTTGCCAGACTGACATCAGCCCCAACGAATCGCTGCATCCCTGTCACACAGTATTTCCAACCACTGCAAAATCCGGACAACCAGTATGTCCTCCGCACGATAGCGAGCGCCAAGCTGGTGGCCGATAACCACCACCTACACCTCCAGGCTAGGTGGTGAAGACTGCAGATGAGCCCCAACTTGGTGATCACAAGTCAGGCTAACATTTTGCGTGTCTCCCTTCAGCATTTCAGGCTGAGTCTTGCCCAAATAGCTTTCTAGGACGAGTAGACACGTCCCATACTTGTCACTTGAATGTGTCGCATAGGATGCAAACTCACAACAGCTTCTTGATTAGTAGATCTATCAACACGCCCATGTGCTGCGCCCTATGAACTATACGCTCGCATTAATACGTTGTCTTGAAGCGTCGTCAGATATTCACTGGCCGCTTTTAGCGCAGTGACCTTCACTCGCTAGCTCTTCACGACACTGCCAGCACCCTTGGTGGAAATTCAACCGCTTACGTCAATTATGAGTCCATCCCTCACGACCAGTGCGCGGCCAAAGCTGGATATATATATAGGCTGTCCGCCGTTTCTCTACCACTCAATACTTAACACACAAACACCTCACTCGACCGCCCAGCCGCACGACCACACGCATAACATCGGACCAGCATGGTATTCGCAACGGTCTTGCTGCTCCTGCAGCTTCTCATTCCGGCGGCCTCGTTCACCGTCGATGACATCCACACGGGCTTCAACTACGGCGCGTTTTGGGGCACCCCGGATAAGCCGAAGCGCAAGGGAGATTACGGCTATGCTTTCAGGGCTGCGAAAAGCCTGAATAGCTCCGTCGCATTTGACTCTCCCCGTCTTTTCACGTGCCGTCAGCCAGGGACGACCGACGAGTATATCGAGGCCTTCGACGCCGCCGTGGAAATGCACACATATTTACTTCTAGGCTTCTACGTTTCAGAAATGAACAAGTCGGCCCAGATACCTAGACAGTCCTATGAAACGAATGCGGACATGCTCAAGTACGAGCTGAGGGCCCTAGAGAAAGCGCTGGCACATCATGGACGGGCGCTAGCAGATCTTATCATCGGCCTCTCCGTCGGGAACGAAGACATGGAGTCACTCTACTCGGATGCAGTCACAACTGTCGTATCGGAAAATGTCATCACGAGCAACATAGCAACTGTTCAGAATGCCGTCCTAGGCTCTGCTTTCGGTGAACCGTTACTGAACATTATGAAGTACATGACACACACACCAATCGGCCACACAGATACAGCCCAGTATATTGCTAAGGTCAGGCAACGAATCGAATTCGTTGGCGTGAATGCGTATCCACATTGGAGTCGCGACCCACCAGCCAGCGCAAAAGCTAGCTACTTTGGCAGCCTCGATGGCGTAAAGAATCTGATTCCTGGAAAGAAGATATGGCTCAACGAGGTCGGTTGGCCATTCAATGATATAGTCTCCGCTGTTGCATCGCAAGGTACTGCAAACAAAGAGAACTTGCAGAAATACTGGGACGACGTAGGATGTCAAGTATTCGGTAAATACACTAGTTTCTGGTTCCAATTTGAGCCAGATACCTTGCCCGATCAAACAGACTGGTGAGTTGATCAATCCTTTTCGAGAAACATTCGGGTGCGGCGGACTTGCAGTAGAAAATTCATAGGGCCCCCGAAAATGAACTGACGGTGTCTTAGGGGTATTTTGAAGAAACCTCCGAACAACATCATAGGCCGCATAGACGTCAGCTGTGGCATAGGAAGGAAGGCCTGGGCGCAACAACGTCGCGACATCTCGAGCTCCGTAGTGTCTGAAGTCGCGATTCCCCATACCAAAGCTGTACCGATGCCTACAGCCTTACCCAACGCCCCCCACAACATATACAACGGATTCTCATATGGCGCATTCTGGTCTAATGGGAAAGCAAAGAACTACCAGGACTTCTTCCGGCAATTCACGATCGCTAGGAACCTTCCGGACGCTTCCGTTCCCTTCACTAGCGCACGCCTTTACCAGGCCGCCCAGGGGGGACCAAACAAGACCGAGGCTAGCGAGGCTTTTCAAGTTGCCATTGATATAAACACGACGCTGCTCATCGGCATATGGCTCCCCATCGACTCCAAGCTCGATGCCCTTGACAATGCTTTCAAGAAGCATGGGCGTACGCTTGCCGATCTGGTGATTGTTGGGGACTCGGTTGGGAACGAAGATATCTATCGCGGAAGCGATGAATGTACCCAAAAAGAAGGCAAAGCCTGCGACATGACCGCGACTGCAGATGAGGTAATGGCCAACATTACACTTGTGAAAAATCAGTTTCGAATTAGAGGTTGGGACAAGCTGTTCAAGACCTTGCCGCCGATTGGTCACGCGGATACAGCACGCAATGCTGCAGTCCAGAATGCGGATTTTATCGGCGCCAACATCTTCCCCTTCTGGCACTCAGACCCCAGCGAGAAAGCACGAGCCAGCTTCAATGAGAGCCTCCAAGAAGTCAAGAAGCGTGATGGAAAAGCACCAGTATGGATCAGGGAGGCTGGTTGGCCTTCAGCAGGAAAGGGCACGACTGTGAGCCTCAAAAACATGCAAAAGTACTGGTCGACTGTAGTTTGTTCGTTGATTGACAGATACACCATCTTCAGTTTTGAATTGAAGAAAGACTCGCATGACCCAGGTGACCTCGATTGGGGTCTCATCGAAAAATCCTCGCAGAAGCCCAAGATCAGCGACTTGAGCTGTCTTGGTTCACCCGACTTTCCGTCATTGCCACCACTAGCGGGGTTGTCCACGTCGCATACAATCACCCCTATCTCTGCCCCCATGAACACCTCTACCTTTTTGGCTACTTCATTAACTTCGGTTCCCAACGGGTACATGAGCGTACAGCATGTCGATCCTCTCACGTCTCCGCTGACCTCAGTCTTTGCCTCCCAAGACCGAGCGTCATCAAACAGCGGCAGCACAACCCACATTACTATCACTTCTACGATCACCGCCTATGCGGCACCTTCGAACTCTGTCTCTCAAGAAGGAACATCTCAACCTGCTTCGAGCAGTTTCAGTGAGACCCACGTCACAATCACTTCTACTATCACTGTGCCGCCGCCATCAGCATCCGATACATCTCCTTCTGGCCAAGAAGAGATCGTCACTGTGACCAGCTGCTCCACTATCAACGTGACCATAAATTTGACATCTAGCTTAACAGCGCCATCCCAAGCCAACCCCTCGCGCTGTATCGTTGTCGAAACCGATCCAACAGGCAAGCTCTACACCCTCACCACCGACATACCCGGCAAGTGCGGCACGCCTACTCCCACTCCGGCCGCGGTGCAGAGCGCTGGCACGACCTCGAAGCCCACTGTATTTGTGACCGAAGCGACGGGCTGCATTACTGTTTCAAATGTAGATGGCAAGATGGTGTCTGTGGCTTCGAATCCGCCCGTGAGTGGGACATGCCCTACCCCTGCGTATGTTCCGCCTGCGACTGCCAAGCCTACTGTGTATGTCACCGAAGTGGCAGGGTGTATCACTGTGTCTAAGGGCGCAAATGACCAGATGGTGACAGTGGCCTCGAATCCCCCGGTCGCTGGAACGTGCGCTACGCCTACGTATATCCCGCCCTCAACATCGAAGGGCCCGTAAGGATTTTTTCAGTCTTACCGCCATGTTGTTGTCTTGCTGATCTCCCTCTAGATATGTTTCCGTTCCTTCTTCTTAATACCTGGCTCCGGCACCTGCCTTTTCTGAGTAAGAAACCTTTACTTTGGACGAATGGATTGTTGCTCTGTTACGGAGTTACATGATTGCCTCGCTAGAGAGCTGGTAGATAAGAGATAGTTCAGTATAGGAATACACCGTACTTTCACCACGAACGCGCTGGTAGGCGGCTATTCAGCACTACCGTGACCTCGCAGCGTAAACGACAGCAATTCCATCATGAATCCTGTGCTTCCAGTCCTATTTTCTCGGTATCATATAAGACTAGTGACGGTAGGCCCTCAGCTGAGACATTGACCATAAATTTCGCTTCTCTTTTGTTTTCACATCCTCTATCTGTCTTTCCGGCACCCTTACCTGCTGCGATAAAACCGGCGTGCAAGAAGAGGCGACGTCAGGTGGCCCAAGCCAGGGAACAGGGACTTTGATAAGAAGATTGAAGGGCATCCTTGTCTGGAGTGTTATGGGCGTTTTCCGATCTTGTGCAACTTTGCGAATGAGAACACTTTGTATCCCTTTTCTCTGAAAACTGAGGGTTGCACGTTGCCTGTTGGTGGAAATTCTTAGGTTCGCGCGTGGGTGAGTAGGTCCACTCGTCTCAACGATGTCTAACAACGCCTCCAACTCACGAATCTTGACAGTCCCGCCGCCGCCCTGCATCCAAGCCAACGTCTCTCTAAAAAAGTTCAGAGCTAGGCTCCCCACGTCAGCATCATCGCAGTGTTGCGTGCACACGGCAAGTGGAGCACAGAGGACGTGGCTGCCAGCACATCGCGTACCCAGGGACCTTCCTTATTGACAGGAGGCACTCTAGCAGACACGGCCTCGACCTCAAGCCTCGCTTCAGACATTGCGGGTAGAGATGCGGTTCGTACGAAGTAGCGTCAGCGTGTTGGCATTGCCTGCAACCACTTTCGGACGCGCAGGTCATGACTCGCGAATCACAGCGCGTGCTGAGACACCGCTTGACTGCGCGCTTCCCACGATGTCGTGCAGCACGTGCATGCTAGCTCGCGAGTGCACACCTCGCTTTGCCCAATTGCCTGCACGGGAATACAGGCGATGGTGCACCCGCGCATGGAATGTCACTATCGCGGCTGTGCCGATAGCTACATCCTCAGTGGCAGTGGGGTGCAACCACGACATCAAAAGCTTAGCTTGCAGGCGTCCCACGTGATGCACTCGTGCACAATCCTCGAGTGCTCCATCCGGCCGTCCAAGAAGACCTTCAATGGCCAACATAGTACAAAATCAAAACTCTATTCAATCGATAACGCTCACTCTGTGGTAACAAGGCCTATCCAACCTTCGTTGTGCTGTACATCGACCCAGAGACCTAAACTACAACATGCATCTCCCGCCGGAAATCCACGACGAAATCCTCCGCTATCTGGACCGACAAGACATAGGCATATACCGCCTCGTCGGCCGCAGCTTCGCTACCGCAGGAACACCACAGTTATTCGAGCGCCTGCACTTCCGCACCTCGCTCGAAAGCCTGCAGCGCCTCGCGCACATCTCCAAGCGCGACTGCGGCGGCCACGTCAAGCACCTCCTCTGGAACACCACGGGCGCTGAGTTTGAAGCACGAGCGTTCATGGAGGGGCTCCGCACACGTGAGCTGAAGTACATCCTCGGGCGCCTATCCCTTGACACGCCCACACGCACAGTCACAGCTGTGGGAGAGCAAGTGGACTTGAGCCCCAGCCTGGGCGCCTTCCTCCTAGCCGCCATCTTCTCCGGCTTCCCCAACTTAAAGAGTCTCTACGTCCTGACCTTGCGCACTTCCCCCAGCGCCTACGGCAGCGACGGCTGGGTGCAGAGAGAATTCGACGCCACGTCCGACCCCTGGCCCGCAGCCTGGAAAGCAACACACGGGTGTCCGCGCTGCCAAGGTCTCTGCCAGGCCGTCGTGTCAACAGGCAGCTACGAAATGCAAGTCGGGGCGCTTGCCGCGCACGCCACGGGCCACCCGCTCACGGCGCTGCGCGTCGAGCATTTGTATCCGGCTGGGGTGGTGGTGACGGGGTACGAGAAGGCGCTAGCGCATATCACGAGCTTGGATCTGGTGCTGGGCATGCGCAAGAAGGATGTAGGTTCCGTTCAGCGGATGCTCAGGGCAACACCACACCTGCGCGTGCTCAAGCTGTGGCTGAACTCTGGGAGCTATTGGGCCGACGTCGACCATGATACGCCGCTGCCGAATCTCGCGGATATGCTCCTTGGGCAGGATAGCCTCACAGAGCTTCGTGAGCTCGAGGTGCATCAATTCGATGTGGCGCCGGCCTTCCTAGAGGCTTTTTTGCTGAGTCATGCCAGGACGTTGAGGGTGCTCAAAATGCATCGCATGAAGCTCTATCCGAGGGGATCTTGGATCGCGCTGTTTGGGCTGTTGAAGGGGAAATTGGCGCTCGAGGTGGGTTGTTTGTGTGGGGAGTTTGAGGGTGATGTCGAGCAGGGGTACGGAGAAAGTTGGGATATGGATGAGAAGCTCGGGAGAGATATGGAGAGGTGGCTATTAGAAAAATAAATCATAGCCGTGGTAGTAAGTATGTTGGCGTGTGAACAGTGCATCGGATGGAGAAGTGGGCGAGGGTATTCGCTTTCTCATATTATAATTACCCAAGTGCGAAGGCCCAAGGGCTACCAGGTTTCCTGCTTGTATCGCCCACTCTTCTCCATCGCTGCTAGATACGCTTCGGCCGCTGCCCGTTCCAGGTTTCCGTGGCTTTGGAATGCCTCGATGAGCGCCTCGCGAATCGCCTGTGGCATTCTACCCGAAGAACCGCAGATATACACGATGCCATCGCGCTTCGCAAGGGCCTCATACACGCGCGCACTCTCCTGACGAATAAGGTCCTGTACATATACTTTCTGTCTCTGTTCGCACGTCAGCATATTCTACCTCACGACGGCAAGGACTCTATAACCCACCTGGTCTCTGGAGAATGCCGCAAAAACATCTAATGGAATACCCTCCTTCTGCAGCTGAGCCCACTCATCTTTGAAGTAGTAGTCAGATTCTGCGTTCCGGCAGCCGAAGAATAACAGATCTCTCACTGCATCGTCCTTCCGCTGCAATTCCTCCCGCCAGAATTTCCGCTGGTACGTCAATGCCCGCATAGGCGCGACGCCTGTGCCTGGTCCCACCATGACCACGGGCCGCTCCAACTCCGCCTTCGTCACGCCCAACCCACCCTTCTGCAGCGTGACCGTAAGACGCTGCCCTAATCTCAAGCTTGCGACATATCTCGTGCAAACGCCCTGCCGTATCCTCTTAATGACCGTTTTGTATTTCACAATCGCAATAAGCAGCTGTATCCTCGTTCGCTTCTTCGCTTCAGCGGCAGGGTTGAGGGCAGACGCGATGCTGAACTGGCGGCCGCGCATGGTCGGGATGATGCTGCAGAGGCGCTGCCATGGGATTTTGACGGTTTCGAACTCTTGCAGGACTTCGAGGATGGAGCGACGCGGACGGGAGGTGTAGTCATATAGCTCGTCTATGTATTCTGGATCGGTGAACTCGAGGAGCCTTTCTTTTTGGAACTCGTCGGAAGTGAAGTGGGCGAGTTGGGCGAAGAAGGAGCGACGGGGGATGCTCATGATGTCAAGATGATTAGTCAGTAGGGTACGTAGAGTTACAGTTGTTGTTGATGTGAAGTGTGGCAATGGAAGGCGGGATGTTGGTAAGGTGGCGTCCGAGGACGGTGCGAATCGGAGTGGGATGTCGGCGATTGAGGTCCATTTCATGACGGAGAGCAGTTCGTTGACGTCGGTGGGGAAGTTCTTTGGATAAATGGTCAAAACATCTCCCGGTATGTATGGGTGGTAGTCGGGAATATCAAGATTGAGCTGGCGAACATCTTGCCAGTGAGATTGGGGTGTCAGACGATCGTTGGAAGCGACGCTAGCTGTAAGTCCACCTGGTATATCCAGGAGGTCGTCGGGTGGAACTTCCTCGGTGCCGTTCGACACTACCTTGTCGCTTTCAGCTTCATGGTGCTGTTCGTCTGCGAAGTCGAGAAGCCATTTTGGCTCTAGTAGTACATCATCTGGTATCGGTTCGGTTCCGTCCGGTAGAGGGTACTGTTCTAACAAGCGGTGTCGCAGTGTGATCGACCAAGGTAGGAAGGAGCCATCCACCCTATCATTGGCATCGTGTTAGAATTGCACATTTGGAACAAAAATTCGAGGAAACGGAGACACAAATGAGACACGAAAGATGGACATGGACTTGGAAATTGGGAAGTCAGACATACCCTTCGGGGTGCTGTTCATCGGATTCTCCACGATCACAGATGGGCTGCGCGCCGAGCTGGATCAGACGGTTGTAGAGCTTGCGGTGTGCCCAGTTGAACCTTGCCAATCAGAAACCTACTTGTACGCACGGACGACACCAACTCACTTTGGGTACGATGTATCACCAAGACCAAACGACGCGAACCTCAGCTGATGCAGACAACCAGGCCGAAGCCGGGCGCTGCGCAGGGTTCTCCAGAACTTCTGGCTGTTGGCAGGGAGCTCGCCCTGGCCAGTGGTGGAGATTGATATAAGGACGACAGAGTGTTGCAGCAGTTGGTTCTGATGTGTTGGTCAGACTCGGACTCGGCCTCGAGCTTGCTATGTACAGTAGTGCATACAAGGCTGATAGCGTCCAGCTCCACGACTTCAGTGTCGAACCGCAGGCGTTCGGCGATCCTTCCCAGCTCCTCTGCGACGTCTTGGGCGGTGCCCGTCTCGGAGCCATAGACGACCAGGGCGCGGCGTGCGGGCGCGGCCATGGCTGATGGTCGTGTGGGTAGCGAGATGGGACATGAGAGAATGCCGGGCTAAGCTCGCGTCCGAGATCAAGCGAAGGGGGTCCACCGTGGCAGCCGAGCATCGGCGCAATGCGTGCAGATTGGCAGCGGCAGACAGCATTCGGTCGGCTAGTGTCTGGGGAACGGCCCTTTGTGGGCGTGAATGGGCGGCGGGCGTCATTCCAACGGCGCGCACCTCTCGCGGTGGCGTGGCGCGCAGATCGTGCAGTGTGGCGCGTGCCTGGGTAGCGCCGCGCTTAGTCACCGGCGGCCCCTTTCCTGCTTGGCCGCGCAGGTGCACAGCGAGATTGCGTGAGGCTCTGCGCCGGGGCTGCCAGCGGCACTGGCGACGCTGCATTGTCGCCGGCGCCCCTTTTTGCTGGCTGCTGCCCGCCCACGACGCCCGCCCCATCGCGGCCGCCCAGGGTGCCCTCGCGGGCATGGAAAGCCCTCGCTTAGCACGCCCGTTGTGGGAAGGCGCGCCCTCGCAGCACCCGTGCGCCTGCTCCCCTTCAAAATATTTAGCTCCTTTACCTGCCGTGGCCGCCCTCTCTCCCCAAGCCAAGTCAACACTCCACAGCACCATCAAACTCCCGCTCACCCTTCACCTCTCGGGCTCGTAGCTTCCCACACCACCCCCCTCGACAATCCAGTTCCACCTTTGCGGCGGTCCGACAAGCCCCATCCCCACAAACAACTGTTCACGGTCAACCTCCACCAGGTCAACCCGGACTCCAAGTTTCCCTCAAGTCACCTGCACGCTTTCTCTTCGTGTCGTCAATCACTCGAACTGCAACCATGTCCACCTCTGTCGACAGTGTCACCGCCCAGATGGCCAACACTTCCCTCGAGAACACCAACGAGCCCGCTGGCACCCAGCCCACGGCAGCCGAGAACGAGGCTGTTCTGGCCAGCGCCGCCGAGGGTAGGCGACTCTACATTGGAAACCTCGCGTATGCGACCACCGAGGGGGAGTTGAAGGACTTCTTCAAGGACTACCTTGTGTAAGTGCGCCCCCAGCTCGTGTGACGTAGCCACGCAAACCTCAACACCAGACTAACGTGCCCCCAGCGAGTCCGTCACCATCCCTACCAACCCTCGCACCTCGCGCCCCGTTGGCTACGCCTTCGTGGCTCTCTCCACACCCTCCGAGGCCGAGCGCGCCATTGCTGAGCTCAACGGTAAGGCCATCCTCGAGCGCAAGGTCTCGATCCAGCTCGCTCGCACCCCCGAGCAGCACGCTGAGGGCACCGGCAGCGGTGCCGAGGGTGCTAGCGGCGGCGAGCACCGTCGTCGGGCCTCAACCCGCGGACGTGGTCGCGGCCGTGGACGCGGTGGCCGTGCCGGCCGTGGTGGACGTGCCGGTGTAAGTTTTTACCACCCTCAATGTGCACGAGCTACTAACTAACTCTTAGAAGGCCGACGGTACCGACGGTGCCGAGCAGGTCGAGCTCGTCGATGCTGCCCCTGCCGACAGCACTCCCACCAATGTTCCTGGCCAAGTTGTAGGACTCACCGAGACCACCAACGAGGCGCTCACCGCTGACAAGACCGACAAAAAGGCCGCTCCCCGCGAGCGCAAGCAGCGCGGTCCTCCCGAGGACGGCGTCCCCTCCAAGACCAAGGTCATGGTTGCCAACCTCCCCTACGACCTCAAGGAAGACCGCGTAAGTTGACTTCTCTATCATGTAAGATGTAGGGATTGACATGCCGCAGCTCCTCGAGATCTTCAAGGATTACTCCCCCGTCAACGCCAAGATTGCCCTCCGCCCCATCCCCCGCTTCATGGTCAAGAAGCTCCAGGCCCGCGGTGAGCCTCGCAAGGGTCGTGGCTTCGGCTTCGTCACTCTTGGCTCTGAGGAGCTCCAGCAGAAGGCTTGCAACGAGATGAACGGCAAGGAGATCGAGGGTCGCGAGATCGCCGTCAAGGTCGCCATCGACTCCCCCGGAAAGGAGGATGACCACATGGAGGCTCCCGCCGAGGGCGAGGCTGCTGCCACCGCCCCCGCTGGAGATGCTGCCGAAGCCCCTGCCGAGTCCACCGAGACCCCGGCCGCCGCACCAGCTGCCACCGCCGCTTAGAATCCGACGGTTGCAGGTCCCCGGGTTCCTATGATCGCCGTTTGAAAACTGCGGTCAACGCTCACTTGATGCGTTTGTGTATGGAAGTCCGGAGTTGCCTATTTATCATCATACCATGGCATTTAGTCGTCGGTTTACTTATCTCGTCATTTCATGGTTAGGAAAAGTGATCGGAGTCTGCCACGGTGGTATGGTTGGGTTGGTCTTATGCTTGACAGCTGTTATTAGACTTTGCAATATCACCAGATACTTGCACCTTAGTCTAGCATTTTGCAATGAAGGACTGTAGGCATCCTTTGTCTCGTCTCTTCTTTCTAATGACTCATGTATGTACTATTAGGAATGATGACTTGACGACCCATGACGCTTCGCCATGCCTTGTTTGTGGGGTGATGCTTTCTCATGTGATTCGACAACATGCCGCGTCCACTCACTCGACTCCTCCTTGACCCGTATAAAAGGCGAGCCTTCGCGTCAAGCAGTACACGGACTGAATCATAGGCATTAGTCTTCAATTTAGGATACATGGTGTAGACATTTCAATTACGGGGTAATTCTTCGCGGCATCGATATTCAGATTGAACTCGACGACGCCAAACGTCCAATTGCGCGACAACGCGCTCCTTTTATTCCATTTGCTCTGTGGTGCCATCGCAGTTTCTCTTCTTCTCCAACACCGACAACGCAAACGAGAACGACAGATTACGACCTGCGGGATGTTGCAACGCGCAATGCGTCCCATTTTCGAAGCGCGATCGATGCGCTGTTCCGGCGACAAGGTCTCTGCTGATATCAGTCGTGGTGCATTGCTGGAAGCCTAGGGCACGAACGTAGTTGAATGAGCCCCCCACGCTGAAGGCCATGGCAAGGAAACCAGGTTCTGTCACCTGGAGCTCGGCGGGTTACGTCAACTGTGCGGCGGGTGAGGCGGAGAAAGACAACGGTGACCTGAGTTAGGTTGAGGGAAGACCGGACTGCATCTGAGGTATCTGGATCTGAGAAAGAAAATTAACACGTTGTCGGGTAGGTGAAAGCGGTAGCTAGACCGGGACGATCAGAATCTTACGTCGTAAACTGTGTGGGTCTTGTCCCAGAGGTCTCCAGTTGTTTTGAGCCTCTTTTGTTGCATCAGATTCTCTAGGGATCCGGCGAGCGCTGCTGCACTCCCCCATTTCCAGGAGGAGATCTGCAAAACTACGAGCGCATTGGAGTACAGGGTTATTACATCCTCGGGATGGAAGCCGCCCCAGTTCTCTTTCATGACAACGGTGGCTGCTCGATATACCCAATGTGGTGTGAGATAGATGTGGATGCTGCCCGTCTCTACAACAGCCTCGAGGACCTGCCACGCAGTCTGCCAGACCGGGTCAAAGAGAAGGCGGGTTTGATGAAGTATCAAACGCAAGCTTGGTGGTAGCTTATACTTTAGATCCAAAGGTGGAAGTTGGTTCAACGCCCAAGCTTTAGTCGCGGCGTTCCCCTTGCGCCATCGGTTCTGTAACCGATAGATTGAACAAAAGTAGTCGGCTGGTCTGTTGAGATCAAAGCACAACTCTCCCTCCTGATCAAAGTCAATATACTTGATAATCTTATGCATGTATGACAACTCACGGGTTCTGGGAATGTAGCAGGTCGGTCAAGAACGGTAGCGATCTCATTCTCCAAGCTAAAGATGGTAGTGTGCATACGGTGGACCATGTCCAAGTCACTCGGACTCATGTCGTGACTCTTTTGTTCCAAGGCTAATGCGAGCCTCGTCGCAATCGCAATTTGCTGTCCGATGTTGCCTCTCAAAGGATCAAACAGACTGTTAATAGCAAGCAGCAGTATAGCCCGTAGACCCTCAACCGTGGCGTCGGCCGTAGCAGCCTCCATGTAAAGTTCTGCAGTCTCGAGAAAGTTCTGCGCCAAAAGTGTGTAATTTTGGGTGTGAGCCATGCGATACGTGTGGCGTCCAGTCCTACTCCAGAGCCTGTCATCGCTGGGGTTGCCTATTTTCCCAAAGCCCTCTCGTTGTCTAACTTTCTTGCTGAGAATAAGGGGCGTGACGTGGCATCCGATGGAATATATCATATTTAGATGGAACAGCTCGACCGCGGTCAGATCTGACGGCAATTCGGAGGCCAGATAACGCGCTGAGACATCTAAGATTGGGTAGAGGGCTTGGATCTGCTCGATATACACTTCGACCAGCTCGTGATTCTTGGCATCGGATTGTTGTATGCTAATTCGCCATTCGTCATCATCTTCATCGCCAACACCCCAGTTCAGTTCCTTGGCTTTTTGTCGCGGAGACTTGACCAAACAAGCTTCAGCACCCAGGTAGCGATAGCTTCCAGCAGCCTCGGCAAAGAAGTGCTCTGGCTGGACAGGGTGAACCAGGGGCTCGGACACGACGGAGTCAGACTTGAAAAACTCATTCTTCACTACGGACGTCGGCGTGGATGCAGCTGGATCCTGGGGCGTGGGACCCGAGGCTGCGGGCGAAGGATTGGCGTGGGCCTTGAGTTTGTGCACGTGATCGATCAGCTTCGCGATGTAACTGCCAGACTTAGCAATGCGGTACAACGGTACGGCAGGGCACCAGTGGGCGGATGGCGCACCTCCGTGGCAGCAGCTCGTCTTTGCCATGGTCGTAGAACGAGCACTCGACACCCGCTTTTGTGCATTGCCTGGCGCTGTCAATATGCGGCGCCGCTGCCACCACCAGCGGCCGGTACTTGCCTGCACTTGGGTAGGAGCGTGTCGCAGCCGCGGCGGCACTCGCGACATCGCTTGCACGCGGGCAGACTCTGGATCAGGGCATCAAGGTCGATGTCAGGCGGCAGGGTGGGCGAGGCGATAGACATGTCGCGCCATGCTGCGCCCGCGGCACCGCGGGAAGGATGACAGCGGCGTCGTGCGCGATGTTTATGGAGATGCGGCGCATATTGAGACGTGAGGGGTTATCTAGCATCTACCTAGTCCCGCGCTTGGGGAAGCGGCGACCTGCATTCGCCAAGGGGGTCCTGCCACTACTCGCTGCAAGCTACCCACCTCCCCGTGCCCGATCATCACCACCTCGCCGGCACCGCCATGCCCGCTACGTCCCCGTTGCATTTCCCACCGCGCCCCCGGATCCTGCTCGATGCTGAACCGCACAAAGGTGCGGCGGCGGGTGCTCGCCTGCGCGCGCTGCCGCAAGCGTAAACTCTCGGTGCCGTCCCGATCTAGCCTCGCTGCAACTCAGCGCGCGTCTAACTTGTGCACAGTGTGATGGCAAAGTGCCGGCGTGCACCCGCTGCGTTGATGCCGGTGTCGAGTGTGTCGGTTTTGATTCTTCCACCCAGAAAGAAGCCCCGCGGTCCATTGCAGGCTTTCTTGAGGCGCACATAGCAAGCCTCAACAATGCCAATAGTCCGACGGCCTTCCGGACGCCTGGACGGCTAAGTGTTGCGTTTCCTTCTCCAGCTGCCTCTCACGACTCAGAGTCCAATCCCGGTTGCAGTGTGGGAAAATGCTCCCGCACGGACAGCCTTGTGGATCTGGCCATGCAAGACATCACTCCCAAGTTTCTCGGCGTGACCCAAAAGCGACCTTTCCTCAGTTGTGTCGTGAAGGGCACGCAGCTTCCTTCTCGGAAAGGACCCGTGGGCTCGAAAGATCTGGACGAGAACAACCCGCGGTCCATCATCAATCCGCAGACCAACACAAACTATATGGACAGCATCGCCTGGAAAACTGCTAGCGGCTTGTTCAACAACTACCTGGAGCGAGTCATCACCCAGTATCCCATCTACCATCGGAACGATGTCACAGCCGCGTTCAATGCCGTTTACGTACCCATGTCAAGTCCACGCCAGGCGACATCACGGGATCGCTACATTGTCAGCATCATCATGGCCATTTCGCTATCAACCGCCGCACGCACCAAGCAGGAAAAAGCGAACGCTCTGGCGTCGCTCATTGTACGACAAGCGATGCAGTACATCCCGGACGTAGCGACGAACGATGTGCCGGGGTTACAGGCTATACTTCTGTTGACGCAATACATATTCCTTAATCCCAGCATTGCAGACGTCTGGCTTTTGACAGGTCTCATAAGCCAGGCTGTCATCGATCTCGGACTCCATCAGGAACTTCCCAATGATTCCAACATATCAGCTTACCATCGTGACATGAGGAGACGTTTATTTTGGTGCGCTTGGGAAATGGAGATTGGGGTGTGCTGCATCTTCCAATACCCCTTCACCTTGCCGATACAGCCAACCAACGTAGAGTTTCCAGTTGAGGTGGACGACACATCGATAACGCAAACAGGAATCGACTACTCTGGACGGGTATCTAAGTTTACATCTAGGCGCATATGTCTATTCCGGCTACTTGAGGCTGAGATCATTTCGGTCATGTGGCATGGACAACCATTGCCACCGAATTGTCCCTCCATCGAGCACTGGAAGCAGAGCTGTATGCAAAGAATTGAAAAATGGAAGAGCGAGATATATGAAGCAGCAGCCGCTAATCGGGATCCGAGCTTCGCGGAGCGCTGGAAAGAGATGTCATTATATTCCGAGATCACAGTCCCGTATGTTGCGGTAGCGGTTTACCGCCCAACCAAGGCGGTTCCGTCGCCACCCCCAGATCAGCTTCTTGTCGCCTTCCACAACACGGTCTTAGTTGCGAACGGATATTGCCAACAGAACGATGCCGACTACGGGAGAATCAAATATGTATTCCATCCTTGCCACCACGTTTTCAACTGCGCTACGGTTTTCCTCCGGATCCTGGCTTGCTGTCCACGACAAATCTCCGAAATTTACTCCTTTGAGATGATTGAGGATTACACCGTCCGATTTGCTACATGCTTCCACAATATCGCTGAACGATGGCCTGCAGCAAGACGTTGTCTGGATGAATACGAACGTCTCTTGGAACCTGTTAAACAGGGTTATCAAGACTTTTTGGCACGAAAGGCGATGCAAGCGCGGATTTCAGAGACGCCGGCTGAAACAGCATACAACACTTACTTCGCAGAACAGATGGACGACACAGTAAACTCATGGCCAATGTTCAATCCTACAGCGGCATCGAGCATGTCTGATCCTCTTAGCGCTACCTCATACAACGCGCCGTATGACTGGCATACAGAATTCGATCTTGACTTTGGTCGAGAGTCTGGGACGATGCACGATGTCGCACCGCAGTTTTCTACGCCACCTTCATTGTAGCGAAGGCTACGTGTACTATTTCGTAATGTAATTGGGCAGCGGTGGCGTCTAAAGGCACGGAGGAAGCGCCGGCGAGTGTGTGCATTGATTGGTGTTTAGGATATGGGACGCGGTTCGGTGCTTCTACCGCACGTTTCGGTCGTTTGACGTCGATTATAGCGCAAATGACGCCATTTCATATTGTCGGCACCCCAGCACCAAAAGGGCACTCGGAAAATCTTCAACATCGATCTCGGAAATTTGAGTTCGGATCAGGGTGTCGAGCAGGATAAAGCGACCAATCGCAGGCGTGGCCTCGCCTTCCGGCTCGCGACGATCGGATAATATGCAAGTGTAGCCTGCGCTGCACGGCTATCTGGGGTTGCGTTCTCAGACCTGTGACAAGTAAATTGTGACACTTAGGGTACGAGTTCAGTGCACCCCTAGGCTGGGCACTAGAACTTGAGCGAATTAAGCAACCTCCTTTTGCTTGCACCCTTTCTCTTACTGATTCTAAGGTGGTCTCAGCATTGCGATATCACATGCAACCACTAATGAAAAGGCGAAAGTCCAGTTCAAGACTTAAGACCGATTTGAATTCAAGCGGCATACACAGTTACTACCACCAATAGATGTCGAGAGTTATCGGCTGCGCAATCCGTCATAACTCCACCATCCCCAAGTTGGATGTTAAGGACCAAAGCCACTTCAGCACTTGCCAGATCACCTGCTTCTGGTAGCACTTGCCCCGGATCTTCTAATCGAGCTCCTTAGTAAGGGCGGGGCGCTTGTGCAAAGCATGAAGCCGATCTCAGTGCCCTCCTTGTAGCTAGGGCACGTTCCAATCGGCTCTCCAAGGCCCCATTTCTGTACCGGTTGGTCGATGTAATACGCGCCCTGGGCGTCATGTCTGTGTCTCTATTAGTAGTCGCTCCGTTCCTTCAATAAGGAAACTTACATGCACATCTCGCTTTGCTCGCACAGCATCCCCTTACACCCGCTCGTCCCCTTGATCTCCAGCCCAGCATCCCACGCCGGACACCTCTCCGCGTTGCCCTGCCGGTACACGATATCCTTCGCGCAGTCGACGAACGAGAAGTCTTAGTAGAACAGCCCCTTGCGCGTCGAGTACTCGAACTGCACCTGGTTGCCGCCGACGCCGCCGACGAGGCCGTCCGGTTTGGAGAGCTTGTACGTCACGCCACAGTTGTCAGTGCACATCTTGTTGCCCGGGAGGAGATAGTTGTCAATGATTTTGTAGGTCTCCTTGGAGCGCGCGGGGAGAGATCGTTTGAAGGTTTGGTGGGACTCGGACTCCCAGGCTTCCCTGTGGAAAGTGAGTAGAGTGTTTGGGTGGGGGATCGAGGGTGTTGTGTTGTCTCAGGAGACGCTGCGACACTCGACCTTTTGACCTAGTACTGTACGTTCGGGGAATATGTGCCAGGATGAGAAAGAGCAAGCGTACCAGATGTAGACGGGGTAGTTGCAACCGTTGATGACAGTTGTGCCGACCTTTTCCGATTTGTCCGGTTCATTCTCAGTCGGGGGAGGCACAGTGGTGTTGCCAACGAACCACATGGCTCGATTATGGTAGCCATCATCGGCACAGGCGTACTTGTAGAGGGCAAGGAAAAGGAAAATAAGGCTGAAGACCCCCATCTTGATTGCCGAATGATCAAAAGAAAGTGCGGAGTGGAAGAGAAGCTATGAAGGAGGAGGATTGAGAAGAGGTCTGAGGATTTAGTATACATGGACAGGCTATCAAGAAATTGGTGGAGTAACGAAAGCCTCCAAGCTGTATGGTCATTTACTTTTGTTCTGTTGAGTCGCGCGCTAGGCTTCGGGTAAGAGTACAAGTCAGATCGTGATGTGAAGGTATGGAATCTTTTCCAAACTTACTCCTGGCATTAGAACCTTTGTCACGCGTAGTCCAAGAGAGGGAGTAAACGAGCGGAAGCTTATAGTCTCTGAAATAGTGACACAGGCTGATCCAGACATTCAATAGAACAGCGCTATTTTGAATTCAGTCTGCCACGGTCGGAGACACGATTATCTGCGCACGGCTTCACGCTGCGAGCTTTGTGGGCACGCTGAAAGGCTTTACACTATTGAGACAAGTATTTGAGCATATCTAACCTATATAGTGCCTAAATTAGAATAATCGCCGTTACCACCTTGGGACCTAGCACTGTTCTTGGACTGCCAGCGTAAAGCCGACTTTGGTGCAATATGTGCTTAGATATCCGCACCCCCTTCAACACTAACACCGCTCAACTTTCCACTCTTGAATTCGTCCACAATTTGCTCCATTGTCACCCATTCAACCCCTTCGTGTCCATTGATCCACTCAATCAGTCTCTCATGTAACAGCAACACTTGCGGCTTTCCGCTGACCTGCGGATGAATACTGATCGGAAACACAAAGCTACCATCTTCGGGACACTCGCGGTAAAAGTACTCGAATTGCTCTTTCCAAAGCCTCTCAATGACCGCTGTGTCAACGAATCCGTGCGTCGAAGCCTGAGAGAGCGAAAGCTGGAATGGAGGCCAGTCGTCGAGGTGCCAATTTGCAGGGATTTCTACCACTGAGGATGGCTTGAGCGTGCTCATGGGGGACATCCAGTGGGATGCGGGCTTGGAGACGTCGGTCTCGGTGTGTGTGGAGAGGGAGGGGTCGGGGACGTAGTAAGGCTGCGAGTCGTGGTGCATGAACGAGTGGTCGTACTCCTGCTCCGCGGTCAGTACATCGAACGCGTTGTTCGCTAGGGCCACGATAACGCACGATTCCAAACTCCTCTAGTAGCTTCACCGTCTCCTTGCTTGTGCTCCAGGCCGGCGCTGTCCAGCCCCTGGGCCTCTTCCCGGTGATCTCCGTCAAGACTCTGATGCTCCTCTCCAACACATCACGCTGCTGCTGTTCACTTAGAGTAGACACAAATTCATGCGTGTATCCATGCAACCCGATTTCGTGCCCCTTCTCAACAATCTTGCGGATCTGAGCTGGGAACGATTCCGCGGAGTGCGCGGGCGTGAACCATGTCGTCTTGATGTTGTACTTGTCCCATAGCTTCAAGAGGCGGTCGATGCCGACTGTAGCGCCGAAAACTCCACGGGAAATATCAGTCGGGTTGGCGGGCTTGCCGTCACGTGTATTTATCCTAGGGGCGATTTAAGTAGGCTGTAGGGAGCTTTTTGGTGGGCTGCGCACCAGCCAGAAACAGCGTCGATGTCGATGCCGTATGAGCAGAGCGCACGCTTTGGCATTATCGCTGTTTACGGATAGGGGGTGTGTGATGAGGTGAAGATACCAGGGATCAGGGACGAGCTTCGACTTATGTTTCTCTCAACGAGACCCACAGCTCGCACGCAAGAGCGCGCATGCCCGTTCGCAACTGCCACGTTTGCCTTGCGACTCTCTAGGGCTGCATCTCTAGTTGCTAAAGTCCTAGGCATAGCGGGGCGAGTGTCTAAAAGTGATCTCGTGCATGCACGCGATTGAGCCCGAGTGGCGACTAGCTCAATGACGGGAAGGATGAGAGTTGGTGGGGCGCGATCCGCGACGGAGTTGGGCGCTGAGGGGGCGCAATGGTGGGGTAGTGAGATAAGAACGCAATGTCTTATTTCAAATGCAGTGGCACCAATGCTTTTAAAATTGGGTTGACTGTGTAAGAAGTCAAGATGCTGTTCGTTGAATGTCAAGGGCAGCCTTACGAAGTATGTATACGTCATAGTCAACATCCCAGGACTGTCTACATCACTCGGAACTAGATTGAAGTCTTTCTGACTTGATTGCAGATTGGCCACCAACATGGAACCGCAGCGAAAACCGAAATAGGCCGCTGCATTGATTTTTACGCCGAGTTGTTCAAGAAAAATTGCAAGCAAGAATGGCCTGAGGTACTCCAGCACGCAGAAACGTTCGAAAGGACTGCAAAGGAGAAGTGGCCAGCGTACCATGAGGAGATGCGAGGAATAGCGGACGGGTCAGGACGGCATCTCCTTGACATCGTAGCAATCAATGTACGGACTGAGATCAATTTCGGCATGTTCAGTGACGGGTGCACGGCGTTATCATGGCAAACGGAGAAGAGAGCATACCTTGCTCAGAACTGGGACGTGAGTAGAAGCCGGACCACATCCTGAGTATAGCACCTTACGCCCGTGTAGTGGATGGACGCACAAAAACAGAATCTCATCATTACCAAGATCACGCAAGCCGGCAAGCCAACCATCGTCCAGGTGACCGAGGCAGGTATTATTGGCAAGATCGGATTCAACAGCTCCGGTGTCGGTACCCTTCTCAATGCGATAAAAGTCCACGGCGTAGACGCTTCGCGCATGCCCGTGCACTTCGGCTTACGCGCTGCACTGGAGAGTAACACCGCGCGGGAGGCGGTGCAAAAGCTCGAAAGCTACGGCATGGCTGCCTCGGCGCACATTCTCATCTCCGATAGTTCAGAAGCCCTCGGTCTTGAATTCACAAAGTCGACGTTCGCGCACTGCAAGGCGGACGGTAAGGGCCGCATTGCTCATGCGAATCATCTCCTACTGGAGCACCCTGGGGAGGTTGATACAGTGTGGTTGAAGGACTCGCCGGTGCGCGTGAAGACGATGACGAATAACACCGAAAAACTGAGCACCGAGCCTAGCTGGGAAGATATTAGCCGGCTGTTCGAGGACGAGCATGGGTTTCCGCATTCGATATGCCGTCAAGGTCAAGACGGCGGCAGCACGACTTTGTTTAATATCGTGATAGATTTGAAGGCGAAGAAGGGCGTGGTTAGGCTAGGGAGGCCAACACAGGCCGAAGAGACTGTTTCGCTAGAGCTGTAGGCTCGACTTTGAGTACAGTACCGAACGACCCATGTAATGTTGGTTGGTCTGGATCATAATCCGAATAGTGCTTAGATACATGCATTGCGACGGTTCAAGCTCGCATAATGCACCAACTGATTGACTAGGAGGCAAGCCGATTGTAGCCACACACGACACCGAGGTCGAAAGGCTTCAGCGCACTCTCCCACACACTTGCAGCGTCACTTGATCACGTATGCATCATGAAAGATATTTCAATTGATGGTGTAGACCATAATAGGTCATCAATATATTGGTGTTAGAAATTAAGTATCAAGGAATGATCTGGTAGATGCGATATAAACTCCACCGCTATGCTGTTCGTCTTGTGACCCGTTCTGGATTGTTTCAATAACATTACCCCTGCTCTTCTCCGCTTTTACACCCTGGCACACCCCATGTCGTAAAGATCGTGATTTCGTTTCCTCTACAGGCCGCACTTGCTCAGGGCAACCTGGGCGTACTGAGCGTCCACACGGCCGAGCTGGGTGGCCTGGTTGTTGGTAAGGGCATCGAGACCCTTCTTGTTGATGTTGAAGCCAGCAGCGGTGTGGTCGATGGCGAGGACGTAGATGGTCTTGCCCTTGTAGGTCAGGCTGTAGCAGGTGCCGCACTGGGCACTGTTCCAGCCCGCAATGCCTTGATAACCACCATAGTAAGGTGTCTTGATGTTGGCTTGCGTCTGCCAGCCGTACTTGGTGATGAGGCCGTTTGCGCCGTCAGAGCAGGACACAGCCGTCATAGCTCGGGACTGATCATCGTAACCGGTGTCGTATGAAACAGTGATGGCGGAGGCGAGCGAGGCAAAGCCAAGAGCGAGAGCGGAGAACTTCATGATGTTGCTGGAGGTTGTACTGTTGTGAAGCGTATAAAAAGCTGATACAGGCGATTTGTAGGACAAGGGTGCTGGAGAAACTGTCGGTGGAATGATGATATGCTTTGAGAACTGTTGATGAGTTTTCTGTTACAGACGATGCCTACTGCTTTATAGTCAATTGTTTGTACTCTGGTCCTGGCCTGCATTTGGAGCTCGTGAGCATCCATTGAGCTGGCAACAATCGATACTGGATCAATAGGCGCAGTAGCGAGGGCCTACCATGGCGATCGAGCATTCTTTCGCTGAGCCTAAGCCGAAAGCAGGTTGAAGGGCGGTGCAGGTGACCCTGTATAGTGGCACTGGGAAGCTAAGAAATGTAAGTGAGCTCATAGCTTGTAGAATCGGTGCTGGCAGTGCGGGACATGGCTCCAGTGCGGTCACGCTTGAGATTATTTTTGGGTGTACTGCCCGGGACCGGCTGGCCTGTGGGCTGGCCTGTCATGCTTTTGGCGAGCAAATAGGCCGAGGCTAGCGGCTGGTTACATCGGCGGAGCCTCAATGGGCAACCTGTGACAGCGATCAATAAATATTGCCCTGCGTCTAGGACCGTTGCAGGCTGTTTGCTGGGGCTTGCATCAATTGCTGGTTGAGACAGATGGACTGCCAATACAGCACGGGCAAGGTAGCATGCGGAGCACGTCGGAAGCGTACAGCCGTATATAGCAGTCGTGCACCAGAAATGCGGTCAGCGACTGATGCGCATTCCAGCGCTTTCTAGTAACGACATGGTCGGGTCTGTTTTCGCTGATTGCGCAGGTCTTGCTTCGCCGATTCCAGCTTCCACGGCACGGCGTTAGCGTTGTGATAGGAATCCAGCTTCACCGCTGCGAACACGTTCTCCTCGTTCATCAGCTGCAGCTCATGCTGGACAGCTCGAGAGTGTGCGGGGTCGAGCACTGTCGAAATGCCTCGCTCCCGGACTGTTGCGGCGACGATGCATGAGCTGACTGCACAGCCGCAAAGACGACCTCGAGGTGGCGGTCGGTGTCGCGACGGGCGGTGCCATCGGCACGATGGTCACCTGACTCAAGGAGAGGTGTGCGCGCTGCGGTGAACGAGAGCGAGCGCCTGACGGGACGACGGTTAATGATGCGAGCAAACAGGCTGCGAAAAGAAGCCACTGGCGGTGGCAGTGCCGTGTTGGGGGACGAGGTTGGGGAGATTGCCGATTTCCCGACTCCAAGAGCGAAGAAACATCTCGACGAAACGTCGTGGCAGCCGTTCGACCCGTCTGCACCCCAGGCTTTCGGTTACATGATGGCTTCCGGCCTGTCACGACGAGCGGAGAGTTTGGCGGAAGGGGTGCCCGTGTAGAATGGCCCGTGCGTAGCCTCATGACCGTTTCATCGATTCGCAACCGCGCACCTCAGGTTTCATCCCCTACAAAGAAACACGAGATAGCGGCAAGCACCAACGCTTTGTATCGTAGCGCTGTCGCTTTCCAGGCACAGTCCCGTGCTCTAGCCCTCCCACCGCGAATCTACCAGCGGCAGTGGCTGAAATCCCCGCGTCGGTGGTAGACTCTCCCAATCACATTGCTTGGTTCAGCTTTGACTTCCGCATCAGTCATGAGGCGCTGGAAGTACCTGGCTTCGCGACATGTCAGGTCGCAGATGTGTTCCGTCACAACTCCTCGACCGCCAGTCCCCAGCGCCCGGGTGCATTCTCCAGCCGCTGTGTTTCAATCCATCGCCGTATATAATGGCCTCAAATGCGCTCAGTGACTTTCTCCCTCAGGCAGGTCCAGGATTTCATTCTCAATACCATTCGACTCCAACTATCTCAAGTCTTTTCTCCAAAACCCCTTAATATTCACTTTTATTACCCAAACGAGCTAGTCTCTCCCTTTCAAATCCAATCATAATGCGTTTCTCAATCTTCACCGCCGCTACCGCCGCTCTCGCTGGCTCCGCTGCCGCCGTCGACCATCTTGTTGTCGTCGGTAACGGCACCCTTACCTTCGAGCCCGCGAACGTTACCGCTGCCGAGGGCGACACCGTTACCTTCAAGTTCTGGCCCAAGAGCCACTCGGTCGCCCAGGCTGCTTTCGCTTCGCCCTGCACACCCATGGCGAACGGCTTCTGGTCCGGTTTCATCCCCAGCGAGAAGGGCGCCGCCATGGAGACCTTCATGATCAACATCACCAACGCCTCGCAGCCGCTCTGGTACTACTGCTCCCGCGGAAACCACTGCCAGGAGGGCATGGTCGGTGTCATCAACGCACCTAAGAGCGGCCAGAAGACCCTCGCTGCTTTCGCCGAAGCCGCGAAGAATGCCACCAACAACACCTCGCCTGTCACCACCGCTGGCACAGGAGGCATGCTCATGAACGGCACGACGGGCATGGGTGGTAACGGCACCGCGGGCCAGGGGGCTGCCTCAATGATGTCGGCGAGCAACGGCGCCCTCTTCACCGTGGCCCTCGGCATGGCCGCTTCCTTCTTGCTATAAGCACCATCAGATCTCGATACTAGCGAAAGGATACCCGGGCATACAGGCCCAGATGCAAAGCATACGACGAAGAAATACGATTAAGGAGAGAGTGACAAGGACGGATCCGGAATCCAGAACTCGGGGATCAGGTCATGGCTTGCGCATGTACCAGCTGCCAGGCGGAAAAAGTCGAGTGAGATAGTCTCTTGGATGTGGATAGTATTGGCAATTTTCAAATGAAATCTTATTCAAACTCCACCTATGCCTCTCTCTGCAGTAAACCTACCGGGCCGGGTGCTCCGTCATGACTTCGCGATCCAACAGCCTTCGTACCACTTGATGTTGCAGTCTACACTACTACGTCTCGTCAGTAGTTACAGTGTAACAGTCATCCTTACCACCTACCAGCTGGCTTCGGCGCAGGCGCTCTCTTGCAGTTCGAATGCGGGTTCGGGCCACAGTCTATACCATCAATTAGAGTTCTGATAGCTACTGCATACATTCTAACGTACCGGAGGGTTCAGGCATAGGCTCAGGCTCCGGGATCGGTGTCCTCTTGCAGTTCGAGTGCGGGTTTGGACCGCAGTCTACACTATCCATCAGAGTGCTGATAGTCCTGGGATGTATAAAAACATACTGGCAGGCTCGGGTTCGGGGATAGCTACGCGCTTGCAGTTGGCATGCGGGTTCAGCCCGCAGTCTGTTATGCAGCTTCTATTAGCCCAAGAAGTGCATATAAGTGTACGCACAGTATTACATACCACCGGGAATGGCAATGGCAAGAGTGGTAGTCGCCAGTGCGAAGCCAGCGATGATTTGTGTGAACTTCATGGCAACGTGATATATTTCAAGGTACGCAACTTTTCGATTGGTGCAGAGAAACGGACAGTTTTCGACCGTTTCTGCACTGTTCTACATACTCCTTTTATACACCTCCAACACCTTTTCACTCTCCCGTCAACCTTCATAATAGATACGACCCCCAAATACTGAATTGTAAACTCGGGTACTCGGTTCCGATCTTCTACCCTTCTTTAGGCAGGTAGAGGATCCCTAGCTCACCCAAGCGAATACACCAAAGCGCTGACGTTAGATGGCAATTTTACGATTGGAGGAGTCTAATCTTATCAAGCAACCGACGGGGGTGCAACAAGCTCTAGCCAAGCTTCAAGGCGCGTTCTTGATGCTTCGAGAAGGTGAGCTTGCTACGGCCATTGGGGGCACCCATGGGTTTCGCACGGGAAGCCGGATATACCAGATTAAGCATGGCGAAATGAAGTTTCGTACGGTAGACAGTTTACTCCGAGGTCGAACGCGCTTGCTTATCAGCGACGACACAACTCCACAGCTCCCTCCACAGCGCCCGCTCCAGCCGCTCCGGCCTCCGCAACAGCACCTCTTCAATTCTCTGACGCTCTTCCTCGTTGCCCCGCTGCATTTCATACTCCTCTTGTAGATCAGGGCTCATCTCGAACTCAGCACTCGCGTATTTTGGCGAGGCCGTACTCCACCGCTGCGCTTCTAACTGATATCCATCAGGCTCGACCACGGCATCTGATGCGATGGGATCCTCGCCTTCGATGACGGCGAGATCACCTAGGACGTAGTCGCCTGGTGTGAGATCGTCGAGCTTGACGGAAAAGGAGCGGGGTGTTATGTATTTGTATGTAAGGTAGAAGACTGCGAAAAGGAAGGGCTACAAGGTAGTCAGTATCGCGAAAAGATCACGTAGGCGTTACGTCAACCCACCCCTGAATAAGCACCTAATACATCGCATGCGAGACCCACACTCGACTTCAGATGCTTGGTCGACGTTAAACCGCCCCTCGCTCCGAGAATGTACAATGGAGGTATGCCAGACCATATGACGACGAATGTGCATCCGACGATGCCAATGTAAGCAGGGAGAGGTTGCCAGCGTGACTTGAACATTCGGGAGATGTAGAGCGGGTCGTTACGACTCAAAATCTTTCGTTCTTCTAGTCGCTTCAGGCTATTGGCATATGTTAGTCTGCATTGCCTGTTCCGGGATGGAATATTCTTACCCAGCCTTGAACTTGAGAAAAGTCACACACTCGCAAATGTAGACACACGCTATCGAACCAGTGAAGAAAGCTGATAGCGTTTGACGTGGCTGGGCAGGGAATTAGCATCGAGAAGCCACCATGTAATTGCTGTAAGATCTTGCTAAGAGGGTTTGTGACGATCGAAGCAGAGCTGATTACCTGGTCGTAAGCCTGTCTGCTGAGGCCAGCTAGTGATACGAAGCCAAACATCGAGCACAGCAGAATCGCTGACAATGGCGTATGGCCGTTGTTGGTCCTTCCAAAGATATCGGCCACCGTTCTTGGCAGATATGTCTGTGCGAGCATGAACACGCTTCGGGATGCCACGTACAGCTCAGTATTCCTGACCTTGTTAGCGAGGAGACTTGCACAGCAATCGCACTACTAACGCTGCCGTATATGCCGAGATGATGAAGAAAAGGTGGAGAGCCTTTGCAACACCAGCGATAGCAGAAGTTTGAACAGCGACTACAAATGGGGATAGTCCTCCAGATCCGTTTCCTTGGGCCCACATAACCGGGAGGTCACTATCCGCATAGTTGACGTTGGCGCCTGCGGAAATGAGGACGAGAGGATAAAGGGAGAGGGGAATGATATAAACGAATGACATGACCACTGGAACATCTCTGAAGGCATCCTTGGCTTCACCTGCAGTCATTGCAATGGTTTCGCCCCCGAAGCAGGAAAACATGGCCAATGTGACGGACGTCAGAAAGCCGAAAACTCGTCCACCAGAGCCAGGGATACCGAACTGTGTATCTGCTGTATCCTTCCCGTGGAGCAGGTCGTCCGACGATGCGTTGAATCCCGTTGGTTTGAAACCAGGAGGAAAGGCCATTGTCGTGTAATTGCCCCGGTAGGAACCAGTCCGTCGTCCAGCAGCCCCTACATTGATTACGAGCATCAAGATACAGACTAAGATGAACAAGCAAAGCTTAAAAGCTGCGACCACTCTCTCTATTGTTCCGTATAATTTGACTCCGAAGCAGTGTGTCAATGTCGTCAACGCAATGAATGCGACAGTGATGCCCACCTCAACTCCTGGTGAATGACGTGCGGGTCTGTTTCCGGATTTCATGAGTGCTGTCAATTCTGCGGAGTATGCTGTGAGACATGCCATGGAGAGTATGTTCCCGAGGCTGATTTGGTTAGTCATCGAGGTCGGCCTCAAGACCTTCTACTCACGAATATGAAGCCGCCACTGCAAAGCCTGCCGCCGGGTCCAAAAACTTATGTGGCAAATCGATCAATGCTCCTGTCAGCGGGCGGCATGCGACCATTTCCGTAAGAGTGTACAGGACACATGCCGCTATGATTCCAGCAACAAGATAACTGAGAGGGCCACCGAGAGACCCGGAAGTGGTGATGAGAGAGCCAGAAGTTACAAAGATACCTACCCCAACGCAACCTGAGATGCCGATGCCTATAGTCTTCACGTTAGTGACGGAAGATGTCTAAGATTATTTGCTCCGAAGTGCTGGGCACTTGAAATATTGACCACGCACTATAGAAAGGTAAAAATACCAGTTAGCTGTGGCCGGCCCAGTACGCGGTGGAGATGTTCGAAGTGGTCCACATAGTAAGGCTTTCGATCCAAAGGTCGTATATCGCTCATGGTGAAGCTGTAATTTTTTGTGAATAGTCAAGCGAGTTGGACATAACGTACCAACCTTCACAGATAAGGGCATTGTCAATACGGTTCACGCATGCGCACGACTTGCAAGACGAGGCATACTGTGGCTCAGGCAGCGTAGGCTAGACCAAATTTGCTCACCGTGTTCTCGATAGCGAATTGTGACAAGACTGGTCGGACTAGGCAGCAGTTTGACGTTCGGACATAACGTAGCTACGCATGCTGCATTGAGGCGCAGTGTCATAATCTTGATACGAGCGCATTAAATCCAGCGCGCGGCAAGCAGCCTGAAGCTTGAGTCTTAGATGTCTGTATAGGTGGACTGGAAGGATCGCAGTCACCAGGCCACAGAAAGAGGGGGGGCGATCGGACGCCACAATGAGTCCTTATTGGCTAAGGGGCTAATGTCGCTCGCCTCACATTTGGATCTGGCCAATGCAGTCGACGACCTGGGTTCAAATTGCTGGGCGCTGTAGCAGGACGTGGCAGTGAAATGTACACTGCAGGAAGCCTCAATGCTGGCATTTGCCCCTCTACGCCTCGACACTTCAATTCTCAACACGAGCTTTCGGTACCCTATAGAGCTACTGCCTTCCCAGCTTAAACTTTAGATATCTCTTCTCCACTCTTGCTTTTGGCATGGCACGAAGCTTGGGGTATTGTCGCCAAGCATGCTGTGAACCATGGCTCGCAGTTCTTTCGCATCTTCAGGAGTGATTCCGACATCGCCAGAGCAACAATTTCAAGCGACTGAGAGTTTCGATGTTCTACAGGCCTCAAAAGGAATCACTTCACAGACTCGACTGCAGCAGCAAAAACGACGCTTCTCCATACGCGACTCTGAAGCCTTTGTCTCAACCGCGATAGCGCCAAACGGTTGGGTAGCAGTTGCTACACCATCCGAAATTCGTCTATACAATATAGAATGCCAGAACCTGAACAAGGATGTCACGCCAACTGCGTTAATTCGTCCCAAATCGCTGTCGAAGGGTGAAAGTGTACGGGCAGTCGCCATCTCTGATCATCTCCTGGCCGTTGTGACACATCTTCGCCTCATTGTATATGAGTACCAAGAGACTGGGAACGTTGAAGACAACAGCTTGTCCGAGGTGCGCATCAACCAGAAGGCAGCCTGGACACCGAGGTCGTTGTCTATCTTGCAAGTAGACGCCACAGATACAGACCAGAGAGCTGCTGCATGGATTGCCGTAGGCGGAGAAGGTGTGAATGGGGTGAGATTGTACCAATACTCACAGAGACCTTGCTGGACCGCCCTACGCAACTGTCACTTGACTCTGAAATGCCCTCGGAACACCGGCCTGGTGCAATCCGTGGGTTTTTCCAAATTTGTGCGGATGAATTGTTTTGTGGTCTTCGCAGTGACGTCAGAAAATCATGTTGTTTGCTGGAGTGTCCATGCTCAAGGGATAGGTAAGCTACATACACTGTCAACAGTATCTTTTGCCGATGTACTTACTGTTATCGTGGGTGTAGGTAGCCCAACATCCATGTCACTGCCGCCACATGATGTCAATGCAACGCCAAATCCATCCGTAAGTCCCACCACTTGGCGGAATATGCAATGTCTGATGTTCAACAGCCACACAGAGGAGAGGTTACAGCCGTCAATATATTCGAATCGCCATCTGAGAGACCGTATATCTTCGTTGCGATAAACCAAAAACACGGCTCCCAATTGATGCGGAGCTTCATAGCACCTTTGGGCGCCCCCAGTTCTCAGTGGAGGTCGCTCCCAGGCAATACAACCGGGAGACAAGCCCTTTCGGCGGCTGCAACACGGAATGGTCGTTTCATCGTTGTCGTGGAGGATGGCGCTCTCAAGCTCCTGGCGCTCCGTGGTGCTTTCGGGGGAGGCCTCACGTGTTCGGACCATACCGTGGAATGGGCATCGTCTCTGAGAGAAACAGCCAAGGACATCTGTGCGATCTCTCTCGCCGTGAAGGAAACTTTGGGCTGCATCGAGATTACTGGCATTGATGGCCGTGGACACCTCTTGTCGGCGCGCGCGAGCGTACCAGGCATGCCAGTAACAGCGCCACCTTCGTTGACAATGCGCGGCTTCAGTATGGCGGAGCTCCACGGCGACCACGTTGTGCGAACCGTGCCAGAACTTTGCGGGAAGGAGATTAGCCAAGCTCGACGAGTGGGATTAACGGTACGGTCCGACTGGGAGCCTTTTGGGGGAGGTTGAGGTCATGCTGGGCAGTTGAACTGGTCCTTCTCTGGAGCTTGGGCGCGACTTGCGTGGTCTAGCCGGGGTAGGGAAACGGATACTCAAACGGGGCTGGGTGAATGCAGCCCACGAGAACTGCTGCATCTCTGAAACTGGAAACCATATTAGGCCTGGAGTGACGAGTGAGGGCGTGTCGTGAGAAAAGTGTGGCATCTGAGCGCTGGCTCCGATGACGGCTGGCCGTTTCCGGCCACAAACGGTCCCAGGTGGGCTTAGGCTGCCGCATCGCTCCTGTCAAGACATCGCTGTTGTACTCCACCTGCTGCCTGCGGGCACTGAATATAAAACTCCATCTCTCGCACTACATGGCTGTCATCGACCTCGGCCGCATCGAACTACTCTCCACGGACAGTGCCTCATCTCGTCCGCACAGCCAGAAGCACCGTGAGCCCCGCACACGCACCCAGCGTGCCTGCCAGCGCTACAACCCCAGAGCGTCACGCCACAAGGGCTCGATACAGTACCTGTCCAGGGACATGATCATCGCTCCATGCCCCAGTCTGCTATGTAGATGACCGTGCGGCAGAGGATGCAGGCGTGGCGTCGGCACCTGCATGTTCGAACAGCGTATCGGGACTCGACGCCCGTCTGGCCACTCTGCAGCGGCTCTGGTCCCGACTGCGCTTCTCTTGGCCTATCCCAAAGCTCCACGGGATACGCACAACTCCTGTGCGCAATACGTAATTCGCCATGGGATCTGTTTACCACAAGCGGCAGCAGTGCTCCACCGTCTGTGAGGACCAAGGCAACCAACGCAGCGGAAGACGGCCCACGGCAACACGGCGCAGCATCGATGAACATCCATCGCCTGCTTACAGTTATTTCAGACGCTACCCGTCGTTAGATCGCGGTAGAGCTGGCGGCGGCAGCGACTGGACCTGCATACTGAGTTGGGTAAGCTCCAAGTGGCTGAACAGCCCTAGTGGGGGATCTCATCGTCGGATGCTCGCTCGCCCTGCCCTAGACGCGACGACCGCTGCTGCGTCCGCTTTGATCATCCGCAAGCCAGCCTGGTACGTTCCTGTACCCAGCGCAGGGCGATTGCCCTGGTCCAGTCGCCTACTCGAGCCGCCATGGCGACCGTCTGCCCTGCTGCCGCGCTGTCATTTCACAATGTCCATTACGCATCGCTGCACCCCGCTTTCCTTTGATAAGAACCGCGCCATCCTTTCTTTAGCAGGCCACGTTCACCTGGTGCATTGTGGACCTTTACTTTTACGGCTTTCGAGTTTCTATATGAGGTAGTTGGGTTGCTTTGCCCACTGCTCGCTACCCAATTTCCATCTTCTGCTGTGCAACCTGTCGAGCCTAGGCCCCGACTCGCTCGGCACTTCCGCCTCCGTATAGTGATACATCTGTACGGCTTCAAGTAGTCTCCAGCTGTCTCCGGGCGGCTGCGTGAGACACTTTTCTCGTCATGGTTACTCCAACACTGGTCCTGCTCGGCGCTGTCTTCGTCGTCAGCTCCACAGTATTTCTGTTACTGAAGAAAGGAAGGCGCGAAGTGCTCTTGAGCCGACTTCATTGGGAGCGCCGACGGTTCTCCGGTTCAAAGACTCCTCCTCGGTCGTTGTCACCAGAGAAGGAAACCAACAACTCAGCGCCGGACTACTCGGATGTATATCCTCCATCTCGTAAGATCGCACTGGCGGACATCCCCGGTTTCGCCGAGAAGTTAGGCAAGAGCCAGGACGATGTGATACTATCTGCAGAAAAGAGAGAATGTGTGCCGCTCACCACTGAGCTTCACGATGCGAAGAAGACGATGTGCACACCCTGTGAGTTCACGGTAGAGGAGATCCAAGCACTCGGGGACTTTCCGGACTACGCTACGCTGAGTGGTATACCCCTTCCCGAGCCCTACTATGACTTCGACATCAAGAAGGCGAAGCCCAGACCATACCGACCTTTCCGATGGGCTTACCATCAAACGATGTGTAAGTTCACGCTATGAGTATGATCTGTACTGTACTGAGAAGGTAGCAGCTCTCACCAAGATGGAACCCGACTGGTGGCTTGAGCTCGAGAGCACATACGAAGAGCGCATACGGCAGCGGAAGGAGATATACACGAGAGAAAGGGAGAACGTCTTGAACATGCTTCCTGGCTCATATTTTGCCTGCAAGGAGCTCATGGAGATGTCTCTGCAATTTCTCTGCGCGCGCTATCCGCAGTACTTCCACCTGGATACCGAGAAGATGATCTTCTACAACAGTATTCTCAAAACAGAGTCAGACCTGAAGAACACTCATCCACTGCACGTGCTTTTCAGCAACGTCCCCGAAGACTTTGCCATTACAATGCGAAACCCAGACGACGGCTTGTACAGCTTCCGCGCAGGCACGATCTGTAGTGCTTTAGGGTGGAACGTAGGCTCGAAGATTGGCAAGACATTGCCCGAGATACATGCACCGGTGCCGGATTACAAGGAGAAGATGCAGTTCTCGATGGATCGGTACGTCGTCAATCCGACCCACTTTTGTCGCTGCGCTAACACTGGTCTAGCTACTTCACGAAGAAGCCCACTGATAAGGCCATCCAGCGTGGGTCATGGGGTCTGGAGGTGGACCAGCCGCTCTACATGCCGCCCGGCGACCCACACGAGAAGCTACGCGACGTCCAGATGCCCGAGCTCGACATCTCACGCTGCAATCTCCGAGTCGACTGGCAGACACTACGTCGCCTGCCGCTGTCGGGTGCCATTGTCTTCAATTTCAAAGCTCTATTTACACCGGTCGAGGAGTTCCGCGCCGAGCCTTTTGTGCCGGCGCTGGTCCTGAAGGTGCTGAATGAGGCGAAGCCGAACTTGATGGCATACAAGAACACATGGCACACCGAACACGTTGTCAAGCCTGCATTGGAGGCGTGGGCCAAGGAGCAGGTTGAGAAGGGATGGGTCCCCGAGGACTGGGAACCGCATACTTTGGACGACAGCCCGTACTTCCCGGGCTGGGAGGAGAAGTGGCATCGGCAGCAAGGCTTCTGAGTCGTGCACATGCATGCGACATATATACTTTTGTACATACTGGGCGCTGGGATTCCTTTCAAGCGAACACATGAGCTTCATACCCGCTGCGTGCCTGTCGGCCGTAACCAAGTCTCTAGCTTCAGTATACTTCATGTAGAACACATAAGACACATTTCATTCTCGGATAGCTTGCTTGTGGCATCGACAACAGCTGGTCTCGCGCCTGGGTCAGTCTTCCATATGTACCCGTCGATATCTAATGTCTCGAAGGTGTCACACGAGTCCACGTGAAAAAGTGCTGTGATGCCATGGCTGGCTGGAATCAGGACTACTCGTACAGCACTTTTCATACGTTAGACTCACGATCTCATGAGAGGACTTGAGCCGAGGATCCGCGAGTATGCAGATTCAGCCTTACGGTTGTGATTGCACGGACAGCTACCATACTTGCCCAGGCTGAGCGATACCCACGATCCCGTGCAGTGCAAAGACGTCCGTACACATGCGGACCCAGTCACGAGGAAGGTTGCATTTGTGAACACAACCGGCGCAATGACTATCTTGTCTCAAACACCCTCCCGAATTATGAAGCTTTCTTCTAAGCGTCCATGGTGCTTCTCGCCCAGCGGATTCGCAGATCAGATAATCAATCCAGACTCACATCACCTCCCCCAAACGCCAATAATGCTATGCGTTTCCTTCGCGCCGCCTTAATGTAATGTTCACCAGCAGAACTTGCTTACGACAGTGGTCCTACTTCTTAAGCCACTGCATCCAATCATGCGCCGCATCAATGACCCCCGCCATCCGATCATTCACACTCTCCTCAATCAGCTTCTCAAACTCCCGCCCCGCATCCCCATCGCTCTTCCCCAGCCACATCCTCTGCTCGACCTTCCTCACGCTGCCTTCGCGCTCCACCTTGATATCCGGAATATTCGCCTCCTTCATCAGCGCGAACAAGTTCAGAATAAGATTGCTCGACTTGCGCAGCGTCGACCACGCCGTGAAGCAGTATTCCTTGAAGGCGAGGTAGTTCGGGTGCTCGGGCCCGCCCATGCCCTCGATCATCTGGGGTGCAATTTTCATCTGCGGGGCGTACGGCTTGGGGTCGCGCCCGAGGATGTAGCCGAAATCGACGTGGAAGAAGGCGCCCGAGGGCGAGATAAGGAGGTTGTCGAGGTGGCGGTCGCCGACGCCGAGGAGGTAGGTTATCACGCTGTAGCCCGCACACGACTTGATGTAGGTGTCCATTGCTTCTTTGCGGACACCTAGGGGCGCGGCGTCGTCCGGATTGTTGGCGCGCAGATAAGAGAGGAGGCTGCCTTTGTGCTTTTGGAGGGCCGCTGCGAGTGACATGGAGGGTATGAACTGGAATGCGCCGGTAGAGGCGGAGGTCGCGAGGATGCGGTAGGGTGTAAGTTTGAGGTCTAGGTTTTCTTTCTTTAACAGCTGGTCCATCAGGGTGATGATTTGGATTACAAGCTGGTCCTGCCGGAGGTCATCTCCAGTTTTGAAGATGATTGGGTACTTTGCGTTGGCCGTCGTTCTAAAGTTGAGGACTATTGGCAGGAGAGATGATTTCAACACGTTGCAATCGTCAGGGTAGATACCGTTTATCAGCACGGATGGATCGAGCGGGAGTGGAAGAGGGTCGAAGCTGAGAAGGTCATTCTTCGGGTCTGCGAGTGCTTTCTTGAGGCGTGTAATCTTGGCTGGGCGGTCGCCGCCTCCGTAGCGCACCTCTTTCGATAGCTTTCCAAGCACTGTGAGAAGCTCAACCTGGCGACGGAATGTCCTGCGTATCTCTGTGCCTTCGGGCGTTGTCTCAAGTTCGGTCATGAAGTCATACTCGACCTTTGCAAACAATTCGCGATGTTCCGGTGCTTGATCGTTGCTGCTGTCACTGACTTCAACTACCAAATACCAGAAGAGAAAGTTGCCCAACGCTAGACTGTTAGCTGCACGTGTAACTAAGAAGCGCGCAAGCGAAGAGTCGTCGCCATCGCCAGCCGCTTCATACTTAAGAGCCTGCACCAGCTGTAATAGATATAGCTGTAGCTCATCGTCGTCTGCCTTCTTAAGACGTTCCACGGCATAGCTACGCACAACGGGATGGTCAAACTGAGAACCCAGCAACTCCAATGCGTCGTCGACATCGATTTCTGCCCACTTGTCTAGCATGGGAGCAGCCTGACGGGCTTCGCGTTCATTATGCCAGTTGACACACTTGACGAACTTGGTCAAGGCGCGTTTCTTGGTAGACAGGAAATAGCGAAACTTCCAGATCTCATCGCGTTCTTGCGTGGTGATCTCGTCAAGCGGACCCCTGTTGAGTAGCCCGAATAGCTTGTCGCGAACGTGTACGTTGGGTTTCCTGTCGCGATCCAGGGAGTCTGTCTGTTGGCTGCGCATCAGCTCACGATGCTTATCTTCTGCAGGATTGGCGCGTCGTCCAATCTCAGGATCGTAGATGCGAATGAGGCGGCCGGCTTCTGCATCTTCGTTGCCTATTCCAGGACCAAAGGACACTTCTGGAGGAGGTCGCAGTCGTATTTCGGAGTCGGAAAGCAGCTTGATATCGGAAACAGGGGGAGGCGGATACTCGTTATCGGTGAAAACGATGGAATGATCGAATCGCGGAAGCTCGATGTCTAGATAGAATATGTCATCATCGGCGTCCTCGCCGCCATGGCCGTTGAGTCCATTCGGCCGTGACTTGCGGCCGTTCATAGCTGCATGCTCGGCTTTGATGGCTTTCTGTTTGATCTCCTCCATCTTTCGGAAGACCAGTTTGTCAAGCCACTGTGTTTCTGGGATATCCCCCATCTCCTGCTTTTTCAACAGTTCCTCCAGTCTCTGCATCTCCGCAATCTGCTCGTCCACTGCATGTTCCTGCGGGGCATCATTTTTACCCTTGCGCGCTGGTGGTATTACCCACGGCGTGGTAGTGTTCGACAGGCCATCAGCGGCCTTGAAGCGATGGATCCTACAGCGCTGGCGGCCGTTGTGCAGAGTGTTGTCTTTGTCGAACAAGGGTATGGTAGTCCCCCCAAAGGGAATCGCGTGGCGGTCTGAGTCCTTGTCTTCGGCGGGTGACAGGTCCCATATAGTGATGGCGAGCTGGGCAGATACAGGAAGGCTCGCGTAGGTGATGGGCAGCGGCAGCCACTCGCCCCATATTCGAGCGTTCTTGAACGACTTGTACGCGGTCTGGACATCGACGGTGAGAGGCTTGCTGTCTGCCCAGATCTGGGCCGTGACGTACAGCTCAGAGTGGGGGCTGAGTTAGCCCAGTCAGCCACGGCGTTTCCTACAGAGCAAGCTTCTCACTTTGTGTTTGACGCCCGGTGTCTCAGGTCCGGCCTCTTGAGCAGCACAGAGTACGGAATTGGCTTCTGATGGCCATCTAGCCGGTCGCTGTACACTTTAGCGTCCATGAAAGAGCGGTGGATACCAAGGTGAGCGATGCGTACATTTTCACGTGCACTGGTAGCTCAGAGAGGTCGGTCGTGGTCGCAAAGTGGAAGGCTTCCATCGCCGGCGGGGAGCTTGACGTGAGCTATGGCCCGCATGGAGCTGGTGGTGAATGTGCGAGACCCAGGAGCTGACTAGGGAGACGGGACGGCCGATGATGCAGCTACCAGCAGCACGATCTAGGGCGCCATGTCACGGCAGTCGCAGCAGCCTGGAGTGTTCCTTCCACCGTCACCCGCCACGGCGCGCTCATGGCGGCGCGAGAGCGTTAGCACGTGGGGCTGGCTTGGCATACGCGCCCCGGTCGCTCCTCCCATTTCTGATGACGCGAAATCGCGCTAGCCTGCGGCTCGACGACTGGTCGCCGCGTCGTGCGCCCGTCCTCAACACACCAACGCACGGCAGCACGGCGACGCTGCGGCATCCCGTCCTACGCGTGCCGCAACCCAAACAATGGCCCGTCTCAACACACACACTTCCGCCACGCCTCTGCGGAGCCGCGCAACGACCGTCGACACCCTCTATCGCGACCCGACCCCTGCGGGGCGAGGCAGCACTGCGCGAACCTCGTCATATTCTGTTATGAGCCCCGCCCTGTCGCAGTCTTCGGATAAAGAGAACGACATACCAGAGTCGCGTCAAAACACGCCTTCGCCAGCTTCTAAGAGAGGTTCAATGGCAGGAACGCGTGCCCAGCGCCTTCCTACTCCCGACTCAGCCTCCACTTCCAACCCAAATAAGCGCCTGCGCACAAGCAAATACGATTCAGCCAACTCGGAGCTGCGCGGAAGTGCAGCCGCCGGCATTGGAATCTACGAAGATGGACAGGAAAACGAAGAGGATGCGGAAGAAGAAGACGATTTCGAGCAGGCTTTGCCCACCCCAACCGATGCCGAACTCGAAGATGCCGATGGCCAAGATGAGACGGAGGATCCAGAGCTACCTGCGCCTGAGGATGACGATGACGATCCGGATATGCGTTATTACAACCCTCAACAAGACCCCAGAAAGCGCCGGCAAATTCGCTCAAACTACCGCAACCTCCAGCGCGAGCTTGAAGGTACGGTCCTCGCTATCACTACGCTGAATATCACTGACCCGGCCAGACAACCGCGACGAGTACATTAAACCCAACAGCAACCGGCTGAACGAGCTAGTCCCACAAGCGACGCGCGTGTTCAGCAAAGTTCGCATGACCGCGGACGCCGTCCTGGATTCGCACTTTCTGACCTCGGTGACCGACCTGTCTTCGAAACAGCTGAAAAACAGCGTGAACCAGGGCAATCACGGGATCGGCGTAGATCTAGACCAGTTTGTGTCGAGATGCATCTTCTTCATGAAGGAGGGAAGACCGCCCGGCGCCCAAGAAGACGCGCAACCTAGTTCCCGTCGGCCTCGACAAATGCAGGTGGATGAAGCCGACGAAGAGGGAGACGGCGACGGGGAAGGGCTGGACTGGGCGTACTTGGGCAGGCACGCCTGCTTCCCTTCGAATAGCCGTCCTCCTCTTTCGAGTTTTCTGTTGGGGCCTCTTTCCGTCCAGAAACGCGTTAGGAACATGACGCGCCGTGCTCGGGCACAACGACAACCAGCGGGGCCGGCCACACGGCCACAAGAGATCAAATTGTCCGAAATGGACAAGAGCGAAAACTCCAATCTGACCCACCAAGTCAAGACTGTTGGAGAGCGACTAAAAGATCACCTCAACAGAGCGAGCGAGTTGGTAACGAACGAGCTCGAGCTCCTAACGAGTGACCCGACTGACGACGAAATGGGAGACGTTTTCAGAAGGCATCGCGTTTGCGCACTAGAGAGCGAGGAGGCAGCGGTGTCCTTGTTCGACTTCGCAATCAACCCACACTCCTTTGGACAGACGGTCGAGAATCTTTTCTACATCAGCTTTCTGATCCGCGAGGGCGCGGCTAAAGTAGAAACCGACGCAGATGGTCTTCCATTATTAGGTAGGTTCACTAGACCGTTAATTGTGGCTCGCCATTAACCATTTACAGCTCCCGAAGCAAGTACCGCTGATCAACGACGCGAACAGAACGTGGAAGTACAAAGACGCCAAGCCGTCTTCTCGATCGACTATGCCACATGGCGCACTTTGATAGAGGCATTCGACATCAAGGAACCTCTGATACCACATCGCGCTCCCGAACAGACGAATATCGGAGCCAGCGGTTGGTACAGCTAAATCACTTTCGCTCATCGTATTACTGGATGAATGTGTACGCATTGCCTTCGCTTATGACCTTATGCGACGAGTGTAAGTACCACCAAGGCGATTTCCATTCACAGCATTACAGCAGCGGCGTTTACACTGGCATTGCGTATGCCATGCCACCATTCACCGTATGGCTTCTCTTCCTGGTGGCTTTAAGACCATGTAAGGCATTACACATTTCGACTAGTCGACAGGGGCGTTCGGCTGAGGTCATTATTCATTGATACCCAAGATCTATCTGCGTTTCTTGTAAGGGAGCTACGTGTGCAACTTGTACGAACATGGACAGGCATTGTCCTTCGGTAGAAAAGGCCAAATTCTATATCAGGTCCGAGAATTTTCTTGCGTCCTTTCAACACTTCCTAGCTAATTCTGCAGGGTGCACATGCGTAGTGTTATTCACATTAGCCCGGCATTACCCTTTTCTTACGTGATATGCTTTGTAAACAGTACTTAGTGTATCCGCTGCCTTCGTACGTACACCGTTTCCAATACACATGCCCTGCTGGTTTACGCCTTGAGATGCGTACACCGATCGTAAGGTCTCCGTCTTCTTTCGTAGACCAAGACGAAACGCGATAGACGGGTGCCAGAAAAGGAGTTCTCGGACACAATGCGCCGGATCAACAGTCAGCGCTAAGTTAGCGACTGTAAGATGTCACTCCAGCACATGTATTCGTGGCTCCTAATAAGGCCACCAGCAGTGTACACCTCTAATTTTTGGAAGCAACACCACTGCGAAGCATACGGCGCAGTCCCACCGAACACAGACGATCGTCAAGTCGCATCATCTCTTACATTGTGGCTGCTTAGCTGCGTGGAAACAGCCGGAAAGAGGGCGTGCTGGGGGCGATTTGAGGTGTACATATATACCTAGCCCGCTAGCGAAGCGAAATGGTAGCCGTACAACAATACCTCTCGCAGCATAGCCTCAAGGTGGAACGTTCTTTCGCATCCGCACCCAAGAGCATACCACGTCTTGCAGAACGGCTGCCAACGGCACCAGCAACGCCATGAACTTCGGCATCGTTGGCGCAGGCATCGCAGGCCTAGGCGCCGCCATTGCGCTTCGTCGCGCAGGCCACCATGTCGAGGTCTACGAAAAGTCGACGTTCAAACGTGAGATCGGCGCTGCCATCCTCCTCACGCCAAACGCGAATCGGATCCTCCGCCGCTGGGGCTTTGACTTTGACAAAGCCAGGCCTGTCGACTTTAAGCAATATCGACTGCTGAATGCTACGAGCTTGGAAATCCTGGACCGAGACGGGTTCGAGGACGTGGAAGAGCGATTTGGGGCGAGGATGTGCGCGTATCATCGTGTAGACCTGCACTCCGGCCTACGAGAGCTGGCAGAGAAGGCAGGCGCGACTATCAATCTCGGCGCCGAAGTCGTGGATGTCAAGCCTGAAGACGGCGTCGTGACGCTCGCAACCGTGCAAACCGTGCAAAAAGACCTCTGGGTTCTAGCCGACGGGTCCCGCTGCCCGTTTCTCGAGACCATCTCCGGGGAAGACAACCCCACAAAGAAGATCGGGAAATCCGTGTACCGCTGGCTCGCGCCCATGGACAAGGTGCTCGAGCACCCCGATGCGAAAAAGCTATGGAATGGGCAGGGCGCAGGCTTCTGCACGTTTTCTGAGCCCAAGGCTGGCATTACGATGGTTACATATCCCTGCCGCGGCGGCACCCTGCTCAACTGTGCTGTTTTTCACGACACACGCGTGGAGGAAATCAATGCCATGGACTGGAACGCGGATAGCTCGCATGAGCGCGTGCTCCAGATGCTGGAAAACTGCCATGAGGTGGTGAAGCACATCCCTCACACGGCGGAGCAGATGAAGGTGTACACCGTGACGCAGCGCCCACCTTCGAAGCGGATTTGGAGGGGTCGAATGCTGTGTGTCGGGGACGTCGTGCACCACATGCTGCCCACGCATGCGCAGGGCGGGTGTTCCGCGCTGGAAGACGCTGCTGCGTTGGAAATCCTGTTCGACGCGAGCACCATCTCACCCAATGCCGGGGATCTCGCAAAGAGATTGGAGTTGTACACGCAGTTGCGGCTGCCGAGGAGCGCGACGACGCAGATTCTGAGCAGCACCAACCCGTGGCTTACGATGGAGCAGGTGGCGAAGAAGACGGAGGAGATCAGACAGTTTTATGAGGGAAATTTGGTGGATTGGCCAAAGGGGCTGGAGCCGTGGAGTGCACCCATTAGAGAATTTTTCTATGGATACGATGCCGTTGGAGAGGCGGAGGAGGCAATGAAGTATAGGGATGGTGGGAGGTTACCGGAGGGCTGGAAGTGGTTTGGGGAGGTGGATAAGGCTATGGAGGTTTGATAATAGGTGGTGGTGGTCGGAAGCGATGACAATGATCCGAACGTATTTGCGAATCTTGCGTGTATTTCAGCATTCAGCATGCGGACCGGTATCCCGGAAAATAAATTTCCTTTATGCTTTTAGTTCTGGAGTTCTCCATGCAGTCGTAGCAAGCGGCTGATGCCTGCCGAGAGGCTTTCGGACCTGACTCATTCATCCATTGCGTGCGAGCCTCCATCACCCGATTTTCAACTTCAATTCATCTTCGATTTTGAAGAGTCACGAACCAAAAGGTGGACTTATTCAGAGTGTCTCTAATGCACACGGTATTTCATAGGCAAAATGGCGCAACAAGCTCAAGAATGGGGGTAACCCCACCAGGTTCAGAGGGCTGATTGCGCACTAACAACGCCGACTCTGTGCACCACTTTCGAAGTCGCAATGTTAGAATTGTGACATATATTGAACAAGACAGCAATAAAACCTCTCCTGCACCACCAACTTCACGCACCAAAAAGGAAATAACCCATTTCGTTGTACAAGAGTTCGTAACCAGCCCTCGTGCTCATGTCCTCCTCTCACGAAACTAGTGTCCTCCGACAAAGACCAAATCACCACACTCCTCCACGCCTACGGCAAAGTCTTAGCAACGCACTCCATGGAAGACCTCCTTAACATTTACACCTCAGACGGCGTCATTATGGCTCCAGGGTTCAAACCAGCCGTAGGCTTCGAAGCGCTCAAGTCATCGTACGAGCGCATTTTCTCTACCATCAAGCTTGAGATTGACTTCACCATCGACGAGATCGTTGTGATGAATGACGAGTGGGCGTTTGCGAGGACGACAGCTGAGGGTACCAAGCACTGGCTGAAGAAAGGCACGCAGGAGTTTCATCATAACCAGGAGATCTTCATTTGTCGGAAGGAGGGTGGGAAGTGGAAGATTGCGAGGTATATATTTTCGAGCATGAAGCCTTTGCAATGAGAAGAAGCAGGGGAGCCCGGACATATCTACAAGCGTTTAAGGGTATGGAAGATGACATCACCACAATGGAATTGGTTTGGATTACACGCGAGTCGTGTTTATCGAAGCTTGACACTGGCTGGCCAGACCCAATGTTAAATTGGCGTGGATGATAAGATGGTGGGCTCTACGCAGTTGTCTGCGGGTCACGCGCTCCCCGAGAAATATGGCTCCCCTCAACAGCCCACCGACGACTCCACGGGTCAGGACTTGGCGAACTAACATCGAGAATTAGTAGGGTCCCTCAGGAAACCACCGGCTCTGGCTGAGCTCGCCGAGCATTGATACTTGCAAGCAGATCAAGATGTGGAAAAAGAACCAGAAGACAAGGTATGGAGATGGGGATTTGCGATCAGAGATGATGAGGTGGCATCCCTGGCTCTGTGAGTCAAAACAAAGTCGCGGTTCCGGGTCATTGAGGATGATCCTTATTTTTCGTTCTTCAGCTTTGAGCAATAGCGGACATTTACTGTGTGAGAGGGCTCAGAGAATCAGAAGCCGCCCAACGAATGCCTATTCTTGCATCATGACTTATGCGATTTTCTGGGTATGCATGTGTTTGTCCTCCATGATTTAAGTAGAAAAAGGTTTCTCTCATTCCGAAATTCAAAGGTAGTATTGGTAGTGCGGCGGTGAAGCAACGGAGTCCATGGTCAGATCGACTGGCATGATTGTGGAGTCATCGCCTCGCAAATCGTTGATATAAGATATAGCGCCGTTGATCTCTCCGAACGTCCATTCTGTTGTCCGACCATACTTTATGACCCGGTATATGGTGTTAGGATCAATTGACACGTAGCGGTCGGCCTTGGCAAGCCCTTCGATTTTCACTTCACCGGGCAGCGTTGCTGGAACCCGATTATCGAATGATCTAGTTGACGCAATTTTGATCAAGGCCCAGTCACCGTACCACAGAAGGTGCTCTGTGCTTCTCTTCATAGAAGTTCTCGATCAGGGTTTGAAGTGGTGGGTTACGACTTCCATAGCACGTCAGCCGTGGTTCCTTTGCGATTACGGCTGGTTCATTCCTCGAACATAACCCAATCAACCTGTATCTTACTATGAGGATGGAATCAGTGGTCACGAATTGAACGCCGTCGATTTCTACGCTATCGATCTCTGCGCCGTTAATTCCTGCGCCATTAGTTCTCACGCCGTTGCTTTCTACGCTTTCATTTCCACGCCGTTATGGACCGCGCCATTGAAATAAGAGTACCGCTCTGTGCTTCAAGGGGTTTACGGCAAGCCCGAGGAGGGCGACACATTTCCTCCCTGTACGACAATCCGCTTGTGTTCATGCGGCCACCTTGGCAAGTATTGCTACAGAAGGCACCGAAACAACTCTGACGATAAACGCTGTTTCTATTGTGGTGAGAGCGTCTCTATTGAGAGGTGCGGACCACCTATGGCAGAACGGATCGAGGAGCTTCGTACTCTCAGCTCGTTTGTCGAAGCATGGTGGTTTTGTGGAGATTGGTCGAAACCAGCGGCATTCGGGCCGCCTCTTGTCGTTGCCTAGCGGATCTTGGGCAGAGTAGTCAGTTACAAGTCTACACAGAAACACCCCGCATTGACGGTCGTGTTGTTTTGATACCGCCAAGCCTCTCTACGCGGCGTGTCTTACTCGGGCGACCAAGCGACTTGACGGGCAGAGACCTTGTTTCGAGATGTAGGCTCGATGCACAGGATCGTAGCGAGAGAGCCGTGGTGCCGTGATCAAGGTCCGCTACATCGTTCGGGGTCGTAAGCGCCGGAGGGAATGTGGTCACGTGACCTCGCGCCAGTAGACCTAGGCACCGGGATATCTTGGTGCGAGGCAAGGGCCGGCGTGGACGACGTCGTACGGTTCGGACGTCAATGTCACGATACGATGCTGAGCCTTTCATGGTGTTGACGATGGCATGTTCCCCACGCCAGCGTCATCGCGCAGGCGGGTAGCTTCGGTAGGAGGACCGGCTGGAGATGATTGCATCCTTAACGCGAAGAAACACAGATCGAACGCGGGAGAAGCCATCGTGAGCCCCTCGGCTAGCGATGCGGGATGATGTAGGGGCGTGTCCACGTCCGCGTGCGGTTGTCGAACAAGCAAGGTCCGCGTCGCGGTCGAGAGATGTCGGCAGCTGGACGCGGGCCCGCAGACCCGAGGTCACCCCATCTCACACGACCGCTCACCACAACGCGCGCACTCGACAGATTCCGCGCTGCGGTGCATGCCTGGCGGCCTGCCATCTCTCCGGCCCAGTGCCAGAGCCGCGCTGGAGCCTCGGCAGGGGCCGCCCTTTAGGCTGTGCTCTCCCACTCTCGCTGCGCTGCAGCAATGCCGCTCCCAGCACGACATGCGCGGCCGAGAAGCAGCACTGCCTACTGCGGAGCGGTACGTCAGGTACCGTCAGTGCGTCCCCAAGGCGGACGAGAGAGGCTTGGGCTGGGATGCGACACGAGAATGTATCGGATTGGCCCGTCGCCCCATGATTGACACCCAGGTGGTAGGACTGGGCAGCCTGCTGATTGGTGGGGTGACGGTTCGGGATGCGGAGTACATAGAGCACTGTCACGAGCATGCAAGGCCACTGTCTCTCCACTTGCCTGGTCCGCGCGTGAGCCCGTATATACAAGTCCACCAACCCACATGCCTGAAGCATCATCTTAGACAGAAGCCGTGTCGGAATCAATCAAACCGCTGCACGTCCACTTGTATACACGCCACCAGACATCCATTCACCCACTACACTACAGCACATAAGCATACCTCACTCGGACATCTACCACAAGAACACCTTTGAATCCAACCAACACATCTCTTCATCCATTTCACACCACCATGTCTCCACGAGCTCCAAGCACAATGGCCCGACGCTTCATCGCAACGGCAACACACCAGCCCGCTCCTGCCTTCAACGCATCCCGAGCCGCCGTCCCCTTGATCGCAGCAGGAGCCGCCGCGACAGCAGCTACCGCAGTGACAGCTTCAAGAGCCGCCCCGAAGCTTGGCCGCATTGCTAAATGGTACGCCGCCACAACCACTCCCTGTACCGAACATCACTGACCTGTCAAGGTACCTTCCCACCATGGCAGCTGTCGCCTTCGGCATGCTCTACATCCCAGAAACCTTCTTCATCGAGCCCTCCAAGCGCACCGTGACCCTGGACCAAGCCAATCGCTTCATTGGTATGGGCGTCGACCAGCAGCTCTCCGACCACAACCGCCGCGCAAACGTTGGCTACGAGCTCACCCAGGAAGAGCGAAACCAGGCCATGCTCGACTCGTTCGGCTCGCGGTCCAGTCTCGACGACATGGAGAAGGCAATCGCGGGGTACGAAGCGACGAGGCCCAAGGGCCCCGTTGAGACGAGGATGGCACTTGAGAATGCCTACGGCGACAGGAGCAGTCTGCAGCACTTGAGGCGGGCGATGCAGATCTACGAGGTGCAATGAATGAGCGGATGAAGAAGAGGTGGAAAGTCGAATATCAACTCAAGGAAGACTGCTTCGAATGCCCTGGAGGACATTGAACAGATTGGCAGCACGTCACGCGACAGGAGCGCCGAGGACGAGACGGATGAGATATACCCAGGGCTTGGACCCAAGAGGAATAGCAGACGCAGGATCGCGCGCTGCTGGATGATGAGGAACGGGGGTTGGGGAGGGATCCGGACGCGGTGTAGGAATAGGAAGGGACTTGTACGAACAGTAACGACAACAACCATCAATGAATTCCATATGTATATATTGAAATAAACTCGTCCAGCCTGTTCGATCTCCTGTAATTCATACTTGGAGTCCTCAAATTTCAACGTCGGCAACGAGACTTGATCACGTGCCTTGTCTCGATTGAGCAAGATCAGTCTCTGTTAATTCTCTCTTATCCCATCCATCTTCTTCCAAGGGTTAATTCACACCATCGACAGTACATTTAAGTATATCATCGCCCTTGCCATTTCTCACGGTTGCCCGGCTTTATCCTGCTCAGTACCACGGGCGTTAATATCACGTCCTAGCTTGACAGATCCCGACGATGGATCCCATGATATCAACACCACACGATAGAACACTTTCACTAGAAGACCACACAGGTCTACAGTGAAACAGTGCAAGAACAGCGAAAGCACCCGGTATATGCCATACGTCTTCTCTTCTCGAACGCTAGGTCAACCCGCCCAGCACTGCTACAACGGCAAATCAACACCTTTCTGATACCCCAATCTAAGAAGCGTCAAACCCTTAAGCCACAATTCCGTCGTATCCTCCGGGAACGCTTGGAAACGAGATCGCGCCAATCGACTCCGCCATCATCAATTCGTTCCGGAATGGCTTTCGAAACATCTGGATCGAGATGGCCCACGAACTGGAGCCTATCGATGACTCCCTCATGTTGTTGGTTCGGCCTGCTCTTCACCACATGAGCGATGATATTCGGACTAGCTATCAGCTGTACCTTCCGAAGTCGGTGTGGGAGGCGCCAATGCAGACTATTCCGCTACCAAGCTGAATGAGTATCAGCAAGGCTTCAGAGAGATCCGGAAAGCGTTGCGCAATATCTGTGTAGGCTTCGGGAGTGATTGGGCCCCTTTTGTTGGCATATTCACGGGGTGAAGCAGCTTTTCTATGCTCGCGCTCAGAACATGCTACCATTTACACTCAGCTTTCAGTTACAACTTCGATAGTAAAGCATTCTGATACTTTCTGAATCCTCTCTGGGAAAGCCATCTTTGTCCCTTGCACGTCCCCAATTTATTAGAGTAAGCAACTTCCATCCATCAGGGTCCCGCTATCGACAGAATCGTTGTGTTGCTCTTTCCTAACCTCGCTCACATTATTGTTCCAGCCGTTTCTGCCAGACGTCGAAGTGCACCACAATCCTACTATTCGCATTCCCTTCCCATTGAACATCGAGCCCATTATCGCGTAGCAACTGGACCACTTCTCGGCCAGCTTTCTCGGCTGCAGCGCGGGACTCGTCTTCATGGTCGCCAAAGGCAAGATAGAGATCGCAATCCTCCCCGTCCAGGCGCTCCGCATCCTGCTGGTGGAAGAAAACGAACGCGTGGTCACCCTCGTTAGCCACATCGCCAATCTCTTCGAATCCGCAAGATCTGCAGCAGGTAAAATTCATCGCCGCCGTGATCCCTTGCGCTTCCAGTCTGTTGAAAGCTCGCTCTAGGCGATCGTGAGATGTCTCTGCAGGCCACGATTTTTCCTCTTCTAGACGCTCTTCCCACAGCTGCCCGACGATGGCTTCCGCCAAGTCCTCTGCATCTCCATCGTGATTGTCGGCCGCGATCAGGTCTGCTCCGAAGCCCACAAGCTCCTCCTGGGTCATAAAGCCTGGCTTAAGCTTCTCTCTTATCTGTTGCGTGTATTCTTGGAGCTTTTCAGTCTGCACTTCGATAGTCGAATCGTCGGACCCGTTATCTGAGCTTGCATGGCTGGATATTTCAGACTCTGACATGGAATCTCTTTCTCAGCCTCTAGGCGACTTGTTTTCTCTTGGGAGATGTGGCACAAAATCTGTTAAACGAGTCGACACAATGATTATGGCTGTAACAAAGTTCTCAAAGCGCTAAATCAAATGTCCTGTGTTTTTTGTTAGTCGGCGGAGTTTGGATAGATATGTAGTTTCCCTAACCTCGTATTCGGCATGCCTGCCTGGTAGGACGCGTTCGTGTCTAACTAGGCAAAAAAGCGCTAGCAGAGAGCACTTAGGCAGGAAGAACAAATGCCGGTGCTAATTTGATGGCAAGCCGTAGCCCCTGAGCTAATGTGTCGCGATACAATCCTATCTGGGGAAGTTTGATAAAAATAGGTGAAGTTATCCCCCACCTAAGGCAGCTATAATTATTATCTGCAACGGCCTGTTTGCTACAGTTGATTCTGGATTTGCTTAGTGTGGATGAGACTTCTGGGGTGGCGAAACATTTGTTGATTTAGTACAAAGAAACAAAGAGACGTGAAGAGATTGTCTCGACCAGCGAGAAATAAGGCATTGGTCAATACTCAACTAAAACTCCAACCCCAGCGCATGACCATTCTGTCGCTCAGTTCGTCCAGAATGGCTTGCACATTAGCGGTTGATGCAGGAACTTTTCTTTAAGTGGATGAGCGACGATCCCGACCACGATGTGTCCGCGGTCCCGTGTAGACGTACACGATGTACAATGATGTCGAAACCTTTGTAACAACTTACGAATAGCCCGTATGCCATGGCACCCAGTGACGGTACCTCATCGTCGTCCCAGAATCTATCTCTGAGGAGGAAGAGCGCTTCAAGATACCTCTCGATGTTTCGGGCTTCCAAAGGAGCCGCACCACGTTCGTCGACTGGTTGATAAAGATCTTCTTTCGCCACCATCAGGATGTTGCTACAGCGAGCTTTTTGCGGTCGAGGAGGCACGTAATTGGCATGATGTCGAGAACCAGGCGGAATTCAGATGATAGCGGGGACTAAGGTTCTGGATCTGGTCAGAGGCAGAGTGGTTCGAGGGCGAGACGGGTTTCAAGAACATTTGGAGTACCCATATCAGAACATGTTCTCGCCTGGAGCTGCAGCTCGGTCCCAGAAAGAACAAGCAAAGTACTAGGACTATCTGCAGCATGACTGGGAATGGGAAGACCAACGTGTAGCCATCTATGCACCAAAGCCCGTAGGCTCTAATGCACTGTCGGCAGGGATGATCAGTCCAATGCTGGATTTGAACACGCTCAGGAACCGCAGATTTGCGATTTCGTTGAATTCCTTAAACACATTGAGCTTGATTCTGTTCCTCTGGAGGACAGGGTCTGCGCCAGCTGCTGGCTGCCTTGCGGCGAGACCGACGAGTTCAAACAGCTCTGTGAGCGTCCAGCTTTTCCAAAGGATTCTCAAGAGGGTGAAGCAGTCATTATGACGCAGATGCTGCCATTTGATGCTCGCCAACCCTGAAATGACGCCGTAATACTGCTCTGTAAGCATATCTTTGGCGGTGACTGTATCGTCAATTCTCTTGTCAGCGGTTGGCGATTGCGCTGCACAATGTGACGTGAGTGGGTTCTATTTGGTGAGTAGTTCACCCTTTCCAAGGTGTGCGCAAAGCCAAGGATATCCCTATGGTACATCGGTATCTCTAGGATTCAATGTTGTCCGTGCCGCTACCCGTTCCGGCATCCGCCAATCTATGGTACTAAACATCATCACGAACCATGGGTCCGGAAGCTCGGCCACCTGCACGCTCAGGGTCCAGAAGCAGCCAAGAAACGCTTCCGACGGGACCTCCTTAGTACCATCCCGACGTCACTTCAACTGCCACAACCTGTTCTTCAAGCCTGGAGTGGTAGGGAAGTCTTCGTCCCACCCAATGAGACTCTTCCGACTTTTCCGCTCCGCTGGCGCCAAGGGCTTCCACCACCCCGCGTGCCGCTAGCCGGAACTTTCGCCACCAGCCACAAGAGTCTAGAAGGCGAACGGCGTGGCGTTTTTGGCTGCGATACATTGGCCCATGTCATGTACTGTAGGCCGACGTCATCTTCCAAACTCGATAATGCGTGCGTAGTGCATCACGGTCCTTGAGACCATGGCGGAAAGGAGCATATAAGAGACGGATCGGTCCGTTCAATCACAATACCAACTCAAATCATACCAGCTCAACTCATACCAAACTTAATCATCAACGAAGACACTCGTATTATTTTACCAAAACCTTTAGTCGGAATTACACATACACCTGGATCTAAGAAGTCTTTCTCGAGTTACCTTCGACGACAGCTTTTTAAATCGACCAAGGCTTCCCAATATCTCACACGAACTACACACAATGGGCTGCGGACCCTCACGGATGTCTCGACGAAACGGCTACGCCGCAGGTCCCGCCTACGGGCGCGGCCGTCACCAACCGGAAGTCGTACATGTACACCACGGTGGCGCTAGTCGAATGGGTGGAGGTGGACGGATGGGAATGGGTGGTGGAGGGCGGATGGGAATGGGTGGCATGGGCATGGGCATGGGCGGTGGCCGGAGAGGGTGCGGTGGGGGTGGGTATGGGCGGAGAAGATGTTAGACAAGAGACGCAAGCATGTGGGATAAAATCAACTACAGGATACGATAAGCGAGAAACTATGTAAGATATGTGTAGATGGTGGAAGTGTTACGATAGGGATTGGTGTTTCCGAGAGTACTGAAGCGATGATTTTTGAGTTTACAGGCTTTAGACCATTTCCGAATTTTTCTAGGATGCAATATTATCTCCTCCATGGTGCTTAATTTTAGTGATGGCTTCATCTTGGGAAGTATGTAAATGCTCCTAACATAGTGTCTCGTAATCAGAGATATTGTCCTCGTAGATTTCTAAACGGCAAACTGTACAAACGACACATGATAGTTATGATTTAGACCTTGAAGTACAGCATCCCAGCAACTGGCCCACATTAATTGCGGGTCACTTGTGATTTCATCTCCATCAGTACACCTATACAGCTGTCATACAGTGCCATAGTTCTTATGTTCAGTAGAAGAGTGTGTAATGTCTAGCTACTGGTTGAAAAATATCTTTAAGCCATCATTACAGGGCAAAGACCTTTGTCAGATGTCTCCTTGTATCCCATAGGACAATGCCCTTTGATCTGAGCGTCTGCAAGGGATGTTGGGCTCTTGCCGCGCACATACAGTTGATTCGAAAATTGACCAAATGTGGTAAAAGCGGCACCACCATGACTCCTCAAAAAAGACATCACTTCTTCGCCGCCCTTCCCTTCGAGATGCTTCGGTCCAATGTCGTGAAGTTTATAGCCTTCTGGTCGGAACTTTGCATCACCAGGCTGAGGAAGGCCGAAGAAGTGAGTGTATGCTGAGTATAGCCAAGTGCAACGCGCCGACAATGGGACATACCAGGGCTCAATCTCCCAAAACATCATGGGCCGATATCCAGCCGCATTCTCAGCACCAAACACCTGGAGCGTTGAGTATCGTGGTAGCATCAGGTAGCGCACAAAATATTTGCGTAATGCTAACAGGAAACGAAGACCGTATGTAATAATAGCAGTAGGGCGGCTTGAAAGTTTGAATGCATCAGCTAAGCGCGAATCCATGAAGGCCACTAGGACGGTTCGCACAACGGGAGCAAGAAATGCCGGGAATGTTGAAGCATAAAGAGTGAAAACACCTTTCGCAATCAAGGCGTTGTCATCGGAAGGGGCCATGTTCCGCGATTCGAATTCTTGAATGAAGGTAGCACAATCCTCGAAGCTTTTTGGAACTCCGGTAAGGCCCATACGAGTGCCTACTTCGTTCCAGAACACCCAGGAGGCATGTCTCTCAAGAGCAGTCGTCTTACGCCAGTCGTACTTGTCGATCCATTGCAGAGCCTCGCATATCAGTAAACAGAGTGTATACACCATTTGATCCATCTTGATGCGATTTCCGTAGCGAGAATGAATCCAGTTCATACGGTTGATTGCAACGCATGCACGTTCGCTATCAATGTCGTTCACCAAGAATTCGCCGACTAGTACAGTGGTATCGGCGTAGCGTTTTCCGACACGATCGACCATCTCTTTTGCCCCTACCGAGACCTTCGAGATGCCTGGAATCGCAAAGGCCTGTGAGTATGATTTAGCTAGAAGCATCAGGTAGACTGGATTAACAACTCACCCTGAGGAATGCAAAATCTTTCCCGGAAAGGAAGACCCAAGGACACTCGTACAAGCCCATTTGCCCAAGAATAAACTGAGCATCGCGGTAATTTAGGTCTTTAAATTGTACGTATGTTGCGCCATGCTGCTGTTGTAGTCCACTAATGCGCCGATATCTGAGAAGCCGCACAACTACAAGGTAGCTGACGGTGACCAAAAGAAGAGAGAGATAGAGGAGCATCTTCAAGAAAGAAAGTCGCAAGCACTTTGAGGAGGGTAGCTCATATGGAGAGAAAGGACTGGCTTTGACTTATTTGTTCTCAGGCTAAGAAATATGCTTTACGCCGAAAACAGTCAGTAGGCTGCAGCACATGTAGCCCGGATTACCTTTACGCCGCTTATACATCCAGGCAGGAGACGCCACGGCCAGTAGTGGCATGCAGTGATTGGAATTGGACCCACACAGACAGAGGGCGACATTGTGCGTCAAACCTGACTAGACTAACTGGATGCGCAATACGAAGTTAAGATTCGAAATAGAAGAATAAAATGTCCCTATGCTCCTGGACGAGATTCCCACGAAAGCGCTCGGGTAACATGAAGCATCGTCTTGTGGATTATATTTCAAGGTAACTGCTGACCGCAGGTGGATACGAATGCAATCCTTCGCGTGAATCTAAGCACGCATTATGACCTGCCCTTTCAAGTAAGTGGGTCTCAACTAGTGGCCAATAAAGGTACAGCTTTTAACCAAAACCCTGGATTTGCGCCTGTTCTACATTTGAAAATTCCAGTGAATGAGAGCTGCTTGAAATCCTGCGAAAGATCGACATCGATGACTGAGATCGCGCCAAGGTCAAATCCCAGCAGGTATACGCCCGAGGACTCGTATTGATCACACTTAGCTTCCTCGTGGACAGAAACGAAAAAGCTGCCTTCGAAGTTGTTCTTTCTTTCGCTCTTGTGCGCTTATGAGCCAATGAACCTACGTATGACTTGTCATTATAGCAAATCACATGTATTAGGGCTGTGTTGAATTGAAACAACTTGATTTGTAGCCAAGCTAACGATTCCCTACACCGCAGCTACAGGGTCAAAGCTACTGATTCAGATGAGGGTACAAAGTCAGTATGAGTCTAGACAGGGTGGTACATGTCTCAGCCAAGCGCAAAAGGGAAACACATCAACCTCATACCCAGTCGTTCACTCATATACCGCATCCCGCGTGCCCATTCAACCTCGCCAGTCCTGTTCCCATCACCATACCCAATAGCCATGCTTCAGGGTCTCACACAGCAGTGCCCTCAAGCGTACTAAGTAATTCTTACAACTTGAATATACTTCGGTGCGCATCTCTGGGCTGCCACTGCTCAGCCTCGTCTCCTCTGTCGAGTCCATACTTTCTCGCTCTAGTATGCTCATCAGAGCCCTCGAAGAGCGTCTGCATCGTTTCTATATCATTCACATACAAGGCGAAAGCATTGGCACAATGCTGTGTAACACGTTCTGGGTAGTTAGAGGTGCGTATTGCGATCGAACAACGCCAACATATCCCACTCGTCAGCTAGTATATGAATAGCACGAAAGGCAGCATTCGAGAGTCGAGAATCTTCAACGCAAGCGTAAGAGACCAAATGACACCTCATGAGGACCAGATTCAGGATGAGTACGTCGATTTTGCTGTCACACATTGGCACCCAATCCCTCCGTCCAGCCAACCGTCCATTCTGAATTATCATTTCAGTTGTCCATAGTCCATACAGTCCCTTTGCATTGTACTTATACAGTGACCAAGGAGCAGCCAATCCCACGACTAAGCGTCGCAACGCATTACACCATGTCTGCACAATCCCGGGTACACAACACCTTCTGAGAGGTTAAAAGCTCATACACCTCGAGTGTAAAAGTACAAACTAAAATAGAAAAACCTCTCAACTACAAGCTTCAAGAAGTGTTTGAACGAAAGACAACTCCAACCAGAACAAGACAAAGTCAACAGCAACCATGGGGTACAAGAATATCACCGTAGAAGGCAATATCCGCCCCTACTATCAATCCTCGGCCCTGGCTCACAAGCCCTGCAGCCGCGGCACCCAATACCACGCACTTGACTGCGGCCACACCGTCGTTGACCCATCTGTCACGGGTTGTGCAAGCAACTGCGTCGAGCCCGGTGTCTACGCAGACGGGTCCTCACCCTACGCGGACCACTCTTCTCACGCAGACAAATCCTCCTCTGACATGTCCTTCATGGATATCGACATCACTTCTTCTTCCTCTGACATCACGTCCTCCTCCGTAGTCAACTTCGACATCCGCCCAAATACCTTCCTCTGCGTCCTCTGCGTTCTCAAGCAGTACTGCCCATGGATTGACGAAGACACCGTGCCCAACGACGACGTACGCTCCCTCCTCTGCGAAGTGGGCAACGCCCACTTCGAAGACGCCTCGGAGGACCTCGCCGCCGCCACTTCGAAGCATCGCTACTCCGAGCCCTCGAAGCCGTTCACCCTGGCAGACCACTTTTGAGTATTAGTAGAGCCTTCTTGGCTCTGAACTTTGCTCGTATTTTTGCTGACAGTAAGTAGTCGATACTTCCGTTCCATTGTGAGCGGGTCTCATGGTAGAATATTCAATTGATCTGGTCTCGAAATAAAAAGACTGTTTGCACAAATGTCTCATAACCCCATACTCTTTGTGATGATTTGCCAGGTAAGTCTAATCCATCTTGGAAGCATGTGTAAAAGCTGTAGCTCCCTCAAATTATGCACATGCCCAATACTTGCCTAGGCAGCGCAGAAGACTACAAGAGCGGAGTTGCTGTGCCCCGCCTCAGTAACACGTCCAGCCACAGCCCCTCCGCAAGTGTCAGCTCAGCAGTGGGCATAGACTGAGTGTCTATTACGGCGGGGGGAATGAAATAGCGTTCAAAACTGAAGGAGAAACATCATACAAATACATGATAAGATGAATTTACCTACCAACGCCTTGCGATGCAGATGCAGAGTATTCCCTGTCTAATCTATGTGTGCCGGATATCGTACACCCACCATCGTACACTTTCATTACATAATATACAACTGGACATGCCACCTCTTAGATCAAGGCTTCGCCCTTGAACATAGCTTCCCTGACCTCCTTGACGACGTCGGCTCGATCACCAGGACCAACAAGCACGATGCCTCTTCCTCTCCTACCCATGCGCCCGGTCCTGCCCAGACGATGGATGAAATCGATTGTGGTATGCGGTACATCGTACAGTATGACGTGTCGGACGGAGACGGTGTCGATACCTCGCGAGCCGAGATCGGTCGTAACGATGACTTTGGTGTTGAGTAATTGTCGCGATGTGCCGCTGGCATTGGACTTGGCAGCTTCCTTCTGTGCCTCACTGTCTTTGGGCTCTTTGATCTTTTCTGTGCCGGTGAAAGATGCGAGAGCCTTAGCTTGGCGGTTTGGATCCGTATCGCGGTGGAAGGCCATGGCGTCGATGCCTTTCTTGGTCAGGTACTCGGCTACCTTGTCAGTATCGTCGCGCTCGTTGACGAAGACAAGGATACGCTTGGTGGGTATGGCCTCTTTGCCTTCAGCGGGATCGTAGTCGGCGGTCGCCTTTCCAATCTGCCAGATGGTGTCGGCGCAGGCGAGCATCTTGTTGCCGCGGTACGGTTCCTTGTTGACGTCGACAACGCCGAGCGCAACTCGTCGAGGGATAGCATGCAGGTTTGGCGTAACCAAGCGTTGCATATCCGGGAACTTCTCAGCCAGGTACTTGTCGAGATACTTCGGGATGGTAGCAGAGCAAAGAAAGAGCTTTTTCAGAGACGGCGTGGCCCGTTCCAGAATCTCTGTAGTGCTGGGTTTGAAGGAACGGTCGAAGAGAGAGTCGGCTTCGTCGACGATGAGATGCGTGACACGTGCTAGGATGTTGGGGTTGCTTTCGGCGATGCTGGCGAGGAGGGGTGGCGTGCAGATGACCAGATCGACGCCATTCTCATTGAAGAGACGGTTTCGGATGACGGTAGCTGAGTTCTTCGCTGAGATGGGTGCGGCACGGAATTTGCATTCGTGTGAGAGGGATTTGGCAACGGCGCCGACTTGGGCGACGAGCTCGGCAGACGGGACCAGAATGATGGCGCGAGGGCGGGCAGGGTCCACCGCCTTGTTTAGGTCGGGCTCCTCGACACCAAAGATGTCGTCTCTGCGAGTCGGGTCGGCAGCTTTGGTAGTGGCGTCCTCTGCTGCTTTGCGCTCCGCTTCCTCCTTGTCTGCTGCCTCCTCGCGCTTTATGGCGTCAATGACCGGGAGCAGGTATGCCAACGTCTTCCCGGATCCAGTCTCTGCGGCCAAGAGGTACGAATCGGGACCCGTCTTCTTGACGGGGTTCCTCGTGCGTGGCTGCTTCTGAAGCCCAAGTAGCGCGGGTATGGCGACGGCTTGCGCTGGGGTGGGCGTGCGGTACTCCAGGTCCGGCAGGGCGTCCTTGATGGCCTTTTGCACGCTCTCCATCAGCGGCAGGCCCTCGAACGAGTCCACCTCTTCCACCTTGGCCTTGATGGCCGACCTAAGCCTGTAGGGTATCTCGTGGAGCGACTTTTGCATCTTCAGCGCGTGGAATGAGTCCGAGGAGCTGACGGTCCGTTTCCTGTCGAATCTCCTGTCGCCCTCTCTCCGCTCGGTCGCCGACGACTGCCGACTCTGCGTGTCTTGCCGCTGGTCCTGCCCTACGTCTAGTCTCTTGTGCAGGATGCCCGTGGCCTTGGTCCGGTTCAGATAGGAGAAGGGTTCGCGCGTCTTCTTCTTGGGCGGCTGTCCGTCTGCTGCGGGGCGGGCTGGTCGCGCGACCGTGTCGGACAGCACCATGCGCGACGGCCGCGACGCATCTGGCCTCCGTCGCGAGGGCCCTCCGGAGCGCCGGCGGGCGGCGGCCTCGTCGAAGCGGGCGGCCCTGTCGCGCTGGATCTGGGCGTAGAGGCGCGTCTGCTGGAGCTGGGGGCGGCGGCCCAGGAAGGCGCGCACCTCGCAGAAGGGGCAGGCGCGCGCGGCGTGACGCAGGCCCATCATGATTACGAGGGGAGGTCCACGGAACAGTCGTCAATCGCAGACGATCGGGGGCTAAGAGGACATGCGCTTTGTTGAAACCGGGGTTCTATCGCAGGAATCAAGGACACGGCTGGGGTTCCGAAACTTTTTGGCGCCGCTTGTCGCGACTGCCAATCACGCGGGGCGGCAGGAGCGGGCGGCGGCGGTTGCCCCCAGCAACGGCACATCCCAGACGCAACCCATGCTTGTGTACTTGCGCCCTCATGTCCAGGCCCATTTCAGCAGCGCATCATCCTCTTCCTCCCAACATCTTCAGCCAGCACTCGTCCGCACCTGCGCCAGGCCGCCCTTCACTTTGTTGCAGTATCTGATAGCGCGCACTCCACCCGCTGCGCGCACTCCTCGAGGGAGGTCCGCCATTCTTCACCGCATTCCGCGCCAACGTCTGCGCCCGTAGCCGACGTGCATCCACCCGTCCTGCTGGCCGGCGCTGGTCGAGTCAATGTCCCGCAACGAGGCAGTAAGTTGAGCGCCGCGCCCTGCGTTCGCAGCAGCACACTAACGACCGCAGGTGTCGCCGCTGCGTATCAACAAAACACCCACAGGCTCGCCCGCAAAAGGAAGCAGCATGTCGCGCCCGCTTTCCGAGATTGGTTCCACCGAGAGCCGCCGTAACTCTGGCAACTTCAACGGCCAGTCTACCAAGGTAACCCTGCCAGCATTCCGCCTAAGCGCGCTATGACAGGAAGCTAACGTGGGCCAGAAGGTATTCCTAACTAAGGAGTCCTCGCCCTTCGACTCTGCGTTTCCAAACAGCCCGCGTCTTTTTTGGAAGGAGCAGACCGTCTCGCCCAAGAATCGATTTGGCTCCGAGAACGAGTACGAGCGCGAGCCGTCGCTGTCGCCCAAGCGCAACTCCATTGAGAACCTGAAGAAGGCATCGCGTGTCAAGAACAGCAGCATGTACGCCCGCGAGCAGAAGAACGAGTACGACCCCAACTCTGTCCAGGCCCCGAACCGGCCCCTCGCCGCTGGACGCCCATTGAGCACCCAGGTGCAGGGCAACGCCTTCGGGGGCAGCGGGCTTACTGGTCTGCGCCAGCAGAACGAAGGCCATCGTCGAGGCCACAGCCGCGGCGAGAGCTTGAGCAAGATTCCCACCCTCAGCCCTTCGAAGAGCTCTCCGAGCAAGAACCCTTCCTTGTCCTCCAGCACGGGCTCGCCCTCGCGGGACAGGTCATCTCCAGGGCCAGGCCGCATGTCGCCCACCAAATCATCTCTCGCCAGCCCAGGGCGTTTCAACTCAATCGAGTACAACCCAGACTTCAGCATGTTCTCCGACGACGACAGCCAGCTGAAGCACGAGACACCTCGTCCTCTTCGCCGTCACGCCAAGAGTGTCACTTTCGATGCTGCTCCACCAGTCATCAACGAATACGAGATGGTCACACCTGATCCTTCATCAGTGGCCTCTGGGTCTCGAGAAGGCAGCTACGAGTCGGACGAAGAGGAGCTCAGCTTCGACCAGGACGACAGCTTCGATGCATCCTTGGAAGACACGGACAAGACCCCCGTGGTTCTTCCCGAAGATTGGCGCCATATGAGCCCCGAGGCCGCAAACACATCGCTCATTGACAATTACGACGACGTTTTCGGTCGCGACAACAGCCCTATGCCAAACGCACATCCCAACGGCAGGGCCAACAACTCGCGCAACGGATCCACTGCCTCCGACGGCGAATCCAGGCCTCTTCCTCCGTTGCCAGGCATGCAATCCCAGGACCGCCGCGATTCAAGCGTTGGTCTTTCGGCCGCTGCGGAGCGCGCAGCGTCGCGTAGGTCGCTTCCTCAGCTCCCACCAGGTGCAGGCATCTCAAAGGCCGACCTTCTCAACATGCGCGAGGGCTCCATGTCTCTCGAGGACAGACTTCGGTTGATGAACTTTGACGATGAGCGCGACCTCAGCACACCAACCCAGGAGAGTCACGATAGCAAGGTCGAGATGGGCGTACAAGTTGAAGTCGCTGAGATGGAGGAAGTGACCGAGACTGAGCTTGACAGTCCTAAGACACCGCGCATCTCTCGCGAGTCTATTCTCCGCAAGGTGCAGGGTCAAAGCTATGATGGTGAAGGCTATGGCTACGATTACGACGTAGAGTCCAGCCCTGAGCGTAGTTACGGCGATTTGGCAGATCTGGATCCAGATGTGCCAATCCCTTCGCGCGAAGTCTCCTCCAATTTTGACGAGCATCCGGAGGCACCAAGCGAGGCTGATAGTGTTATCGACGCTTATTCCTTCGCAGAGACGACTGAAATGTACACCGAGGTGTCGGAGCTCGAGGAGGATGACCGAGATGAGGATCGAGAGACGTCTGTTATCCATCATGACATACACCAGAATAGTCAGCTCGATTCAGATGACGCAAGCGAGTATTCGCCACAGCCCGAGGAGCAACCAACTTCTCAGAGCACCATCGACACTTCAGGACCCTCGACCCCAACAGCGACCACCTCTTCTCCGACTGCTGGAGCGAAGGAGATCAGGCGGGATGAGCTTTTCGCTGACTTCCAAAACAACGAGATGGATTTGACACTTGATCCTCTCCGGTCCTCCTTCCAGACCGCGCTAAGCCCCTTAGACACAGCACCTAAGCTTGATGCCATGCGCCAATTCCTTCAGCGACCAGAGACTCCTGAAATTACGGATCCGGAGGCTGAGGTTGAGGAACCCGGCACTCCAGACTCAGTCATTCGCCACCCTGTCGTTATCTCACCTCCTGAGGACGAAGCGGAGACTCCTGTTCCTGAAGAAGAGGCGACTATTAAAGGCGCCAGTGGTAAGCTCAGGGCACGGCCGTCCTTGATTCCTGCGGATGTCGACATGGCCGCACAACGTCGACAAGTGAGCGGCGAGCATCCACCTCCAGTTCCTAGACGAAGCCCTGCACGCCAGTCCTTGAGCACGGACTTCGGTCATGTCGATGAGGAAGACTCGCAGACGACGCTGTCGAACAAAGAGAATCTCATGCTCGATTTACAACTTGGTGACGACTCGAACGATCTTAGCTTCGGCCTAGACAAGGAGTTCGACAACATCATCGAAGCTCAGAAGGTAAACAGCCTTTGTCCTTTATCCCCTTTTGCTCTGTTTCCACCATCCACTGCTACAAAGCAGGATGGAGCAAGACACATGTCCGGTGAAGGCTTCATCTATACGTACGCAACCGCTAACAGTATTTCCAATCTACAGAAGGGTTATCTCATGCGTCAAAACACCAAGGTAGTTTACGCAAGCAGCCGTCAGTTCAGCGATGAGAAACCCCCAGCGGTCAAGGTCGAACAGCCTGCCGATAATGGTTTGAAGGCACCAGCCGTCAATGCTCGCAAGATCAGCGCAGAGACCAAGCCTGCTTGGACCAAGGAGCCTTGGAATGGTAAGGCTAGGCGACGGAGCATTCGAACGGCGTCTGGTTCGCGAAAAGCCATGACCTCTGGACCAGTCCCTCCCATGCCAGGCCAGGAATCCGCTGTCGCGGGCAATCTCGACTCGGTCGCGGAGGGCGAGGTCGACGAGTTTGAAGAGGGGCAGGAGCGAGGACGGTTGTTTGTCAAGGTTGTTGGCGTTAAGGATCTTGACCTACCTCTACCTAAGAGTAAGTTGCTACCGAACTTCACAGAGCTGTCTGCTGACTTTGACCCATTAGCCGAGCGTACATGGTTCCAGCTGACTCTCGATAACGGTTTGCACTGTGTGACGACGTCGTGGCTTGAGCTTGGCCATTCAGCACCCATTGGCCAAGAATTCGAGCTGGTCGTCTTGGACGACCTTGAGTTCCAACTCACCCTGCAGACCAAGCTTGAGCCTCCTGCTCAGCCAACGGTCACTGCAGCACCAGTCAAGATTGTCAATCACAAGAAGTCACACTCTGCATTCCGTAATCTCCTTTCGTCTCCCAAGAAGCGAAAGGAGCAGGAGCGGAAGCAGCAAGAAGAAGCCGAGCGTCTCGCCCTCCAGCAGCAGCAAGAGGCACAGGCCAAGGCGAAGCGCAATCATCAGGCTACCGCATGGGATCTTCTTCATGACTTGGTTGGTCCCGATGGGTCTTTTGCGCGTGCCTACGTCTGCCTCAAGAACCATGAGAATCAAGCCTACGGTCGACCGCTGAACGTCGACATCCCTTGCTTCAACGAGTGGGCCGTCGACAACACTGGTGCTAGCAGTGTAAAGAGCAAGCGTGGTGGTGTTGTTCGTCGCCCCCCCTACCGAGTTGGTAAGCTTGCTCTCCAGCTGTTGTATGTCCCAAAGCCCAAGCACGCCAAGGACGATGACATGCCCAAGAGCATGAATGCTTGCATTCGCGAGCTACGAGAAGCAGAAGAGGTCAAGAACCAATCTTGGGAGGGACCTTTGAGCCAGCAGGGTGGAGACTGCCCAGTAAGTGACTCCATATTAGAATGTTTCTGAATGAATACTAATCTCGACTTAGTACTGGCGTCGTCGATTCTTCCGCCTCAACGGTACCAAGTTGACCGCATTCCATGAAGCCACACGGCAACCGCGTGCAACGATCAACCTTGCCAAGGCCACCAAGCTCATCGATGACAAGACTGCTCTTCAACAGCCGTCTTCCACAAAGACCGGGGGTCGCCGCAAATCAGCCTTTGCCGAGGAAGAAGAAGGCTACATGTTCGTTGAAGAGGGTTTCCGTATTAGATTTGCCAACGGAGAGGTCATTGACTTCTACGCCGATACTCGCGAACAAAAAGAGGAGTGGATGAAGGTCTTGTCCGAGTGCGTTGGCAAAGACATCGCCGGCGGACGTGGCTGGGCTGAGATGGTTCTCGACAAGGAGCGGAAAGAGAAGCGATCTCAGCCGGAGCCTTTGCAGGCCAAGCCGAAACGAGAGAGCAACGCGATGAACGGCGCTCTACAGCGACCACGTTCACACGAAGGCCATGGCAGCCAATCTGTCCCCTCGAGCCCCGTGAAGCAGCGTCCAGGCCACTCGCGGACGAAGTCGGCCCTTCCGACATCTCCGGCTCCGCCGCCGATCGAAAAAGACGAGCAGCACAAGAGCAGCACTGCGCCGCGGCGGAAGGAAGTGCCTGGAGGAGTGGCAAATCGCAGGGATCAGGTTCGATCGATGATTTTCTAATCTTCTGATTGCACTTTCGTTCCACTTCCCAGTAGTACATTTTTTACATACCTTCATCAATACCCGGAACCCTTTGGACTACTCACACTTTACTTTCGCTTACGCTTTTTTGAGTCGTAGGGAAAACCGTTTCGTCCACTGTTGGATAGGTTTAAGATCGACTTTGGGTCATTGAAGGGCTCATGGAGGAGAAGAGGCGCTGTGCGCTGAATTACTATCACTGAAGGCACGCATTGTACGCTATGTATGCTGGAGCACACTAGACCGTCGGCCGCGTCACGCGGAGTTTCATATGTTGTCGCGTCGAGTCTGGGGTTGAGGATGAAAGACGAAGTTGGTTCTTATTCTTGCCACTGATTTTGGGTATGGGTCTTTGATTCCGGCGTCATGGCGGGCATATGAGCGAGGCTATGCGTATTGACTCTGTTTAATGATTGAAGATGGAACTTGATGAGGCAGAGAACCACGCAAGTAATGGATACTTTTACAAAAACCTTGGGGATCTGTGTGATGTCGTGATCTCGACTTGATCGCGAGATGTATTCGTTTTGCAAGTTTCACAGGGCCTTCATTGCTCATGTGATAGCTGGTTGTCAGTCAATGTAGCATGCGGCTGTTTGATCAAAACCTTCCACGTTTGATGGTTTCGTGTTTGTCACCTTCGAATGATAGGTACTTGGCATCGAATAGAGTCGGCAGGTGACGCCGTACGACGGTCAGACATTGAGCAAACAATCCCGCGCCAGCACACGTTCCGGACGTCCTAGTACTCCACGAGCCCATTCCGTCTCGCTTCTCCCAGATGGCTTCCTCTCCATCTCCTTCACTGTTCGTAACCTTTACAATGCCTTTTGTGCGCGTCCTACCTGTAGTCGAATAGACCCCAAGCATCATCCATCACGACCTCGTCAGCCTCTCGCAGTGCTCCTCCATAAATGGGTAACTCGTCCTCTTCCCACCCACAGCCCCCGCTCATCGCGCTCAACGGCGGCTCCCTCGGCAGGCACAACACCATCTCCGTCCCTGCCGAAGCCTTTGCTGGGAAACGGGCGCCTGAGAAATGGTGCAGATTGAGAGGCAAAAGCAATTATACCCCAAATTACCGCCCAGTGTTCCCAGATCCGTGGTCGTACCTTCCATTCCCCCCGCCGAGGGTGGGAAGACGACCGTGGGGTAGGAGGGGCTGGAGAGGAGGTGGAGAAGAGACGCTGAGTGAGGGTGACATGAGCATGCGGCCCAGGAGAAGAGGTAGAGGAGGAGTGGGTAGGATGAGAGGAGCGGGCATGGGCTTGAGGCGGGGAGGGGAGATGAATATGGATGTGGCATATGTGCCAGGTATGCATGGTGTGGTGCCCTTGCCGATGGTGTACCCCTATGATGCCCAGGGCGCGAGGGCGAGGAGTGCGCCGAATTTACAACAGGCGGGCTATATGTCTATGCCTGTGCCTGTGCCTATGCCGGTGCGAAGAGGCAGGGTGAAGAAGGGTGTAAATCCGACGGGGGGAGTGCAGCCGGGCGTGCTTCCTCACTATGCGCCTGTGCGTGTGAATGGAATGGCGCCAGGACCAGCGCCATCGCCGTACGCAGCTCAAGCTCAACCTCTGGCCCGGATGCCGGCGCGCGCACCACCGCCTCAGCAGCAGAAAATGCGTCATCCCCACCCGCCCGGCGTCGAAGCAGTCGCGAACGGCGTCCACTTCGCACACCCTTCATCACAACGTGCCCCTGTCCGGCGCAAGCCTAGCGCACCCCACGTCTCCGCCCAACTCAACCGCACACAACCCCCATCCAAGCGCGCCGGGCCCTCGGGCCAGGAGTGGCTCCCCTCCGACAACGCGTTCCTGGATGCATGCACGTGCACCACGAACTGCAATTGTCGGAAAGGTGTGCGCGTGCTGTATCGGCAGCAAGGTCAGGGTGACGGCGAGGGGGCGCAAAATGTGGAAACGTGGGGTGAGATAAGGTATGTGCTGAAAGACGATTTGGGGCGGGATTGTGGGGATTCAGGGAGGTGTAGGGCGGATGGCGAGGGTGATAGTGGTGGGGGTGGGAGGAGGAAAGGGAAAGGGAAAGGTAAGAAAGGGGAGGGCGAACAGGGTGGAGAGGTGGACAAGATGAGGGAAGAGTTGAAGGGGTTGAGGCAGGATATTAGAAAGATGCGGCTCGGAGGTACGGCGATGGGGCCTGGGATGAGCATGGCGAGGATGCCGTCTCCGAGGGCATGGCCGGGTATGGAGATGGATCCACGGATGTCACAACGTATAGGCGCTGGGGACCCGTATGACATGGATTTCACACTGCGGATGCAGCAGCAGCAGATGATGGGACGGCGACCTGGCCGGATGCCCGGTAGAATGGCAGGGATAGATCTAGACGACGAGCGCTCCTTTCCAGACGCAGAGTACATGCTAGACCCAATGATGCACCCCGACATGCCTCGCCTGCCTCCGCACCTCAGGAACCCCGGAGCGCGACGCCCAAAGCAGCGTCGAGGACCACCAGGTCGGCTACCACCCCGCAGAGCGCCAGACTTCGATCCACACATGGAATATGCACCGCATCAAGGACGTCGAGGGAATATGCCCATGCCCTTGCCGCGCCGACGAGGCGGCGGAGCCCCGCCCCCACCGCCAGGCTACCATTTCGACGACGAGAGCATGGGCAGCGGGCTTGACGGGCGAGGACGTTTCGGCCCCATGGATGACGACGAGGGAAATTGGGCCCCGCGCCCTGGTAAGCCGTTCAGCGAATTAGGTGCAGCGCATCCTGACAGGTATACCACAGGCATCGACAACGAGTTCAACATGGCACCGCCGCCGCCGCCAGGGCAAAGCCCCCGAGGCCGAGGCCGAGAGAGTGGATCCGAGGACAGGCCAGAAGGGCGCAGACCGAACCAGGCGTATGTGGATGATGGAGATGACTATTAGGCCGCAGCCAGCGGAGTGATGTCCTGGTACCTTCGTACGACCGACCAGTTTCGCGTGTGCTGCTCCTCAAACACCCACCGTCATCGTGGCATCATTCGAGACACGGTGGCTCCTGTGCCTCTCTCTGTGCCACACGGCGAGCCTGACGCCCAAAACGAGGTTCCTCGTCATAGAAGCGCTGACCAGGCCATGTTCTCATGGTCCCCGCGTGCCACATTGAGCACTTCGTCAAACAACGCAGTCGCACAGGCTCCTGCGAAATGGCGGCGACAGGCCGTGGCTACTCTCGGGCTGACGTGCCAATCCTTCATGTCTCTGTGAACATGTCAGCGCGAGCCAGTGGGAAAGAAGTTACGTTACAAACGACTTTAATCGGTGAGCAACAAGGAGACCATGTGCACGTGCGTTGGGATGCGAGTACCTAGGTGGGGCGGTTGTATGGTAGGAATGTCAAGACTAAGGACAACGCAAATCTCATCCAGGGTCGACACAGTGTACTCTGGATGTTGAAGAGATACTGTAGGTTCCAGACGAGATGTTGGATAAGGTTTGGGAGAATGGCCAGGCCATAGAGTAGAAAGAGGTAAGAAGCAGCGCACAATAGACTGGAAAAGATTACAAGTGAGGAATTGTATTTGACCTGACCCAATTGATCGCGATATCATCCATACAACCGAAGCCGTTCTGCCTCTCACCAAGTCTATCCCTACAGAGATCAGAAAGCCTGCCAGCCTCGCAGGTGGAAGGTACCAGCAAGTGAAATCCTCGGAAGAGGTGAGTCCTCAGTAAGGTGGGCGTGTACACGTGATCATGTCATCCTTAAACGCCGACCCATAATCTGGAGACATAAAGACCGATAGATGGCATCCCCACTGCCTAGCTCGCCGGCCCATACATAACCTTCCATGCCCGTCCTGAACTCCTCGCTCGAAAATGCACAGCACACGAAGAAACCCTACTGAAAGAAGTGTCGAACTTCGACTTTGGAAGAAGAGCATAAAACTTGTGTCGAAGGAGGGGTTAAGTAAAATGGCTCGTCACTAACATATCCGAGTTGTGATGATCTCCACCCATTCCAACGTGTGGAACTCCAACTCGCGATGAGCGAGCAGTAGCTCTTTTGCGGTTAAGCCCCACCTCACTAGCATCTATGGCGCCGCCCAGCCTAAGCCATTGGGCGAAAGGTTCAGGCCGGTACTGAGATGCTGGCCGCGCTCATAAAGCGAGTCGATCTTCAGCTTCTTCTCTGCCCACCATTTCTCGAAGGTGGCGATGTTGATAGCGGAGAGATGGTGGGTGGTGTCACTGGTGCGCTTGGCCTCGCGCCACTCCAAGTCAAGCTTGTGGCCGCTATGCTTGAGACGAGGAAGAGCCTCGGTGCGCAAGGAGGAGATCTCGAGCACATAGCCTTGGTCTTGCGGCTCGATTGGAATGATGAAGGACCCATTGCGGGAACGGTTGCCCTTCTCAGCGGGAAGCGAGTCCGAAGGACCAAGGCAAATGGGTGAAACAGGGTTCGTGCTCTGCGAGGAGGCTATGGACGGGGTGCCAGCCTCTGACACTGAAGTCGTAGTGAAGACGGGTGAATTGACGTCGGACAGAACCACGCTGCTAGCATTGCTGATGGTGCGTATCTTTGGTGGCGGCAGAGCGTCGAGCTTAGCAATCAACTCATCGTCCTCGAACTTGGTATATGCGTTGCCGTTTCCCTGCGCTGACTTGTGGGCATCGATCCTCGAGTAGCCTATACCGGTCAGTCTCAGGTCGAGGATGTGAGCAACGGGGACGTGCTCAGGGACGTGCTTCGTGGGGTCCTCGATTCAGCCGCGTGTGATGTCACCCAAAAAGCAAAGACGCAACTTGTTACTTACCAGTCAGCACCGCCGCACCAGCTTGCTGCACGGCAGCGAGGGTGGTCTGGATGTTCGAGGGAAGGTGCTCCCAGAGGTCTTGGGTGACGTGCCAGTCGGCGAGGTGAGAGCGATCGTAGCTGAAGGCGTCGCCATCGCGCGGGCAGAGGGTGCGTGGTGTATCGATCTTGGGAGTGCAGAAGGAGGAGGTGAAGCTCCGGCGGATAGAGCCACGGCGCTCGTGGTTTTGGGAGAAGGCGGGATTGTTGTAGGTGAGGTTTGGAGAGCTAGGGTCGGCCATGGTGTTGTCTAGATAATGCCGGTGGTCGAACGAGAGTTGTGAAGAAACGGCTTGGTGCTGCTGCTGCTGCTGCTGCTGCTGCTGCTCGGTGCAGCACGGGCAGGAAATGATCAAGGTATTTGTACTGAAGCGAAGGAGGGAAGGGAGTCTTGTATGAGGAAGAGCCCTGCTCGATGGAACGGCGGCGTGAGGTGAGTATTAAGCGCTTGGCAGGCGCGGGAATCAGGAAATGATGCCCAGTCGCAGTTGCGGCAGGACCCTGTCAGTCCACCAGTGTAATCCTCGAGCTCTCTACTAACAGTCAGGATTAGCCGATGCGGTTGCTCTAATTTCCCGTATTTACTGACGTCGCTTCCACGTAGTGTGCAGATGGGAAACTGAAATTCCGATGCCCTTCTGCGGGAAGCTGCAGCTGTTCCTGGTAATTGTGATGTCCCTGCAAACGCGCAGAGCGAAGCAATTAGCAAACGTGTGCTGCTAGGGTGCGCCTCGTTTCACATGGGAATGCACACGTACATGAATTGCCGTACCGCAGCGCTGGTGCCCAAAGGCCAGGTTTACGCGGATATCAGGCAAGCGAGCTGGTCAGCGGCGTGCACACCAAAACAGTCTGGAGACAGGACTGGAGTGGCAGCAGCCAGCGAGTGGCGGCAATCAAAAGTGAAAAGCTCACATACCGAAATGAGGCAAGCTTCGAGTATTGCTCGGAGGAAGCCGGGGGCGCAATACCCGATTCGGCAACGGATGCTAGGGCGGTTGCTGTTTCGCGCGCTGTCCGCTTCAAAGCCACTCGGTTGGCGTGCGTTCACGCTCGATGTGCGTAATGCGATGCGTTCTGGATTGATGCAGAAGACACGACGGAGAAGGTGGTGTGAGAATAAAGGGCGTTTCCAGAGCCAGTACGCGCAAAAATCGGCCGACCCTACTCCCCACAGTCTTTTGCCTGCCCAGCCCACCAACCAGCCTGTGATATAACATCATGAGAGAAATTGAGGGGCGTCGCGGGGTAGTGTGGACGGCGAACGTGGTTCCATTCGAAATACCTACACTCGGGCTGCTCAAACCCACACTTGTTGGGCATGACTGCACAGCCCAGCGCCATTTTTCAAATCAATCGCCGCATCTTCTGCGCGCATGGTGCCGATAAGGAGCACTGCACTGCAGGACGGTACGCTAAAAACAGACCCCCATGCTATTCGATAATGCGCCATTAATGTATGTACTCGTTCCCAGGCGCAGACCGTGGGACTGCTATTCCAGCCTAACACGGATTGCAGTTAGCTTGGTCACAATGCGACGTTCATGGGGATGCAAACCTCTGGATCAAATGCACCCCGGATGCCGTCTCCACAATGCCGCTAACCTCGCCCTTGTTCAGGCGGAAGGCAGCCTCCTCGAACTCCTTCTGCATGTCTCCTCGTCCAAAGAATCCCCTGGCCGCCCAAGTCAGTCTGTTTCCCACGCAGCGTCCTAAATCCACTCACAGATCTCCACCCTTCCGGGCACTGCTGCAATCCGATTCGGTCGTGGCGAGCTCTGATAGCGATTTTCCATTGGGGTCGGACGAGTTGTTCTCGTATGCCGTTATCTGTTCGAGGTACACCTTTATAGCCTCGATCGCCTCTTCCTTGGAGCGCGTGATGCGTGGCTCCCGCCAGCTGGCTGGTCGGCGACTATCCCGGTGCTTGACGAGGAGATGTGCAGCGCGTATCTTATCGCCCTGGTTATCGAGGTTTGCCGGCGTAACACCCTTAGAACTGTGGTACTTGGCCATATAAGCCTTCAGCCTGTCTGGGTCTGTCCCCGCTGGTGGCTCCCATCGCGAGTCTTTGGTCGCAGGGTGGAAGTAGTAGGGGAGGTTTTTGCTGTTGGAATGGCGTATCTCCCATCCCTCGGGGAGGCCTGTTTCGGGTCCGGAAGACTGCCAGTGTCAGTGTTGCCGCCGGTTGCTATGGAGCTATGCGCCGCTGCATGCGCCAGACTCACCATGATGGAGAGAGATGTGGTGTGCGTGTGGACGGTCTGAGAATTGGGCGTGGGCGCACTGAGTTGGGGTGGTCTTTAGGTAGAATGATGCTGCAGAGGCTGCGGTGAGAAGAAGCTTGCAGGGCGGAGATGCTGAAATGCCGGTTGGGACGATCGCTGAGCTCTCGAACGCGGGGATGGTTCACCCGCCAACTGAATGCACGGCCCGTTCTGCGCCACCGCCTCCACGCTTTTGCGGCACCAGACTCGCCTGCACCGGCTTTGACGCTCCAAGTCGACAGGCGCTGCGAACCTCTGCCACCACCTGCTGCCCGTCCGCATTCTCCACACGATACTGACGCGATAGTCGCTACCGGCGCCTCCACCAGCACGCACGAACACGCAACCGCGCTGCACAAAAGTCACCAAAAAGCCACCACACAAGACAGCCGCCATGTCGTCGCCTGCGGACCAGCAACAGGAGACGGACGAGAACAAGAAGATCCTCTTCCGCTTCTGCTCAGAATGGTGAGTCGCATCTGCTGGTCACGCACAGCTCCTGACCCCGCTAGCTCTAACCTGCTCTTTCCCCGCGAAGACAAAGCTGAGAGCAAGCTGCTGTTCGCCTGCCGCACATGCTCCTTCTCTGAGGAAGCTCCCTCAGCGTGCGTCATGCGCAACGAAATAGCCTCGTCGGCCGGCGACACGGCTGGTGTGACATCGGATATTGGGCAGGATCCTACGGTTGGTCTCACCCGCTCATTTTCACGCGCCAGTCTCAGGGAACTGGACGGCCTTCCGAACTTCTGCACCATGTGCGGGCAGGACATCGTCTGCGTGGACTGTGGCGAGGAGAGTGCGCCGGGCCTCGTTCTTGAGGCAGAGGATGAGCACTCATTGCAGTCCAACATGCACAGAGCGGGCGGCGAGCAATCCTCGAAGAACTGAGCACAGTCGCGCGTTGATTTCGTCGCTTGCCTGCTCCTCTTTGAGCCTGCTTGCTGACTCTTGTCGCATCTAGTTGCCGCGAATCAAGGATAGGGCCTGCCCCTCGTGCGGCGAGCAGGACATCGTCTACTTCCAGTCCCAGCAGCGAACCACACATACAGGCATGGTAAGCTTGTGACCCTCTCTTCAGCGGCTATGCTGACACGCCGTAGAAACTGTACTACGTATGCACCCAGTGCAGTCATGTGTGGCAGTAGAGAGATTTTGTTCAATGCCCTTTCATGGGCGATAGACTTCAGCATTGGGATGGAGTTTAGTGTTTTTCTATTTTGCTCTACCAACGGTGTCCGGAATGGTATCTTATACCCAGCGATATTGTACAATGGCATACACGTGTTTTCGTACAACAGCTATACCCCCATACTCCTGCAAATGCAATGCTTCTCTTTCTTTGCTCCGGCCTGGCTCCCCTCTACACGTGCATTGGGGCCAGCGAGAGAATCTTGGACCACTGTTTTTGCCTGAGCTCTGCCGCCACCACACCGCTCACTCGCGATCCGATGGGCTCGCCGGCCTTGTTGATGAGCACGCACGCGTTGTCGTCGAACTTGACCACGCTGCCGTCCGGTCGCTGCCACTTCTTCGCCGTCCGCACGACGACTGCGTGCCGTACATCTCCGCGCCGCACCTTGTTCGCTGCGCTGATGGAGACGCTGTTGCCCGTCTCAGGGCCGAAGTTGCGCTGCTTCTTGACGACCACTACTATCCGGTCGCCTACGTCTGTCAATATGGCCGCCCTCTGCGATGTATCCAGCTCACGTACCGACTTTGGCAGGGCGCTTCGAGCGCAGGACGTTGACGCACTCGACTATGGCGGCGCCCGAGTTGTCGATGCAATTGATGAGGGTCTAGATTGCGCTGCATGAGTGGCTTTGTCCGGGCTGAGGGGCGCGCGTCGTACCTTGAGCTGGATCATTGTGAAAGCGCCGTGTGTCCCACAATGCAGTGCTTCTTCGTTCCAGCGGCGTCTCGGCGCGGATGCGGGCAGTGGTGCTGGCGATGGTGCTCGACGTCCCAGGTTTGCAGTCGAGTGGAGCGCATGGCCATCTGCCCAGGAATTCGGCCCTAGCGCGAGCTCGCTTGATCCCGTCGCTCTCCGCGCCTCTCGTCCAGTGGCCAGCCGATGCAGCCGCAAGGGAAAGCCAGGCCGCGTTGGCGCTGATCCACCCAGCCTCAAGTCTCACACCGTCCTGCGCTTGCGCCATTTGCAGCTCGTGTGCTGCCCGCGGCCGCTGTCGCTCTCTCCTTTCCTTTGCGCATCCCTCGCGCTTTCCTCCACGGTCGCTCCTTCCGTTCGCGCCCATTCCCGCAGCAGCCTTGCTGGACGTCCTTGCGCGATACGTCACCCAACCACCCCTATCGCGCCGCCCGCTTGCACAACAACAAAAGCAATTCCCCAACAAACACTCTCTTGTTTGCGCAGGGGTCTGATCAAGCGCCTTTTCAGGCAGAGCAGCCATGGCTCCAAAAGAGACGGCGAAAAAGGGCGCATTGACACTCGAGAAGCTGGCTCTGTACGACGACATACTGACGGATGCGCTCGTCGACAAGGTACGTCCTACATTCTGCGTTTGCGCCAGCCTAGTCGCTGGACTCCATGGAACGCATGCGCTAACTGGCGCATCTGCAGGTCTACTACTGGACCACCATCAGGAAGAACCGTGGCGGCCGCTTCTCAGGATCGAGAGGGCTGAACGAGGAGGACATTGCAAGCATTTTGCGCGAGCATGTTATTGTCGAGAAGAATTCTGCTGAGGCCATGCATCGCTTGGTCCAGCTACCGGGTCTTAAGAAGTTCCTCGCCACGTTGAAAGACGACGCGGACACGGAGCATTTCAAGAGGCACTTGCGCCGATACGTTTCTATATACCTACCGGATTGTCCTTTTGAGGTCACCACAACGAATCGCTACACCATAACGGACCACGAGGCATCCATCACCGCGCGCCGAGATATCCAGCCCCGCGAAGAGATCAAGTACCTCACTGGAGTGCAGGTCGCTATGACCGAGGAGCAAGAGAAGAACTTGGAGTTGGCTCGCAAGGACTTTAGTCTAGTCATTTCAGCGCGAAAGAAGACCCGTTCTCTATTTCTTGGCCCAGCACGGTTCGCGAATCACGACTGTGACGCAAACGCCAGGCTGTCCACTAAAGGCTACGATGGCATGCAGATTGTTGCGGTCAAGCCAATCAAGGAAGGCGAGGAGATTACAGTATCGTATGGAGAGGATTATTTTGGTATTGACAACGAGGAGTGCTTGTGCCACAGTTGCGAAGATCGAATGGTGAACGGATGGGCGCCTTTCAGACCTATCGAGGACAGTACCGAAGACGAAGGCGAAACTGATGACGGAAAGCGAGAGAAAGAGGAGTTGCCAGGGATCGCAAACGAAGAGAGCCCTTCTCGTCGAAGGAAGCGCAAGCACGAACAGTCCAGTTCAGCCGGCGTTTGCGCAACAGCCACAACGTCCAAGCGTAGAAAGTCAGAACCTGCCGCGAAGCCAATTTCTCCTTCAAGACGAACCGCACCACCACAAAAGTCGAGCTTGAAGAAATCCATTAGTGCTTCTTGTCTACGACATGAATTACCTGTTTCCAGTATAGAAGACCCCGCCGTTAACCTTCCATCAACATCACGAAACCTGCGCACTCATCAGCGCAGTAGCTTCTTCAACATTGTTCTTGAAGACAACTCTTCTTCCCGGAACACGACCCCTCAGTCCTCAGCAGGTGCTGCTTCGCCGAAGTCAACACAGTCTACGGACGCCACTTCAGTAGACGAAGAGCAGGTACATGGACTGAACAATCCGAAGATCAAAGTGGATCCTGATGTTATACACAAAAATCCAACCCTAGGAGTTGCGACTGTCAGCGACGAAGTTTCAATGGTAAATGCTCCTTGGTCCTCGCTCTTCGCCGACGATACCTCGTCCGAGCTGAGTGACCTTTCTGACAGTTTGGATCTTGACGATGTGCTACAGCAAATCGTCAAACGAAAGCGCCCGAAGCTCCCTCTGATACCCCGGAATACACGGTCGAGCTCACGCCACATGATTCACAATCCTATCAGCACACCGATATTATATCAAGAACCCGAGGAAGGCATGGTAGAAAACCCGCGCAAGCCAGGTGACTACATGACATCGAAATCTCGCTTGTCTGGTAAGGACAGCCAGTGGGTTGAATGTCAGACCTGCGACGACCAATTTGTGCAAGAAGACAGCCATCGCGGAACGCGCAAGGAGTGTCCGCGTTGCGAGCGCCATTCAAAGCTGTACGGATATCCTTGGCCCAAGACGGACAAGGAGGGTAAGCACGACACTGATGAGCGCGTTCTCGACCACCGCACTATTCATCGCTTCGTGGACCCCGAGGAAGAGAAGGAAATTAAGAAAGAGAAACCGAAGCGCAAGTTCAAGGAGGAGATCATGGAGCGGTTCTCAACACCGCGGTCTTGCCGTGACTCGTCGTTGAGTATTGAGGTCGAGAGCGGCCGCAAGAGGCGGCGAACAAGGCTTACTATGTGATTCTGGAAAAGCACGATATTGCGCGTCTCCCTACGACTATGTACGAAACGTTTCAACACAATAACTATGCAAAGCTGACGGATGCATTGTTTTTTACGATACTCGCCGAAGATGAAGCTCGTTGGTGTTCATTGGAGTTGCGAGGTTACATACAACTGCATTAAGGCGTTGAGTATATCCCTGGTGCTATTTGTCATTTTGGCATATTCAAATTCTCTGGCATTGTACGATACTATAATTTCTGGGTTCGGAGTGGAAATTTTGGTCTTCGGGTTCTCTTCGCACCAGTGTACCACCACGTAGGCGTTGGGCTTTCGAGGGAGATGTTTTATTGTGAATGTTGAGCCACTGATCTTTGTAATTCTTTCTGCTCAATACATGAGAGCCACAGCGCTCTTCCACGGAATAATGCAGATGTCGCATTGCCATGGTTGCCACGCCTTGTTTCCACAGCGTTGGTGATTTGAAGACAGCATCGCGGAGGATTCGCAGAAGCTTCCAAAAAGGGTTCGTCTGGGAACAGAGCGCGTCGAAGCGAACGGGCAGTAGTGCGGCGCCGCCGTTGACGGGACCAACGGCTTTCGTAGTATATAAAGAGTCCTGCCCGACATTTTGCAGTGACTGATATCGACATCTTGCTCCCCTCCCCCTCTCTCCAACGCAAACTAGCGTTCGGGCTCACGATGTTTTGCAGGATGAGGGCCCTTGCTTGTCACGTGTCTACACTAACCACGAATTCCGGGTGTCACTTTCCTTCCACATCTTTACAAGATGATCAGCGGGTTTCTCCATCTTCGAAGCCGGCATTTCCTACGTCTTTCAACTTATCTCTTCCATTGTCACATATCGATTTTGATTTGGATCATCGTACTTCCGTATAGCGACGAACAATCCTTCGGGATAGAGAACCCCAGCCATCCGCAGCCGAGATTTGGAGAACGGAAGAGCAAACAAGAATAGAAGTCCGAGGTGCGATGGCATCAGTGGCAGGACGTTTAGAGCAGCGCGATTGGCCGTCGTTAGACACGGCGCACTTCTTGGCCGTTAGCGTCATGTCGCGAGGCTAATTTGGCCTTCTCCACCTGGAGGTACGATAGCATGCCTCTGGCGACCGCGAGCATTGCCTGCTTCTCATCTGACCACCCGACAACACTGTACGGGAAAGAACCCTCTCTATTCGATTAAAATCCGCCGCGGTTGTACCATCTTGAGAAGGCAGGTGCGGTCCAATGCCCAAACGCTCGACAGGCTGTTTCGAGTGCCGGAAACGAAAAGTCCGCTGCGACGAGGGACGACCGGAATGCAGTACCTGTCTTCGACGAGGCACCAAATGCCCTGGATATCGCCCACTCCAATCGTTCATTCTGCATAAGTTTGAAGAGCAGAATGAGAGACCCTCACTTATCAAGGAGGACGACAACCGCTACAGATATGCCAACCAGGAGACGCAAGAAGAGCCAACATCAGCGGACTCAGAACGGGGAGTAGTCGAATACCTGCAGCCACCAGGACGGAGGTCATCCGGAGCGCCTGTGTTGCGGCAAGTCAGCCCGATTGCGATCGAGCGTGTACAGCACGTTGGGGAATTGATATGGCTTTATCTCCCCAGGTCGGATGCGCATACGTTGCCACCTCCTTCAGCACTGATGCTCACGCTACCGCAACTTCCTGCCACGAGCGATGTTCTCCTGGCTGCTGTCGATGCTTTATCCGCCGCACAACTTGCTGTGGCAAATCGAGATTATAATCTGGTCAATAGATCCCGATCGCTCTATGGGACCGCGCTGTCGAAGATGATGAGTACGATACAGTATCCGGACCGTGCAGTGGAAGATGAAACGCTTCTCGCGACCTATCTCCTGACTTTGTACGAAGTGAGTAGTTCAGATACATATGGCTCTCTCAACATCTGACGTTTTACGCAGGTTTTCGTGGGCATTACTAGCGGGCATGGATTCTTTTATCACGTTCAGGGTCTGCTGCATCTACTCAAGCAACGCGGACCCAAATCCTTTGGCAACCGACTCAATATGCAAATATTCCATGCGATACGGTATAATTCGGTACGACCCTCGTATGTTCATAGCTAAGGTCAACGTTAACCGCTGTGATTCAGCTAAGCATCGGCTACCACGTGCGCAAAGGCTCAATGCTCGACTCAGACGAGTGGATGGCCGTGACCGCCAAAGCCTCCAAAGTCGATCCCTACGTCGGCCTGATAGACATCTGCATCCGGATACCGCGCGTCCTCGAGCGAACCGACAAGCTCATCGCTGGAGATGCAGAGTCCGCGAACCAGCTCATCGAGGACTCCTTGGCACTCGCCGCCCAAGCCAAACAATGGTTCGCCAACTTCGAAAAGCACGGCCCCAGATACACCACCGTGGACGTAAACGAAATCGCCGGCTTCTCCGACATCTGTCCAGATCGAACCTTTGACACGGCATACAACTTCTACGCTTTCGGCGCCGGCATCTGCTACATGATCTACTGGATGTCGCTCCTCATCCTGCAGTCCAACACCTTCAAGCTCCTACTGCAGCACCGCACACTCGAGCCCAAGGACATGTACCTCTGGGACCGCGAGATGGGCAGCTACGCCGACAGTAGCTGTCGGTGCGTGCCGTACAACTGCCGCACGGACGTTGGGTACGTGGGCCGTTTCGGCAGCCTGACACCGCTAGTGGTCGCGCGCAAGTACTTTGAGGCGAAGAAGATGGAGAAGGAGATCCGGTGGTGCGAGAAGGTGTATGAGAATGCGCGGATTCCGGGGCTGTATAGTACGCCGATGCCGATGGAACCGTTGAAGAGCATGCAACGGTTGGTGCAGCATAGTGATCGGTATATTTAGGGGTGGGGGGATGAATATATAAGGTTACTAGGTGAGACTGAGAAGATATGCAGTCTTCTTCTTGGCAGATCCTACCGCTCATAAATCCTCATACTAGGAAACAACAGCAACTCCCGATGATCATAACGACTCGCCCTCTTATTCTCAAACGCCTCCCTGTACAGCGCAGCCCTAAGCGCCTTGACACTGATCCTCTCCTCCGGCTTCGTCCTCAAGCAGCGCCCCACAAGCCCGTTCAACGCATCACTATACTCGGCCCCAGCCACCAGCCTTTCCCTGCCGCCCCTCGCCGGCCTCACAAACGCAAGAGGCCGGAAAGTCAGCCGACACATGGCCACGATATTCAGCCCAATCTGATACAGATCCGACGTGCAATTCATCAACCTCTCCGGGATCCCAAAGTCCACCGCCTGCATCCGCACGCGCGCGCCATCGCCCCACGTGCTGCTCACCGCTGAGCCAAAGTCGCCCAGCACAACGTGCAGCCCGGAGTCTCTGCGGCCCGTGATGAAGACATTGCCCGGGTGGAGATCGCGGTGGTAAATCCAGTTCCAGCCGCGTGCGTCACCGCTGGGCCCGTACTGCATGTAGTGCACGGCCTCGACTAGCGAGTAGAACACGTGCCAGACGAACGGCTCCGGGATCTTGCTCGCGCGGTGGCGATGCTCGCGGATCAGGGCCTTGAGGGTGCCCTTGCCGCAGCACTCCATGAAGAGCTCGCCGCTGGTGTGGGTGATGGTGGCGCTGTACTTGCGGACGATGAAGGGGCAGGCGGCGAGTTGGACGAGGAGGCGGACTTCGCGGAGCGCGTGGTCAGGGACGTCGGCGCGGCGGAAGGTTTTGCGGATGAGGAGATGGCCTTGGGTGGTGTCTTCTTGCCAGACTTCTATGCCGTCGTTGAAGCCGCCCTCGGGGGAGAGGTGGCCGAGAAGGGTGATTCTTGGCATTGTTCTGGTCCTTTAGAGTCACTAAGTGGTTGCTTCAGCTTGTAGACTTTCCTGAGGTGTTCGGTAGAGGACGTGATCACCGGTCGATATCTTATATATTCATCGTTCCTACGGTGAGCAAGACACCTACTGCTACGGCGCCAATGACCGTACGCTTCGTAGCAGAAAGTCTGTCAAGGTCTAACCAACAGCAAAAGAACCTGTCATCACATCGTTGTGTCTCAGCATATTTCGCGTAAGAGGAAGGTATCTTGTGATGATAGTTGACCATGCAAGCTCACGTCCATATAAAGTGCGATCAACAAGATGGACACGCAACATGCAACTGGACAAGAAGCGAGCAGAGATATGTACCACTGAAGCGTTTGCTGACAGAGGGGTGTGCATATCACGACAGCACACGGCTCATACACGTGAAGAAGCAAGAATGTTCGTCAGAAATCATACGCCATATCATCCACTTCGCAGTGACTGACGTACGGAGATGCAAACTTTGCGCCCACCTATTCCTGTGTGCTTTCGGCTGGATGATCCGACCTTTCTATTCATGAGGACTCTACCGCTTGCTGATAAGACGTGTCTAGAATATGTCTGCATTCTCGTAACGTTTTCTCCATGATCGATTGCACCGGCTCGACCGAGCGGACCAGACCAACACCTGTCCCTGAATAAGTCACCATCCGTCCTTGGGCACCCCAAGCGCTATCTCCACGCTTCAACTCCTCTTTGTACAACCTTACATTTTCTTCGTCTGCCATGCCACCCTCTTTGTCGTCATGGCCTTTGTTCCGGATCGCTCGTCCATCATACCAAGTTGGCCACTCGCGATTCTCCTTCAACCGATCACACAACGTAGACCTCATGGTTGTGACTCCACCGTCTCCCGTCTTGATAAGTTCCCGCTTCCAACCCTCCGGAACTGCAGCCTCTTCAGAAGCCAGAAATCGCGTCCCCATTACAGCACCATCAGCACCCAGCGCCAACGCAGCAGCCACACCGCGTGCATCTGCTATGCCACCAGCGGCAAGAACCGGGATGTCCGCCTTTTTGATAGCGGCAAGTCTATCCTTCACCTCCGGTACCAGTGAGATAACACTAGCAGACTGCCGGCGGCCATGGCCACCAGCATCCGCGCCTTGCAGAATGAGAAAGTCCGGCTCCGCGAGCGCCACACTACGCTCTGCCTCCGCCACGCTCCCAACCTGCACGCAAATCCGGGTTGACCGAGCTGTCACATCGCGGATCTGTGTAGCCCACTCGCGCAAGTCCTCTTCTACTTTTGGTGCGAATAACCAGACCACTGCCGGTTTGTGCGCTGCGATGACTGGTGCGAGAAGCCGGAGGTTGGAGTTGAAAAGCTGGAAGCCGACGCCGATTGGCAAGACGCCTCTTTTTTTTTCTAGCAGGTCTGCGTACGGGTAGTCGAACGTCTCGAAGGAATGTTGTTTTGACTCCTCGAGCATATTGTTGAGGCTGGCTGGGTCGGTGCCGCCGGCGATGAAGCCGAGACCTCCTGCGCGGCTGACGTTGATTGCGAGGCGAGAGGTGGAGGCTCCTAGCATTGGCGCGGAGACGACAAAGGGTGTCCTGGTCCATGGGAAGAACGATCGGAGTGTGTTCTTCTGGACTTTTGACGCGTGCAAGGCAGCATTGTGTGGTTGATGATGTGATTTGCCGGGGAGAAGTCGTTGAGTTGCCCAAGCCTGGCGGCGTGCACAACGGAGTGTTTTCGACATGAGGCAGCGACTGTTTGTGTTGTCGCGGCTATGTTCTGTATGCTGTGATGCAAGGCCAGGAGTGTCTGTCCTCAATGTGTCGACAGTTGGCGTCTAAGCATTTGTGAGTAGTGCACCATCAGTCTTCCGCAACCAGCCGCCATATCCGCACAAAGTAGACACGAAGTGTCATAGACGATTGACGCACCAACTTTTTGTCCAGGAGTATAAGACGTATGGCGCAGCTTCACACACTCGAGAGAAAAGCGCAACCCAAGCCTTCGGCCTGACGTACCATTCCATCATGCGCGATCATCGTGCCGAGAAATTCTCGTCAGTCATGAAAGACCAATGGCTCCGTATGGGCAACGACAGACCATTCCCAAAAACGATCGAGGACCGCGAGTCGTACGTCGTTATGTTCGATGGGCCGAACGACCCTTGGCATCCAATGGGCTGGTCCTTCAGCAAGAAGTATGTACACCCCACGAGAAACAGAATGTTTATCACTGACCAGGATCGATCAGGTGCTGCGTCGCGACCATAGTGTGCTACTGCACCCTGGTAGCCACCTTCGACAGCGCCGTGTTCTCCCCAGCCGCAGCACAAGCAAGTCAGGATCTCTCCGTCGGGAAAGAAGTCGGGGCTCTGGCCACAAGCCTCTACGTCCTCGGATTTGCCTTCGGGCCTTTGATCTGGGGCCCGGGATGCGAGCTCATGGGACGCCGAATGCCGCTTATCGTGGGCTCATTCGGATGCGCGGTGTTTACGCTGGCGAGCGCTGTCGCCAAAGACATCCAGACAGTGATCATATGCCGATTCTTCGCAGGCGTATTTGGCTCCAGCCCCCTCTGTGTTGTTCCGGGAATCTTGGCGGATCTATTCGACGACTACCAGCGGGGCCCTTCGATTGCAATATATGCACTCACTGTCTTTGCAGGACCTTTGGCGGCGTCTTCCATCGGGGGTTTCATTGTGGACAGCTATCTCCGGTGGCGATGGACACTGTACCTGCCCGCCATCATGGGCTTTTTTGCAGTATTTCTGCTTCTGCTCTTCTTGGAAGAAACGCATGCAGGCACCGTCTTAATAGCGAAAGCCGCCCACATCCGTCAAGAGACTGGTAACTGGAGTATCCATGCCGAACATGCGAGAGTCGAGGTGGATACGCACGCCCTGCTTCGAAAATATTTGCTCCGCCCGCTGCGTATGTTGGTCACAGAGCCTATCGTGCTGCTCATATCGATATATATGTCCTTCATCTACGGATTGACATATTGTCTGGTAGGCGCATATCCATATGTGTTTCAACATACATACGGTATGAACAAGGGGACAGCTGCCTTACCACTCATTGCTGTAATCCTCGGCCTTTGCTTGGCGGTCTGCTTCATCATTTGGCAACAACTCCAGAGCCAGAAAACATCGCAATCAGGGAAGGGCACCTCCGAACCAGAAGTTCGTCTCCTTCCCGTGATTGTTGGGGCTATTGTATTTCCCATTGGATTGTTCTGGTATGTATGCTTAGAATCGTCTCGCGTCCCTTCTTTATTCTGACGGTTGATACATAGGTTTTCCTGGACAGCTTTTACGCCATCAGTACATTGGATGTTACCCACAGCATCAGGAGTCTTGACTGGATTCGGCCTCCTTTGCATCTTCATGCCCTGCTTCAACTACTTAATAGAAGCGTATCTGCCATTGTGAGTCTATTGTCCATAAGTCAATCTCAGATAAGGACTGACCCGGCCAAGAGCAGCGTCCACAGTGGCTGCAAATGTCATGCTTCGTTCTGGGATCGCTGGCGGCTTCCCATTGTTCTCTGTTCATATGTTCGCGAACTTAGGCATACAATGGGCAGGAACGCTGTTAGGATGCCTTGCTGTCGCGATGATTCCGATCGCTCTGGGCTTCCGGGCTTACGGTGCTAAATTTCGACGGAGAAGTAAGCTTTTATCAGGAAGCAAGGCCATTGTGTAATATGAGATCGACGTGACAGCGATTTGGGGTACAGAAACATCCGATGATCAGTCGACTGGTTGTATGCATTAGGCTGCCTGGAATGTCACTCGGAGTTCCTCCGCGTCGATGTGCGCAATCATGATTGGGTCAACAGACGCCTCGCGTGGAGATCCCGCGTCGGACCACCGCCCGCCGGCTCCTCATAAGGAACATCGGAGGGCATCAAAGTCCGATCCTGTAGCAGCTGGGTCAACAATAAGTAGCCACGACGCGTCTCAAAAGTAGGATTGAAACCACTCTCGCACTATTGTTCATCTCTCTTTGCTACTCCAAAACCCTCTTCAATCCCAGATCTGGACTATAACTATGGCGCTGCCGCTACGACCTCGGACCATCGTCGCAGGTCTTACTGCTAGTAGTATCGGCGCTGGCCTCCTACTCTCAAGATTGGGCCGAGATGTCGATGCCGATGCAAATGCGCCGAAAAAGGTTTTTGGCAGAGGTCCAGCATTTGTGTCGCTGCCGCTAGAGAGCGAAGAGCAAGTTAACCACGATACGAAGCGGTTACGGTTCTCGCTCCCGAACTCAACAGATATTAGCGGTTTATCACTAACGTGTAAGTCAAGATTCGCATTGATTTGTGCATTCGCTGATAATCAAACAGCCGCCGTGCTCACATTGTCCTGGCCGCAGGGCCGATGGACTCCTGTCGTGAGGCCATACACGCCGGTATCACATATAAGTAGCGCATCCGTCATGAATTTTACGTGAAGATGCTAATGAATGTGAAGATGAACCTGGTATTCTCGAACTATTGGTCAAACACTACCCAAACGGGAAGCAAAGCACACACCTGCACAGCCTCAAACCAGGCGACAAGTTGATCTTTGCTGCCGCAATCCGTGGCTATCAATGGGTTCCTAACAGTGTCCCTCACGTAACGCTCATAGCTGGGGGCGCGGGCATAACACCCGTTTTTCAACTCGCACAGGGTATCTTGTCAAATCCGGATGACAAGACAGCGGTGACTATCGTGTACGGAGTCAACACAAATGATGACTGCCATCTTAAAAAGGAGTTCGAAAAGTACGAGAAGGAATTCGAAGATCGATTCAAGGTTGTGTACACGGTCAGTAGGCCGGACGAGAAGACAACATTGCGAAAGGGCCGTGTGACAAAAGAGCTGCTAGAAGAGGTGGCTCCAATGCCAAGTAACGGCGAGACAAAGGTTTTCGTTTGCGGGCCGCCCGAAATGGAGGCGAACCTGGTAGGATCGCGCAAAGAACAAGGCATTCTAGAGCAACTTGGGTATCGGAAGGACCAGATCCACACATTCTGAGCATCTCGAAACATTGTACTCGAGTTTGACATGTAGCATCGCCAAGATTCATGGAGCGTGAAAGCCTCTAGCTCTGTAACAATATCTGTATCATTTGCAACTTGGACCTAGCACTGTAGTTCAGGCCGTGCCATTGAAGAAGCTCGTAATCTCAATGTCTGTAAAGAACTCGTTGAACCACGGAAGATCAGCAAAAGTTTGAGCTTGGTCCACAGAGAAGTGGCCATTGGTGTCATTCTCTGTCGATGCACCAACAGGATAAAGTTTCAACATCTCCGACTGCCTGACGACATTCGCTTCTCTCCGTTTTTGATGCATCGAAATGAGTGCGCGAGCCGCCGTGTACGCATCCTGGGTAGCTTTTGTTTGGTAGGTTTCGCTCACTCTCGATAGACATGACATAGTAGGCCCTAATAAAGAGAATGACTTCGTTGTGTCGATGGCGAGGAGGGTGCAGACCGATTGGAATGGTACGTTGGCCATATGATGCCAGGGACTCCCAGCTTCTAACAGCGTGTGTACACCTTGTATTGCTTTTTCGATGAGCTGCACAACTTTGTCCAAAACATCATCTTGAACATGCCATCTCAGCGTGTACAGTCGGCGGAAAAGACACAGGGTCAAATTGCACTGAGCTAGGATGGAGGGAGGTTGGGTATGGATCCGGTTCAGTACTTCTGAAATGGCGTTGATAAGTTCCGGACCGCTTATGCTTTTGGTTGGGTCTAGGTTCTCTGTGTAGAACAGGAGGCCGAGAAGCTCGGTAGTGTAATCTTTGGGTCGGGGTGACGCAGGGACTGTAGACATATTCTGTAATGTGACACGAGTCCGGCCGAGATCAAAAGATAGCCAGACATTAAGATGACGAGCAACCCCCAATATTCTTCGATTCATATCTGGCGTGGAGGGTCGATCAGCTCGACGGAATGGAGTGTCTGTGCCGATTTCACAATGCAAGCCCGCAGCATCTATCATGTGGAGAGCTATGCAGCTTGCCATCCAGGTCTCCTCAGGTCTTCCGGTTAGACGTAGGTAGACTGTACGGAGGACCCAAGCAGTGGCGGTATTATAGGTGATGTCTTCAGCACTCAGATCAAGCAGGAGCTTTGCTAGAACAAAAAGACTTGTCTCTGTCTCTAGGCTTTGGAGGTTCGAGAACGCGCAGCCTAAGGCCGCGATACCGCAGATCACTGCTTCTGGAATCGAGAGGCTGCTTCCACGAACCCACAATTGCTGCACTGTCTGATCCACGAGTTCACGGTCGACGAACCCGTAGCACGGATCAATCTTGTCGAAGTAAACCGCCACGATGTCTTCCAGTTCCGCCTGCGTCACGATATCCGTGACGCTCCGTAACGGCATGTTCGTAGAGACTTGGCGCTGGCCGAGGAAGACGTTCCAGCCCAGCATCTGTGATGGCGGAGCATTGCTTGGATCCACCGTGATAGCGAATGTTCGAACGAAGGCGGATCCTGAGTTGCTTTCTAATGATTGCGCAAATGGTGTTGGAGCCAATGCTGGAGGGGCTAGTGTTTGGTCCTGGAGTGCCCCACTATTCTCTTGCGGACTTGAGGAATATGGCTGAGATGGCAACGTGCTTGTGCCCTCGCGCCTTCGCTTGCGCGGATGCGAACGGTATGAACATTCATATCCGAAGTTCCGGCATAGCTCGCATGCTGGCTGGTCTCCATCACATCTCCGCTTCCGCTCACGACACGGCTCGCATGCGATTCGCGATCGTTGCCGTCGCCTCCGTGACCTGCTCTCACTGGCTTCGCTCATGACTTGATTCGGTGCTGTTGAGTGTTCGTTGCCAACGTCGGGATTAGGCGGATCTGGCGGAGGATCGATGTGATTTGGACGCTAGATTCGCACGTGATCTCTACCTGCCGCAGGCCCCATGAGTATGTCTGCAGTCGGGGCCTCGCATGAGCACGAACACTAGCGGCATGCCACTAGGGCTTGAATGGAATCTTGAATGAAGTCGAGAGATTCAACTGTCAATAATATCATTAGCAAATGCCTAGTTTGTCTCCATACCCGTCGTCACATTCGAAGGCAGGCGTTCCAGGCCATCATTTAGATTTCCATTTGTGTCGGCTCAAATTTTGCATGGGTATCACTCCTCTGTTCCAATGGATCCTTTTGAACATCGTCCTCGTCAAATCTGGAGTACAATCTGCAGTATGTGTTGGCCTCAGGGCCACGCGCTAGTGCCCGATTGGCTAGGTGTCCGCTGTGGTACACCGCCCACAACTTCGCCCTTGTAGCACGCACTCCTGTGCTTGCGGGTCCCTTAGAAACCCTTCAATTACAGGGGGAGACACCCGATGGAGGAGACGAAAATTCTACAACAGTTATATGATTTCACTCACCAACACTATCCGGCACAAAATCTCCACCCAAAACCATGACCAGACCCACAACCATCCCTCCCAAAGAGGCCATTCTCTCAACATTCGACAGCCTAGTAGCCGCAGGAACAATCTCCTTTGGCCCCTATCGCACCATCAAATATGATGCAGGTGGATACCCAGTATGTCCCTCCATCTCCACTGCCAACGTCAAAGCTTATTCCACGAAAGCTCGAGTTCCGGGTATGTCCCGCCTTCTCCCGCAAGCCACACACCATTGGCGCGAAACTAGATCCCATCTACACCAACCTTCAGCAATGGGGTCCAGGCAGTGATCTGTTCTTGTCTGATCCGCGCATGAAGCTTGCCCAGCTGAACGGAACCCACGACCTCGCATTCAACATGTTCTGCACCGACCGCCCGCAATTCCTCATCCTAACACTAGACTCCTACGCCCGCCAGTCGGAGCTCCTCGACGCAGCTGACTTCCAAGCTGCCCTCGATATGCTGCACATCCCCGGCGTCGGGTCTGAACTCTATGTAATCTTCAACGGCGGAGAAGAAGCGGGTTGTAGCCGGGTGCACAAGCATCTCCAAGGCCTTCGTGGCCCTCCCCCAGCTTTTAGTAATTTCGTGCAAGAGGGGCTGAGGGCGAGTGTGCCGTTCCAATTCTTCGCACATCAATTCTCATCAGGATTTGCGAGTGTGAGGGGGGAGCAGATGGCGAGCGTTTATGCAGGGTTGATCTCGAAGGCGAAAGACGCACTGGGCCTTCCGGAGAGTGCGAGTGTGGTCCCGCACGGGATGTTCATGTGGAAGGACTGGCTGGTTGTGATTCCAAGACGGAAAAGTGGGATCGAGGATACGAGAGCTAGTGCGGCTACGGCGGGAATGCTGGGGTCTGTGTGGTTGAGCGAGGAGGGGCCGGTGGAGGATTGGGTGAGGCTGGGGCTGAGAGAGGTGCTGGAGGGGCTTGGGGTGCCGCCGTAAGTAGAATAAATAGATAGAATTCATGATGGCAATAGGAATTACAACCAAGATAACCTTTCCCGAAACCCTGTAACGGTACAAACGCCGGGCGCCTTGCACAGGACTCCTCTAGAGTGCTTCACTGAAATCCAAACATGAACATGACTATCTCGTTCTACAAGCGCCATGCTAATCGTCTAAGCATCGAATGAAAAGTGGTTTACTCCTCTAGTGGCCACCAGTCGTGGGCAGCTGCAGTGATTGGTCAGTGCATAAACTTTGGGTTTCGTGGAGGTACACTTACGCCAAGGTAGACCTTGAATGAATCGTAGATCAGCCACTGGAATGCCGTCAAGGTACCGATCATGAAAATACGAACGGGGAGGCCGTTCCAGAGGCCACCGAAGCCAATCTTGCCGTAAATTCTGCCCATGGCCTGGCCAGCGCCTTCTCCTGGTTTGCGGTCCGAATTCAACTTGGAAACCATGACATCTACGACATTTCAGCGATCGAGGCACCATATATGTAAGCATACAAGGACTTACCAGCAGGGTGCGAGACAACCGCACATCCGATACCAGCAATATAACCACCCAGGAACGACACACCCGTCTGCTGTAGGGAGTTGTACGATTCCTTAGGCTTTCCAAGGTACTTGTAGATCTGCTCCACCGTCTTCTCAAACGAAGTGAACTTCACCATAGTGTACGGAATCTGGCGTCCCCACAGAGGGTACAATCCCTTGTACAGCCCAGCATAACCCTCTTGGCTGACGACCTTGCTCCAGCCTTCTCTCAAGCTATGCGCAAATGGCGGTAGCGTAGTCTGCATGCGGACCTTGATGGCTTCGAGCGGGCACAGTGCGATATCGGCTAGAGCTTCCGCAGAGGCCGAGGCAGCGAGGTAGACAACGGTTTTGTTGGCATTGGGTGCGAGCTTGTCGCCATACAGGTACTTGAAGACCTCGTAGAAGCCGTATTTGCCGGCACCTTGCAGCGAGTAGCCAACGAAGGTAGGCGTCCAGCCGAAGAACACGCCGCGGAGGCCTTCTTTGGAATAGATCATTTTCCAGGCTTGTGTGTTGGACTTGTAGAGCTTGTCGTCAACTTGTCGGCGGCATTTCACCTGTCGCAGTACTATTAGCACACATGCCTCATGAAGCCGCAGGTCTGTCGAATGAGGATCGTATGGAGGGAAGAGAACGAGCAACCTACCAAGTCTAGAGGTGTGACCATTGTATGTGTAGGACCGCAAGCTGCATCGATTAGCGTCTGTCGTAGGAGGGTGTCCTCGACCAATCCGACATACCGATGATTCCACCCATTGTGCAGGCAGCGAAGTACGACCCAGAGAATAATTCAATCTTCCTCGCCCCGGCCCTTTCTATCTTTCCGCTTGTGCTCGCCATTTCTTGTTGGTTCGATCGTTGCTCTTTCTTTTACGGCCGAGAGGGGTGCAGTTGTTATCGGATAGCTATCGCGTCACTGTCGCGTGCTCTTTATCCTGCCTGGGAGCTTTACTCTCCGAAATGGAGATTTCCGGGCTATCAATTGAGGCAAGGAGAATCGTAAATTCGGGATACGGAAACCTTTGAGTAAGGATACCAGAGTTCGAGGCTGAATGGTATTTATCGCAAGCTTGGTAGCGCATGGGAAGCTCCCGCAAGATCCGTTACGATGACGTCGCAATCGCTTAACGAACGCGCTAGTTCCGCTGACAAGGGCACGTCAGCACGGGAACCACGACTATGGGTCGAAGTTCCGCCCAGACCTCGTACGAACGTCAACTTCTAGGTGTTTTTGCTCGAGAGATCGGCAATTGGCTCTATGTTGGGCTGAGGCCTCGTACGGGACGCTTCCAGCTATGCCGAGATCTTTATATCCGGGATGCAGCTTCGACTTGGACTTTGTGTCATTGAAGGCAGATCGATAGACTAACAAACGCACCACTTGTTATACCTGTTGTACATATCTATACCACACTTCCAATTCTGATCCAGATCCCCGCCTACTCAATCATGGACATGTCAAAAAGTAATCTACAATATGTGGTATCATCCCGAACACCGCTCAGTCATTAATCCATTTTCCTTTTCGAACGACACGCAAACGAACGCCGAAGAAATGCTGCATTAATGGTGATGTCCGACCTGGGTTACGAGGGGCACGAGCATGCCGGACAGAACAATGGCGATGTCGGATCTGGAAAGACCGCTCGGTTGCGGCATGTGGTGGTCAATGTAGCCGTTGATCACGGGGGCTTCGTGGGAATTTGTGGCTTCGGTCATAGAGTGCATGGCCACATACCTGACTAGTTTAGTTACTTGAAGGGTGGAAAAATAGGCGCGATACTCACAAGAAGGTTCCACCCGAGAACAACAGAACCCATCCGGTTGTCCATGCCAGACCATCATCTCCACCCAGGCGCCCGCGACCAAGTAGGTGTACGATGGACCAGGTCAATACAGCACCTGCGGGGGCTGCTAAGCTGAACATAGCGAGGTGTGTGCGGATTCGTCGCTTCGAGAAACCCTGTTTCAGCAATACAGAGGTAAGACCGAACGCAGCAGGAGCTTTGTGTAGCATGATGGCGAAGAAGACGACAAGGGATAGCGAGGTTGAAGGTGCAGTTGAAGAGGCCCCTAATGCGATACCATCAGCACACGAATGGATCACCAGTCCAATGGTGGTCGCAGATGAGCGGGGAGGCTTCGAAACGTGCGGTGGAAGAGGCGTGAGCGGTTCTGGCGGCGGCGATCCGGGAGTCAAAGCGTTCAAGCTCATCGAAGACGAATTATGTGGACCGCGATGTAGGTTCGATAGCGAGATGTGCAGCGACTGATATTGCGATTTTGCATTCGAGAGTGCTTCAGGAAGGTGGTCCACAACAAACATGAGGATGAAGCCGAGTATCAGCGCAACACCAATATATCCGTGAGGTCCTTCCATGTCTGCATCCACCGGCGTTGCCACTTGCTCGTCCTCTTCCGGCCCGTGCACGCGCGTATGGCCCTCCCTGTGGCCTTCGGTCGAGTCGTCGTCGCCGCCCTTCTGGGGCTCCTTGTGCTCCTCCTCGGCCTTGCCCTTCTTGTTCTTGTCTGCGCGCTGCTTGTAGCTGTCAACCGGGGGCGTCTCCGGTGTCCTCTTCACAATGATGCTAGCCGCATCAGGGGCCTTGACGGCGCCTGTCTTTGTAAAGTCTGTCCGCAGCGCTTCAGCTCTGACATGATCCGGCACGAACTCAGCAGGGTTGAGTGTCCCTTTCTGCTGGGTGTGCCCGGACGGGATCTTGGGTTGCGGGTGCGGCACGTTATGAGCATGGCTTTTGATGGCGGCGCCATACATGGTCTCGATGCCCTCTGGGATGATTACGATGAGGGATGCGCCTACAAGCACGCCGGTGCCGAGCAGCGAGACGGTGCGGATCTGACGCGGAGACAGGTTGAAGGAGAGCGGGAGAATGCCGGCCAGAAAGGAGCTGCCACAATTAGCGACTGCATCGTGTCTCCTAGGGCGCACTGCACTCACGCAATACCCATGATGGTGCTCAGGGCGAGCAACATAAACAGACCGTCCCACATGATGGCGGCTGACCCGTGTTGGTCCTGTCTCTTACGGAAGCAAAAACGGTCGACGAGGAAAAGGGGCTGGGCAATGCTAGGGAAAGTCTATCGTCATTACTTGCGGCCCTGTCGCAAGAAGCGTGTGATGTTTGGGAAGGGGCTGAGGCTCGAGGAGCGGAGAAACAGCGGCCAAGGCGCACATCCCAAACGCCTGAACGGTGCGGTGCTTGTTTCGGCTCCACTCTCGACTCGCAGGGCTGAACGAGAACGGCGCTAAAACGCGTCTTTCGCGCCGAGCTTCTCCAACGCGACCAACATTTACTTGCGACCCGCTCTCGTCTGCTTTCTCTGCACGCAGCCACGTCGCACACTCGGACGCACCGACACCGAGTGCGTGCTCACCGGACTTTGCCCATCATGAACGTCCAACTAGAGGAATGTGAGTCTGACCACACCTCGCGACAGCCACTCGCGCTGACCTCGTCCAGACATAACCAGCGCAAACGAGTGCTTCGAGCTCAACCTCACCCGTCCCTCCCAAGATGCAGCGCCTGAGCCCGTATTCAGTGAATCCTTCAACCCTACCCACACCTACGCTTTTTTCGGCGAGGACGAGGAAATCATTGGCTACAAGGAGCCCTCCATCAAGTTGAGCTTTCGCGCAAACGACATGAAGCCCTCGCTCAAGGCAGGCTTTGAGGAGAAGGTCGAGCTCCCGGAGGAGGTCTATTCCGAGAAGCATCTCAAGGTCGACTTTGCAACCGTGTTCAAGGATTACCTTCCCGCCTGTAATTGCTCCCTCGTATTCACCCACACGTATACTGACGCGCAACAGCTGTGTTCGACCGCTCCGAGACCCCGGCCGACGGTGTGCGGACTGATCCCACTTCGAAGGACTGGAGGCCACCCGGCAAGCAGCTGCACACATTTACACACCACGGCAAACAGTTCGAGATATGGGTTGGAAGCTTTGCAGACCCCACCGCGCGAAGTTTGTGGGACAACATTCGGATACTACCTATACTCTTCATTGAAGGCGCGACCTTGCCCGAGCTGGACGTGGACTGGTCGAACGAGAGGTGGTCCATATACATGCTGTACGAAGTCACATCCACCGACGACGACATCTCCCCCTACACGCTCGCCGGTTTCTCTACCACATATCGCCTATGGCTGCTCCCAACCTTTGAGATTATGCGCGCGACAAAGTCGCTTCCTTCGCCTCCTGCCAGCACGAATGGCGACGCTGGTAAATGGACTCCTCCAAGACTCACCCAAGACCCGGTGACTTTCCGCATAAACGAGCACATCGACCCGCTGGAGCAGCCGTCGCGTGAACGAATCTCGCAGTTCCTGATACTCCCACCGTACCAGGGCCAACATCTCGGAGCGACGTTATACCAGACAATATTTGCAGATCTCGTCAAGAGGCCATATATCTACGAATTGACCGTTGAAGACCCAGACGAGGCATTCGATGCGATGCGCGATTATAGCGACATGGAGTATCTCCACTCACTGTCCGCTTTCCAGTCACTGACCATACCCGCGACCATACCAAGAGAGAAGCTCGCGAAGAGTGCTCCTATTCCGCGCGACGAAATACTGGGCAACGGCGTCGACCTCCGCCAGTTGCAGCGTGAAACGAAGATTGTGTCACGTCAATTCAATCGCATGCTTGAACTTTACCTCTTATCTACGATACCGCCTGCCCACCGAAACAAGAACCGCATCACCCGCAAAGATAGATGCTCGAACGAAAACGACCGACGCTACTATTTCTGGCGGTTGGCGGTGAAAGACAGGATATACCGCCAGAACCGCGACTCCTTGGAGAACATGGAGGAAGGCGAAGAAGCTCTCACAACTGCACAAAAGGTGGAAATGATCGAGAATGCGGTGGACAACCAGCAAGCGGAGTTTGAGGAGCGAATGAAGGGTCTGGAGAAGAGGGCAAAATGGAAGAATGGAGAGAAACCGGAAGGGTCGAGCTCTCGGTCGAAGCGGAAAAGGATGATTGTGGAGGAGGATGAGGACGACGAATGGGAAGACATGGACGACGAGAGCGTAAGCTCGAAGAGAGCGAGGGTTTGAACGAAAAATGGAAATGGAGCGGCGTTCAAGGCGTCTTACTACGGCGATTAGCTTTAGGAGCTGTTTGGAACTGCGCAATTAGTACGGATACCAAATGAACCACTGGAGATCTCTCTGAGATCGGACATTTCAAACATCATTGTCAGTGACCTTTTTCCCAACAGCTAGATTGGCGCCAGTGGGCCCTCACGAGAAAGTCCATACCCCTCTATCGATAAGCCCCGCGTCTGCCAAAATTAAACACTGGCTCTCCATTGCGGAGCTCCATTGACCTCCGCACCCTCAAAGTTCACGCAAACCGCGCCCGCCTGCGTCCACAATGTCTCAATCGCCATACAACCTCGTCGTCCTGATCTCCGGCAACGGCTCCAACCTGCAAGCCCTCATCGACGCCAGTGGCACCCCCGCCCTCCCAAACACCCGTATAACTCACGTAATATCAAAGTAGCGCTCCCACCTCAATCTGCCCTACAATTACTGCATGTGCTGACGTCCATGCAGCCGCAAAGCCGCCTACGGCCTCGAGCGCGCCGCCAAAGCTTCCATCCCCACTACCTACCACAACCTCGTCCCCTTCAAGCGGAAACACCCCCAAACCGAGGCCGGCACCACCGCCGCCCGCACCGAGTACGACGCCAGCCTCGCGGCCCTCATCCTTGGTCTCGAACCCAGGCCCGACGTCATCGTGTGCGCTGGGTGGATGCACATTCTGACGCCGGACTTCCTGAACCCAATCGCCGCCGCGGGGGTCAAGGTTATAAATCTGCATCCCGCGCTCCCGGGGGAATTTGCGGGCGCGGGCGCGATTGAACGCGCGTGGGAGGCCGGGCGGAGCGAGGGGTTGAAGCGGACAGGGGTCATGATTCATGAGGTTATTGCAGAGGTGGATGCGGGCGAGGCGATTGTCACGCGGGAGGTGGAGTTGAGGGAGGGGGAGAGTTTGGATGAATTGGAGACTAGGATACATGAGGTCGAGCATGGGTTGATTGTGGAGGGCACGAGGAGGACGTTGGAGGGGATAAAGAAGTAAGCGATGGAGGAAGGGGCGAATATTTGGTCAAAAGCAGATCTAGATGAGTGGTGCGGATGATTGGCAGACTGGAGCGTGGGTACAAGACGGATCTGCACTTGTTTGAGCAGCGGTGTCGCTCAGGGACGGTGGTACCGTTAGGGCTTAGATTGGGCACTCAAGGTCTTACTCCCAGTGAAAGTTGCAAAATTTTCGGGAACGCCGGTATGGACGTCTTGGTCTTTATCAGGACGACTGATCACAGCGCCAATTTACTTCATAAGCTTGGTCACGGAAAACGCCTTGCGCTGACGAGCACAATTACTCTCTAGCCACAGTGGTACTTGGCTGGATGGGCTAGCTCATGAACCTATCAGCTATGTTCTACATTCGATCCAATTGCTCTTTTCCTATTGCCTCGGTACAGGAGAAAAGGTCAGGATTGCAGGGTTGTCAGACCTATCCAATGGCATGGAGGGACTCAGCGGCATTTTGCAGCTACGAAATCGCCCCCGTCCATCATAAACCCATGGCTAATCTTGTGGGTTTGACGCTTTTCCAAGCCGAATCCCGGTTTTCTACTTCCATAGGCAGTCTAGCAATCGAGATTGCTAACGAATCTTCTTCAATGTACTCTGGGAAAGGAAAGTATAACACATCAGGCGGGCCCAATGGCATCAATCGTGATCAAATTACGGTCGACCACGCTTCCACCGCATCGTAACCACGCGGTAGCTCCTCGCTTCTCCCAAATCTGCAATTTCTCCATTCAATGACAGTGCATGGCAAATTTCCGTGTGGCTGGTATTCATTGGAGTTCTAGATCTGCTCGCATGTCCGGGTCACACAAGACCCACGCGTCCAATTTCCCATAGGTCTTTATCGACAGAATAGTCCGTACAACAATCGGACGCCTTGGTGTCCATTTCAGTCGCAAACGCCCATGAAACTCATCCTTAGCTTGCCTTTGTCTTTCCTCGTCGAACAGGCTCGAGCACTGGTGCGTGGCTGAGAACCGTTTACACACTTGCCCACTTTCCATATAAAGTCTCCATCGCACTGCGCAGTTCCCTCACATCGTCCAGCACAGGCTCTCGCTTTAAGACTGTGCCCCATCAATTCCTCAAACCAGGAACCTTTCCCCCGGGCAGCTCCACAATGCGTCTCTCCTCCCTCCTTACACTCGCCGCCGCAGGGCTCACCTTCCTGACGGTCTCCGCGCAAGACTGCTGGAGCAGCTCCAGAATCACTTGCCGCAACGCCTTCGCCAACAAGACTGCGGCTCACAATGCCATCACTGCCGCTTGCGACGCAATGCCCTCCTGCGCGCCCGGCACCACCGTCACCGGTAAACCTCGCCTCACCCCACTCCAGTTCTACTCAATCTGACATGCCAATTTGCAGGCAAAGTCCCCGGCTACACCGCAACCCTCCGTCTCGGCACCGCCTGCGCGGGCGTCAACCCCTGGACGAAGGACGCGTGCGTGGCGCTGTTTGAGGGGAAGCTGTATCCGCAGTGCAAGACGAATGAGAGCTTGCCGTATCAAGAGTTCCCGCCGAAGCCGTGGCCGCCAGTTGCGCCGGTGGACTTTCCTTGTAAGTCCCCGAAGGTAGGGGAAGGGTTGTGGTTGGGAGGGTTGTGGTTGGGAGGGTTGGTGTACTGACGAGAATAGTGGCGAGCAAGCTGAGTACGTGTGATGATAGTTGGTTGAGCTTCAATGTGGGTGGGTAAGAGGGGTGCGTTGAGGGCTTGAGATTTATAGTGGAGGGCTCGTGATTAGAGTTCTAGGGGACGAGGTTGAGGTTGGGGGATATTGGATGGTAAAGGTTTACACGTCGAATGAGACAAGTGTTATCGTCGAAGCCTCTATACTAGATCGAACCTGTCGACTTCCCATCTCAAGCCAAAGCTGCATCCGTCGCGAACTAAGCTAGCACCATCTCATTCCAATGGACGTCCTTTCGGATCCTCTGCTGCAAGCATCTCGTCCGATTTACGGATCTGCATGGTCCCAAGCCATGTCTTCCACTCTTCCTTGCTAGCTGCGACTCCGACCTGTCTATACCCGTCTGTCCGTCTTTCAGTCATGAGCTTCACGGTCTCTCTAGGCGCTCGGTACAACACCAGATACAGCTCGACATTCGCTTCAGATCCTGCCTCCTCGACTACTTTCAACACACCCTCACCTATCTCCTCCAATGGCCTGCCATGTGTGAGCAACGGCTTGATCATCTCATCTTGACCTTTGGTCCCAGACTTGAGCAACATCGCAAGCGAAGTAGCACTATTTTCGAATTCGCCGTCCGCCATATGAATGTTGACATGCTTCTCTTCGAGCAAGTACCTTGTTACTAGTAGTCGTCCCTCGATAGGATTGGCGCTCGATCCAGCTGCTCGCCCCAGCGATGTGGTGGAGTAGTTGTGGCTCACGTGGTGTATGTCTGCGCCATATTCGTCAACAAGAAGCCTGCAGATTTCGGCACAGCCTTTTTCACACGCCGAGATGAGACGGCGGTTCAAATGATCATTCTTCGTGACGGTCGGTCCTTTGTGTTTGTCCGGGAACTTGGTCGGACTGGACAGCAGAGTTTTCCAGACGAGTTTGAACAGATCTGGGATATTGTGCTTCTCCATAGCATCCTATGTGGAATTGAAGATTTTGGCTTGATCTGACTCGAGTAATTTGACGTATTCAAAGGAGCCGTCACCCCTTTGTGCGGTCAAGAAGGGAAAGTGAAGTCGAACAGATTCAATCGAAGCAAGGGGACGCAGCGGGTGCTAGGTTTTTGATGATTGCATCTTTTTGCAACCGAGTGACAGGGGAGCCGAAACAACCAGACTGCAGGACGAATTCAATCATGTCTCGCGGGTCTCGACCTCCCCTACGCCTAGGTCAAACAACTCCCTGAGAAGACTCGGATCATTTTGGTCGACCGCCTTCTCATGCATTGCTGGTCCGTATCGAGGGAATTTCTCCAGTATCTCGCTGAGCTTGGTCTTGCGCTCCTCGCCAGCCGACATTTTGTGTACACGCTTTCGATGGAATGGGGTTCTGCCATCTTGGTCATACCAGAAGGGGTCTTCCATGGGCTCCTGAGCGGGCGGTATGCAAGAAACAGTTATACCCTCGGGCACTTCCATGTAGAAGAGGTCGAGGCCTTCTGCTGTAGGTGTTTGAGCCATGTTGAATTAAAAGCGAAGTCAAGCATTGAGAAGACACCAATTCTCGGTTTGCATTTATAAATAGAAATTGATGGGTGCCGCACGCCTGATATCAAGGCGGCCGGAGGCTAGTGCACGTCGAGGCCTAAATGCGCCCTGCAGGTGGTAATCCTGGAGCCCAACCAACTTACGGCGCATCGACCGGTGAAGGTAGACTTTTGCTTACAAGTGCCAGCGATTCAATGATGGGTGTACGCAACATTTGGCGTTGAAGTTAGTGGAAGCGGGATCCGTCTGGGTAGTGAAGACCGATGACAGACTCAAAGGCGTCGCTCTCGGTCAACTCTCCGAGGTGGGTTGCAACACTCATTCATGATTCCAGTGTTCTCGTTGTCGGTCAAGGCCCTGGTTTACACACTGCTACAAGCTGTTGAGGCCGACTGCTGGACCAAAATCGCTGGCATCGCTTCAAAGGTGAGTCCTCCATTCTATGCATACACACATATCTTTGGCAGCTTAATAAATCATGGAAGGGGCGCGAGGCGTAGGTAGGATGTGCGAGGGCGATGCAATGGTGAGCGGGGTGGTGTCCAGCTGGAAGAACGTACTTTCCCTCAACAGGAATGCACTAGGCTTAATCAACAACATACTTAGGCGCGTCACTTCCGCACGATCCCACATCTCGTTTCCATCACTCGAATTCTATGGAGCCCGCATCTTCCCAAGAAGAATCGCCCGGTGTTACCAAGCTTCCCAAGAAACGGAAACTACCACCTTCGAACGGCTGGCTTCCCCACAAAGCAGAATTCCAACGCAAACGTTCTGCTACCGCTTGCCAACTTTGTCGCACTCGAAAGACAAAATGCGATAACAATCGGCCCATATGTTCCAAATGCCTTGAACTCGGTGCAGAATGTATTTACCAAGATCAAGCTGCTGCTGAACCGTACGTCGATTTGTATGTTGACATTGCTGATGCGTTAACATCTATCCAGTCCCCCAAGTCACATCCTACAACGGCTGGAGTATCTTATTGGACTGGTGGAATCGAAAGTGCCTATTAATAGTTATGACCACTCCATGCATGACGATTCCGCGGCTACTATAACATCACTAGCAGACACCAATGAGACACTGCAGAATCCGTCTTTCCACAGTCTGGTCCTTGACCGTGTCTCCACACCCGCAAGCTCTAATCAAGTGCCCCACCATGAGTACTTTGGCTCCAGCGAGGATGTGTTGGGCTGGCCAATCTTCGCAGGTAAATACGATCGTCGCTGGATTGAGGCCTTGATCTTCGACCCAACACTACCTAGTGATGATCTGTCTGGAACTCCCACATCGCCCAGAGTTACTGACGACTCCCTCCGCAACAAATTCGAAGATCCACGGCAGGATTCTCATATCAATGCTACCATACGTGAAGAAGACGTACTGCACCTTGTCGAAGCATTCCTTCTCAATGTTCACGTAAAGGTATGATTCTAATGCGAATAGTACCAAGCCAGTTAAACTGACGATTCATATCAAGAATCCAATATTTGACCCGAATTATCTGCGAAGTATGGCGAAAGCCGTTGTGGATCGCGGTTTCGACTGGGACGCATCTACCTGCTTGGTTCTTACTGTGTGTGCGCTTGCTGCGATATCTTCAACCTTTGCCTGTCGCCCAATTCGCGCGATCAACACATCCTCAGACGATCTGGTACTTTCGGAGACCAGCCTATCCACCACTCCAGGATATCATATGGCTGAAGCATACTACATTGCCTCGCGCAAACGGATTGGGTTGCTTAAAGACACACTGCTCGCAACAGAATGCCACTTCATGTCTGGTGTCTATGAGATGTACTCATTACGCCCTCTTCAGGCAGCTATCTCATTCAACCGGGCGTGCGTGACGTTCCAGACATTAACCTGGATGCGAACGGAGTACTACATAACGGAAAGCCAACTCGGTAAAGCGAGAGCAAGTCGGTTGTACTGGTCCTGTCTAAAATCAGAACACGAGGTATCAATCGAGATACGGCTCCCTTCTTCAGGCTTGACGAAACTCAATTACACGAGCGCGTTTCCACCGCCCCCTTCGGCAACGAATACGGAGGACTGGTGCCGCATGTATACGCAAGTGGAGACGGACTCTCCTCACTCGACACATTCGTTGTGGACACAAAATGAATTCGAGCATGGCTGGTATTACTATCTGGCAGACATCGCAGCTCGCCGCCTCTTGCAGCGAGTCATTGAACTTTTTTACAGAAAGAGTGAAGTTGTATGGCTGGAGTTCCCGTTCCTAACGCTTGTCCATACAGTCGAAGAACTGGACAGACAGCTCTTAGAATGGTGCGTTTGCTGTAGGAGATCTATAATCTTGCGTTATCCTACTGACACATATACAGGCATCGTGCTCTACCCGGCGTAATATCTTTCGACATCGAGAGCACCGCCGCCAACGACGAGTTGTCGTTTCATTTGCAAGCGCGAGCTTTGGAAATCAAAGAGCGCATTTATCGCCCCTTCCTGTACCGCATGATATACCAAAAGGGAGTTCACGACTTTTCCGATCAAAATGCACTTCAGCCGTTCGCTACATCGCATGCCATTACGTGCTCAAAGCTGATACAGCAGTGGAACATACGGCATCGCCATCACGGCACGTGGTTAATGTCAAGGCAGAGCTTCGCGTGCGCTCTTCTCCTGCTCGCAGGAAGACGGGCTGGGATCAAGGTCCTCCCTGATGAGCAATGTAGTGGGAGTGTCCAAGCCTCTATAGCTACTTTGAAGTTCTGGGAAGATGAGGCGCCCGATCTAAAAGCGTCTCGTCAGATCTTGGAAGACATTTACAGCCAGCTGCATGAGCAGCATGCATCGACGACTGTATGACCACGAAACTACTACATCACAGATCAAATATAGACAGACAAGTCGTATCCGACCGTTAATGAAGCAGCAGCTCATACGGTGATTATATGAACCACGTTGAGATCACGAACGGATTTCCGCGCACTGGTGTCGCATCGAGGGTCATCTCCACTGCGTCAGCGGCAGCAGTCTATCAGTAGCGCCGCGGACGTCTGATGATTGCCGCGAGAGATGCTCTAACGTGAAAAGGCCCGATACTGTGTCCGAATAGCCCCGTCCAATCAGCTTTCTTCTATCTGGAGAAGCGCAACACGTGAGGCGATGGAAAATTTAGCGTCGGCAACAGTGAGCTTGCTACAGCAAGATCGCACAGCATCTCCGAATAGCCCCAGCCAATTGGATGCGGCTATTTGTATCGCTATCCAAAGCCGGAGATGGTTTACGAAGCCAAGGGCCCTGAGAGTTCTCATCAAGTTACCGGTAGCTTGACTGATCCAAGGCGCAAAGTTCGCAGCTGGGACCTCCGCAGCTAACATGGGGTCTTCATGCGGGGGCTCTCCACACATCACTTGTTCCCAAAGCCGTAGGGATGTGACAACGGTATACCCGGATTGCAAGCTCTATAAGTACGCGATCTCTCTTGCTCTGCAGAGACTCCACCTCCTCCGCAGAGGACGATCTCCTCTCATCTTATCTGAGACATTGTGACTATCACACCAAAGAGACCTTAGTCGTAATTCGTTATGGACAAGATTCATCGCTTCAATGTGGTGCATCGCTTTGAGAAGCGAGCACTGCTTATTGCGTAAGATGCCCCGCCAACACAGTTCACAGCCGCTAACGGCGCGTTCTAGCATCAATTGCATCGCTGGCCTTTCCATCCTTTTCTTTGGGTATGATCAGGGAATGATGGGTGAGCATATCTTCTGTAGCTACCTTAATGAGACGACTAAGTTTGGGCAACAGGTGGTGTCAACACGGCATACGACTACTACACAAGAATGGGATTTGGTCACAAAGGCGCAGACGGTGGCGTGGTCGTCACCAACGACATTCTCCAGGGCGGCATAGTTTCCATCTATTATTTGGGTACACTTGTTGGTGCTCTCGTTGGAGGCTGGTTCGGAGATCGTTTTGGACGCATTAAAACCATCTTCTTGGGAGCAGCAATTGGTGTTGTGGGTGCGTCGCTTCAGACTTCTGCGATAGATCATCAATGGATGATATGCGCTCGTCTCGTCAACGGATGGGGCACTGGGATTCTCAATTCGATCATTCCCGTGTGGGCAACCGAGACTGCAGAGCATACGTCACGTGGGCAATTTATTGCTATCGAATTCACACTGAACATCTTTGGTGAGTACCATTGCACAGGACTGGCAACGTCATTGAAGTTGAGACGTTAATGTCACTTCAGGTGTGGTTTTGGCCTATTGGATCGAATACGGATGCTCCTTCTACGGCGACGGAACTTCATCCTTCATCTGGCGCTTTCCTATCGCTTTCCAGATCCCCATGCTGCTCACCCTCATGGCTTTGGTCATGTTCTTTCCAGAAAGTCCCCGATGGCTGGTCAAAGTAGGGCGGGAAGACGAAGCACGTTATGTCCTCAGCCGGCTCCGCGGAAATGTGACGGGAGAAGAACAAGAGAAGACAGAGGCTGAGTTTCAGGACATCGTGACGTCCGTTGAGATTGAACGCTCCGGACGCAAGGGACCTCAATCCTACTTCCACATGTTGTTTGGCATCGGCTCAGGAAAGCTTCACACCGGCCGACGCGTCCAATTAGTCATTTGGCTCCAGATCATGCAGGAGTGGGTTGGTATCGCTGGCGTTACTATCTACGCACCAACTATCTTCGGTATCGCAGGAATGTCTCCCGAAAAGCGCCAGTGGATCGCAGGTCTCAATAACATTTTCTACATGTTTTCCACCTTGATTTGCGTTTTCACACTCGACAAAATCGGGCGACGTTGGACACTCTACTGGGGCTCAGTTGGACAGGGTATTGCGATGGCGCTCGCCGGCGGCTTCTCGTACCTAGGTCAACAGGGTACCTTGGAAGGCAATGCTGGCAAGGCTTCAGCATACGGAAACGCCGCCGTGTCCATGGTCTATATCTTCACCTTTATTTTCGGCGCAACCTGGCTGACGGTCCCGTGGCTCTACCCTGCAGAGATCTTCCCACTTGAAGTGCGCGCGAAAGGCAACGCATGGGGAGTTGTTGGCTGGTCCATCGGTAACGGATGGCTTACGCTCCTGTGCCCGGTCATGTTCAAGGCACTCAGCGAGAAGACGCTGTATATCTTTGCGGCCTGTAATGCAATTACCATCCCCATGGTATGGGCGCTATATCCCGAGACGAATCAACGCACGCTTGAGGAAATTGATTTACTGTTTGCTGCGGACAGCATCTGGAACTGGGAGGCGGAGAAGAACTTCACGAGGTTGCAAGAACAGATGGGTGTGGGTATGTCTGGCTCGCGTGCCGATGAAGAGGCTCCGCACAGCCGCAAAGGCAGCGTCGTCCGAGGCATGAGCCTGCACTACGAGGAGGCAAAGCCGTAAGACAAATCTTTAGGCAACGAATCGACTCGAAAGACGCATGCAGGCCCCAAATCGCTGGATGTATTGGTTATGTCTGTAGGTTCCGGCGTCAATTTTTGGCAAAGCGCCCAAATTACAGTCGTAGAGCACATTGCTAAATTCAAACAATACAATAACTACTCCCAAACTGTCATATTCTGAGAACGGAATTCTTGTTCAAAATATCATTGGTCTTGCCAGCAGGTATCAGAAAGGTCATGTGCAGCAGTCGTAGCAGGTTACGATCTCCCTAACAACACTCAGTCCGGAGTTATCCGGAGATGCCAAGTAACCCGACCCCGCTACCCACCAGCACATACTACGCTTCCATGAACACGACACTTCATTGTCAAGGCATTTTCCCGTTGTTTGCTTAGCTGGGAAAGCTGTTATTGATTCGCATCTAGAACTCAGGTCGGCGTGCTTCACCAACAGCTCTCGTGAGATTATATTACACGAAGTCATCTCCGTCAGGATCATCGTGCACTTGCGGATAGCGCCTGATAGAATCCTCTATTTAGAACAGAAGATGACCGAATTGACGGGACTACCAGCGAAAATCTGGCAATTTGCCTTCTTTCCATACAGGGGTGACCCGATTTCCCAAATAGAGGCACAAGCCAAAGCATGGCCAAACGTTCTTTCGAAATTAGCGGATTTGGCTGAGCGTGAAGACTGGACTGGAACGAATACGGACGGGCCTGATGCGCTGGAAAACCAGATCCTCCACAACTACATATCTTTCACATATTCTCGACTGGTGCTTGAAGGGAGAAAAGTCGTGGCCAGCGAGGATGGAGAGTATGCTACCTTCAACACTGGGCTCCTGGATAGATTTGACCAGGGAAACCTTCGGCTTCTTTCGAAGGAACACACAGCTAGGAAAGCAACCTTGGTATTTTCTCCGATGGGCCATCGAGTCCGACCGCGAAATGATGACGTTTTTCAATCCTACACCAGAGATGGCAGACTACGTAACAGCTGCATCTGACTTAGTTTACGATTGGCGCCGGCCACTGATATTGAACTACGCGCACATTCTTGACGACGATGACATGAAGCGCTTTCCCCAAGAGCTACAGAAGCGACCTTTAAGAGCAAGGTCGCAGCTTGACGCTGCTGTAAAAAAAACTCTCAATCGCTTGCGTCGAAATTACAAAATTGCTATCCCCCAGTGGTATCCTAAACTTAAAGATGAAGGGGCACAACTCTTGCTACCCCTGGATCTGTTCGACGAGGGCACTGCTGATCTTGCGCTCGTGGTCAGCTTGGCTGGTGACAGGTATCGCGGGTCCACAGTTCTGACGCTTGAAATGGCTTATACGCACGCCCGCTTGGTTGCAAGACCTGATAGTGAGTGGCTAAAGCCATTATCAACAGTCGTGGAAGATCAAATGGATACTGGAAGTCCGAACGCTGGCCTTCAGAGAGATCTTGCTTCACCAAGGGACAATCCGGCGATGAAGATCTCGGACTGGCGACGTCTGTAGATTCAAATGAGCTTTCTGGTCTTTAGGCTTGTACTTCTTTGCGATATAGCCAGGCACTGCTGTTGTTCCAAGGTCAATCATAGGTCACATAGACCATGCCCAGATCCTTCGTATCACTTTCAAGCATCGTCTTTTCGTATTGTCATATTCTTCAAACTCCATCTTAATTCGAAGCATTGCAGTGCAACTTACCACTGCAACTTGCTACTGCAACTTACTTAGGCTTGAGCACTTTGCTTGTCTCTGCGCTAACCATAATTGGAAAAAACGATGCAGGTGCTAGTGCTGATTCACCTCAACGCGAACCCATTGGACCACACCTCCAAATTAAGAGACATAGCCAGGAACTACCCCACCACAATGGTGATCCTACACTCTTGGCGTGGCTATGTTCTTAATCTGTCGTGCCACTGCGAATAGAGCTGGTATCCACTTACGTCACCTCTCAACGCACAAAGCGCAGTGATGCCACATTATGATCATCATAAGTAGGGCCGCAGTCATCATGTTGGAGCGAATACCATAAACCGACATCACCGGGAATAGTTCTGAATAAACCTTTTGAATCGAGTCTCGAAAAGCGAACCATCAGTCACATCACAAGATGCCTCTCTTCAGCTCACAACCGCAATCCACCACCACCCCGAACCTCACCTTTATCGGACCCGACGCGCACGGCACAATCTACATTGAAGATGCCCGAGGCATGCGCACGCCATTCTTCGCAGTCACGATAGCGAAACACTCCAAGCCCAGCCTAACCGTAAACCGCATCTTGCCCTCCGGCCACCAAGAGCCGTTCTTCACCTCCCACACATCCTCCATGTCGGGCACTTCCAGAATCGACCTCGTCAGCCGCGCCAGTGAGATCAAAATGAAAATCAGCTACGAAGGTATGCGGCTACGTCGAGAATTCCAGGGGCCAACGGGTAAGCTGAGTTGGTTTCCTTCAGGGAACTCGGGCTGCGATCAGAAGCTGAAGGACAAGAACGAGATGGTGTTGGCCAAGTTGACGGCGAATATTGGACATTCGAAGGAGCCTAGATTGGAGATATTGGTACCGTGTGATGATTACTTACTGGATCTTGTTGTGGCGACGGGGTTGGCGGTGTATAGGGATACGGTGAAGGAGGTTAAGCAGGTTGAGGTGGTGAGTGAGGTGATTGGCGGCGCATTTGGAGGTTGAGATGTTGTTAATGCAAAGGCGATCGGTCTGTTCCCATGAGAGCATTTCCGACTCCATCTTGCAGCATGCGAACGAAGTATAGATGGCCTTAAGTGTAGATGATCACTGTGTAATAGAGTACTTGATATACTTATACATGTTTTACAGACGCAATCGATTTCCTCTCATCGTTGTAAGTTCCCACCAGAGTCTCCTCGTTGGAAATGTCTTGCTCTGGCTGCATGCCCTTGTTCGCCGCATTCTGCATCAAGACCGACATATCGTCCTGACTCTGATCCGAGGTGATACCGAACCACTTGTACAGGTACGACTGCATCTTGTTTGGGACCTCGTTAGATCCTACCAGGGTCGAGCGGTAGACCGTCAACGATCCCATAATAACCGCGATGCAAGCCTCAACGTGGCACCAATACGACTGCCACCGGCAATCGATGATACCTTGGTAATAGACTCCAGCCGCGCGAATGACTGAACAGATGAGCATGAAAACCGAGAGCATTAGGAAGATGCCAACGCCCAGCCGGACGGTTCCTCGCACTGCGGATTTGCGGAGGATGAATATTGGGATGATGACAATGGTGAGGTTCGTGAGGCCGTCAAGCGTAGCCGTCACTGCGAGCATAGTGAACATGCCGTGCCTGCTGTTGTTGAAATAGCATTTCACTGAGCGCGATTAGAAACGTATAGCACAGAATGTCTTGTTGCTTACCTGCGGCCGTTCCAAGTTCTTTACAGAGTATGAAGTTGGACCCGAAAGCCAGCACAAACCAAGACGCTGCAGAAAGGGCAACAGCAGCCCAGTAGAACCATAGCACGTGCCTCGACATGACGCTCATCATTGGATAGAAAAGCGCAAAGTAACTGCCTTTTACGAAGAAGATTGCCGTCCACGAGAGTACGATGTTCGCAAACGTCCAGTTGTAATGTGCCGTAAGTTTCCGGTAACCTTGTGTAGAAGCAATGATCTTCGCAGCTGGATCGCCTCGGATCAATGCCTGTACAAGGTAATAATTTGGCGAGATCTTGTACATGATCCCGGTGCTGAAGGCCAGGCAAGATAAGGCAAAAATGAGAAGCCCGTCATCCAGGGCAAGGCGTCCGCGCGACGAAAGACGAATGATGATGCGGCCCATGCATGTCACGATCGCGAGTCCAAAGAGGATCCCAAGGGACAGCTGTAGGATGGTGAGTGTCGCTGCTTAAAGGCGCTAGAGTTTTCTTCACTCACCTCGAGGGATATCATGGGAATTCTACCAGCATTTCGAATCCGTTCCTCCGCCTCGGCCACCTGTTCAGGCGTGAGCGAGCCGACAGCAGGCATGACTGCTTTTATTGTCGATTTCGGGTGACAGTTCCAATGGTGAGGCCTCTAAGGTATTGAAGACGTTTACATATAACGTAGGTTTGTTGCGGACATTCGAGAACTCATTTCATACTGTCCAAGCAAATAGGGCCGAGAGGTGGGCATCGCCTTCCTCTAGTTCCCGAACGCTCGAGAGAGCCTCGCCACCCTCGAAGCCCGTAGCATCTGAAACGGCTTGGCTCATCTACCGGCTACTTTATCTTGTTGCGTAATATGCACGCAGCCACAATGTGGTGCTTAGGGCTGCGCTCCCGCGCGAGAGACGCGCGAATTCCCGCTTGGGGCCGGGGGCCATTGTCCGTGACGGACATTTGTGCCGCGGGATCGACCGAAGAACTGTAGCCAAACCATGATCCCGCGTCTAGATTGAAGCCGCTAGCTAGAAGAAGCACTATCGGTCGTTAAAAGGATGGACTTTAGACGTGGAAATTTGTCTTTGGAGGGAAAACAAGGCTTACTCTGGGGCGACACTTGCTCCTGTAACATACGACGTCCTCATACAACCACGTACGTCCAATACGAAAACAACTCATGCGGCACCGATTCGATACAAAATGCGTCGACAATGCATGCTTTCCGCATGTGACATAGGTTAAGATCATTTCGACCGAAGCACCAATTTTTTTTTAATTCCCCATCTCCGATCATCGGTCAGTCTGCATCAGATATTCCTTTATGAAATCGAAAATTCAGGGACTGGAGGAACCCTAGTGAGGGTTTGTTTACTTTGCTTTGATAGTAAAGAGAAACGGATCCACTCGTCGAGTCATGATAGCGGGATAGAGGACGTCAAAGGGAGGGTAGATCATCGGTTGGGCTTCGGATCGACCCGGGATTAGCGCGGCGCTACCGTACCACAAGCTCAACGCTCTTCGTGATACCCAGAAACGTCTGTTACACGACTTTTGGTCTCAATTTCATCGGCGAGTGGTTGCGTCGTCCCGAGATCTGCCGCATGTATCTTCTCTCAGGGCTCGCTCTCGTAGGCACATTGCTGAACGAACAACGCCGAGCACGGCAGAAGAACTGACTTTAATATCTCTTAGGGAAACTTTGCAGAGCAAACTCTAGGGCATCAGCAAACTCATCCTTGTGGCCAGCCCCCAAATCTCGCGTGTACAACATGCAGCTCCATGCGTCTACCGTCCAATCAACCCATCATTCCCGCATTTGAAAAGCGTGACAAAGTTCACTAGAAAGTCCATTAGTGGCAGCACGCACCAATCGCAAGCTAGTGAGCGCGGAGACACGAAGGCACAACATGCCCACAACATAAATCTTTCATTAAGGGAGCTCGGAGCCCGCATGTACCGTGAACTTTATTCGCGCATTCTCTTACTGTAGGGACGAATATCGAAAATGACTTGTGAAATTGCTGCTGAACGTTTTAAGCTGGGCAACTGCGCTTCCAGAGCCCCACAGGGCACTGGACCTGCCGTGCTTCCACGTGCTATTTCAGCGTGGGGCTGGTACTCTGTTGGGTCCAACTCGGATGGAATGATATGTACGCTCGCCCCAACTGCAATCATCACGAAGCCCCTTCCTCAACATGCCTTCGCGTGCAGTTGGCATTTCTTGCAAACAGGGACCTCCGTAACTCAAGATAACGATGATGCCACGCTATCATCATGGAACGGGTACTGGATCGATCGAGCCTGCCCAAACAATAAGGACGGATGGTGCAGGCCCTTCACCGCGTGCTCTGGGAAGTCGATCGTATTCCGATCTCAAACCTTGCGAATCTGGTAATCACGCGCTCAGTATCGGCATAGCGAGACTGAAGCGTCCGCAGTCCGTCCCGTGGAACAGAATTCCTATATCCTACGTACGGCGCGAAGCAAGCTGTCCTGAGCAACATGCACTACCAGAACAAGGGCTTTGACCCGATACATACTACCAGGAGTTGCCACCACTGCGCGTCGGTACGTCGCCTCATGTGAGCCTGTGGCCCGTGTCGCTAAGTGCTCGCAGAATCGATGTAATTGTTTCCCGCGCACGCGACAATTGCGTCCGCGACAGCTATTCCTTCATCACCATCTATAGCCATGTCCACTCCAGCATCGCCGTATGGCAGCACAGTCTCGACGTCCGCACACGACCACACGTCAACAGGTATCATAGCAGGAAGCGTAGTCGGGGGTGTCATCGCGCTTGGGATAATTGCACTGTTAGCATTTGTCATACACAAGGGTTCTAAGCACAGAGGAAGCGAGATTCACCGACAACCGCAGGTCGACAAAATGCCGTACCAGGAGTTTGACCAGCACGATGCGCTCTCGGATCCGATTGTGTGTCAGGGTGGAAGGCATGAGGACATTTCTGAGTTGGCAAATGTGTCTGTGTACGAATTGCCCAAGAAAGTTACACAGCAATCGAAGTAGCTAGGAGAGTGTGTCATCAAGCAGATTCGTGTTCATCATTCATACAGGGACGATACCCTCACACGAAACATGTAAGTCCCATCCAACACCTGAACGCCGTCCCACTCAAGTATCCTTCGCTCATTCACAGTCCCTTATTCTCCAAATAGTCCTGCACGCGCTCTATAAGATCCGCCTTCTTCCCACTGATCGGCTGTCCCCTAGCACCCAAGTACTCCTTCAGTATAGCAACAGTCTGCTTACTGATCTGTCCCTTGTCATTGATAGCAGCCATCTGCTGGTCGGTCAAGCCATCGTCGCCATATTCGTCCTTCACAATCGCTTCCTTCTTAACACGCTTCTTCGGCTTCGGCTCGTCTTCATCGTCGTCCACTGCAACGGCGGCGGGGCGCTTCTTGGCTGCTGCCTTCGGACGAGAGGACAACGCGGAGTGTCCGACAGTAGCGAACACTTTCTCGAACTCCTCACCGTACGCTGTTATGTACTCGCCCGCGCGTTTGTCGATCTGCTTGTACTTGGGGAGCGTCTTGTCGTCTGGCTTGGTAGGGACCTCTTCTTCGAGGGCCATAGCCTGCAGGATGCGGTAGAACCACTGCAAGTCAGGATTAGGATACTTGCTTGGATCGTACACGCCTTTAGGTAGCTGGAGCTGCTCGACGATGATGCGCATCTTGTCCGTCAACTCATCCGTCGTGCGTGGCTCCGCAGGCTGCTCGGGGCATTGGCGGAGATCATCTGCAAAGGGGAGCGGTACAAGCCACAGTCCGGGCGGCATTGTCTGCTCGCCGTTCTCGTCATAGCGCTCTTCGCCCGGGATCAGGGCTGCCATGACGGGCGACGCGTTCTTGCGGGGCACGAACCATGTCAATGCCATCTTCTTAGACTTGATCAGTTTCTGCTGCAGGGCGGAAAAGACGCGTGTTGAGCCAATGAAGTCCACTTCAGACGGGTACACAAAGGTCGCTTTGCCTATATTGGCCCAGAGAGGAAGGAGGGAAAGAGGCTTAAAGCCGACGATGCGCATGATGGGCTCACCGAAGCATTGGCGAATCTGGGTGATCTCTTCAGGAGTGAAAGTGATAGTGTCGCCACCAAACTTGTAGGCTTTGCGTAGCTCGGTCTTTTCGACTACGCGAGCGGTATCATCGGCCATGTGTGATGTGGAGCTCTGTACTATCTGTGGCTTTTCACCACCCACCCAGACATAGCATGACTTGACGTGCTCTTGACGTTTGATTAGGATGAAGCCCTTAACTCCGATTCGCATACCAGGGCCAAGCTCCAAAGGCAGGCTGAACAGTGCTCTTCGAGGCGCAGCTTTGGAATTTATGGAAGCTAGGAGCTGTTTGAGAAGGGTGAGACCGTCGCCACTCTTTGCAACTTTTGTGGTCGTTGCTATTGCTACAGGTGCATCCGGGTCCGAAGGAGACGTAGGGTATACTAGATCATCGTAGAACCTCGTCCGGTCAAAGCCATGGTCGGGTTTCGAGATGGGAAACAGATCGATTGTGCAATCCAGGTCGTACAAGTCGCGGGCTCGCGTTATCGCTGTGTCCTTGTCCTGCTTTACCCTGGCTGGGTTATCATTATCCGTAACCAAAAAGAGTCGTCGCGAGGAGAAGTTGGGGGCCTTTGTTGTAAAGATCTGATTTGCGCAGAACAGTACTGAAGCAATGGTGGGCGCCTCCTTCGCGGGCTTCAAGATCTCTTCTGCCTCTTCCTCGTTCTCCAGCAAATCTCGCAGCTGCTTCACATCCTGTGCGCTGGGGACGTCCAGATCTGCTAGCAGATAGCAATGTTGGAATGTGTTGTCCCCATCTTTTAGGTCCGTCTTCTCAGTACCGTAGAGAAGTATGCCCATCATGTCTTTTGGATTTGAGATGATGCGCTGCTGCATGAGGTGGTATGCGCATTTAAGGGCAGCAGAGGCGGGGGAATCGCGCTCGGCTTTCTTGTCGTCTGACGGCGGTGGGCGTTCCAGCATAGATGCGCTGATGTCGATGGCGAAGAGAACGGCATCTCTAATGGTCTTGTAGCTCTGGTGTACGTCAACATACAGAACGCACTGAAGCTGCGCTTCTATTCATACGGCGTCATCAATCTCCTCCTCGTCATCTTCCTCCTCACCAAGCCGATTATCCTGTGTGTCGGCCATGGCTGCCGTCTGGGAGATGCGCCGCTACTGGGAGTATACGATTGAAGACGGCGCGATCGAGCACGCCTCTGGATTTTGTACACGGTGAGTTGGTGTCGCAGAGACGAAGACGAAAAGGTCAGGAGCATTTGCGGTGAGCGGCGAGTTTGTGTTCGCGGCGCGGTGGCTCCTTCTCTCTCAGGCAGCAGCGCGCCTGCCTCGCCTCCAGCGCGTGATCATGTGACGTCCTCCCGCCGCGAGCGATGCTTACGATCCATAGCTCCGATCGTTGGCTCCAGTCGCAAGCTCCGCATTGGCCACTCGTCATCAAGCGGCCACTATTCACATGGCTCTTCTGGACATTGCGCCAAACTTCCTCCCATAACATTCCGAGGTAGCGCTTCTTTCATTTTCGTAATGGCGATGCGCTCGCCCTTATCACACGCTGTGAAGCGTACAACGTACAAATCACCCGCCACCCCGGTCTTGTCACCGTGTACCCAGCGCTGGAAGAGAAGCAATGCGACGGTTGCTCCCCCACCCGTTACGCAGAGCTCCGCCGGCTCAAAAGGCCCCACTGCCATGGTATTCATGAACATGGGCGGACCTTCGACGACCGACGAAGTTCATGGCTTCCTCAGCAATTTGTTTGTACGTCATGACTTGAGAATTTATTTCCGACTTCCATAAGCTTACACCTGCAGTCTGATGCCGACTTGATACCCCTGGGCCGTCTACAGAACTACATTGGCCCCTACATCGCACGAAGACGTACACCCAAGATTCAAAAACAATACGCCGAAATTGGTGGTGGCTCGCCCATCCGGAAGTGGTCTGAGTACCAGGCCGCTGAGATGTGCAAGATCCTGGACCAAACCTCGCCAGAGACCGCACCGCATAAGCCATACGTCGCATTCCGATATGCCAACCCTCTGACAGAAGAAATGTACAACCGATTACTCGCAGACGGTTTCGGGGGTGGCAAGGGTGGGCGCGCTGTCGCGTTTACGCAATACCCGCAATATTCGTGCTCGACGACGGGCTCATCGCTCAATGAGCTATGGAAGTGGCGACAAAGGTTAGAAGGCAAGAGGGCCGGTGGAGAGGTCAACCCAGAGGGCGCAATCAAGTGGAGTGTCATCGACCGATGGCCCACGCATCCAGGGCTGGTGGAAGCCTTTGCGCAAAACATCGAGAAGACGCTTCAAGAGTACCCGCCAGAGCGAAGAGATAACGTCGTTCTTCTCTACTCGGCGCATAGTTTACCCATGACCGTAGTTAACCGTGGCGACCCGTACCCGCAGGAAGTGGCAGCTACGGTGCACGCTGTGAATCAGCGACTAGGCATGAAGTACAAGTACCGACTTGTCTGGCAATCACAAGTCGGACCGCAGCCCTGGCTTGGAGCGCAGACATCGGACACGGTCAAGAACCTGATGAAGAAGGGCAACACCGACCTCATCCTAATTCCGATTGCCTTCACGAGCGACCATATCGAGACACTGTATGAATTGGACAAGGAGGTCATTGGCGAAGATGCGGAGGGTCATGAGGGCGTAAAGCGCGTGGAGAGCCTGAATGGCAACCCTATCTTCATCCAGGGTCTTGCTGATATTGCAAAGGCTCACCTGCACGCCGGAGTCGCTTGCAGCAACCAAATGACGTTGAGATGTCCCGGGTGTGTGAGCGAACGGTGCTTGGGCTCGAAGGAGTTCTTTGCTGGCCAGAACAAGCTCCTCGAGCCTCTAGCTGCGTGAGGGTGACAGCTTGGCTATAAGGGGGACTAATGTACGTTACTGTATAGCATGGCGTGGAAATCAAAAGGCGTAGCGGAATTCATTCTAGTACTGCTGGCCAACTCATTCCTATCTTGAAGCTTTGTGATCATCCTTGACCCGCTCCGTTTGCATTGACTGGCAACGGAATCCAGGGCCTGAGGTACACCGATATCCGCAGACCTCAGAGATGTAAGAGATACCTGAAGGCAGAGTCCACATAGCGCATTGTATCGCCTCTGCAAGTCTACAAAGAAAGGTCCTCGACCACGCCAACGCAGGAGAGGTGCTCGCGCATTCCGTGTGGTTGCTGTGCCTTGTCGGCGGCGCGAATCGGGGAACTAGGGCCGCCAAGCGCTCGAAACCCGGCGACCCAACATTCAACCAAAGTTTTGCTCACCAACAGCTCAAGCTGACACGCTCCTACACCCTCCCCTCACCACTTCCGCCGCTGCCCCCTCCTCCTCGGCACCACCGTCACCATGTTGTCCAGGACCATCAGGCGGAGCATTGCGTCGCCGCTCCGGCGCAATGCCTTCGTCCCTGCCGCCGCGCGACCTGCCTTCAGGACCGTCACCACCGACGCCGCTTCAGCGCACGCCGAGGCCGTGCCAACGGTACGCACCCCCCGGAACATGGCAGTCATGCCTGGGTTGGATGGATGATGGGTGGAACGGATGATTGACGTGCTGCAGGAGGATGACAAGCCCTTCGAGGTCCGCCTCTCCGACGAGAGCTTCGAGACGTACGAGCTCGACCCGCCGGCCTACACCCTCGACACCACAAAGGCCGAGCTGAAGCAGATGTACTACGACATGGTCGCCATGCGGTATGAACCGGCCCTTCCCTTGCCTGTCTGGCAGAGCTCGAGAAGCGGGTCCTAACAGGCTTTCTAGACGCATGGAGATGGCCGCCGACAGGCTCTACAAGGAGAAGAAGATCCGCGGTTTCTGCCATCTGTCCACCGGTCAGGAGGCCGTCGCCGTCGGTATCGAGCACGCGATCGAGCGCGCCGACCACCTCATCACCGCCTACCGCTGCCACGGCTTCGCCATGATGCGCGGCGGAACCATCAAGTCCATCATTGGTGAACTGCTTGGCCGGAGAGAGGGTATCGCCTACGGAAAGGGTGGATCTATGCACATGTTCGCCCCCGGGTTCTACGGTGGTAACGGTATCGTCGGTGCCCAGGTTCCCGTCGGTGCCGGTATCGCTTTCGCCAACGCCTACGAGAACAAGAAGAACGTGACACTTGCTCTGTACGGAGACGGTGCTTCCAACCAGGGTCAGGTCTTCGAGGCCTACAACATGGCCAAGCTGTGGAACCTCCCCATTATCTTCGCTTGCGAGAGTAGGTGGACACATTGGTAGCCCTGTGCGTTCGAATGCTAACCCCAGCCAGACAACAAGTACGGTATGGGTACCGCTGCCAACCGCTCTTCGGCCATCACCGATTACTACAAGCGTGGTCAGTACATCCCGGGTCTCAAGATCAACGGCATGGACGTCCTCGCTGTCAAGGCCGCTACCCAGTTCGGTAAGGAATGGTGCGCCGCCGGAAAGGGACCCCTCGTCTACGAGTTCGTTACCTACCGGTACGGAGGTCACTCCATGTCCGACCCCGGAACCACCTACCGCGTAAGTCCCCTTTGGCCTGAGAATATTAACAGCAGCTAACCATCCATCAGACCCGTGAAGAAATCCAGCGTATGCGCAGCACCCAGGACCCCATTGCCGGACTCAAGCAGAAGCTCCTCGACTGGAGCGTCGTTACCGAGGAGGAGCTCAAGAGCATCGATAAGAAGGCCCGCGCCAACGTCGACGCCGAAGTCGCCGAAGCCGAGAAGATGGCCCCTCCCGAGGCCATCCCCAAGGTCCTGTTCGAAGACATCTACGTCCGCGGCTCCGAGCCCGAGTTCCTGCGTGGCAGAATCCCGGAAGAGAACTTCTACTACGCTGAGGCGGATCTGGGCAAAGAGAAGGACTCTCCTGCCCGGACTTAGAATGCTTGAGGCATTGAAGGCGAACGGGGTGTGGTGGAGAATTAGTGAGCTTGTAATATATCACCTTGTGCGGGGGCAAGCACTTGGGCATTGTGGATATTAGCAGCGGACGTGTGGTGATTCTTGGTCGTATTAACCATGTTTTGGGACAGCGGGGAATAGAGTCTTTTCTGGATTGCATTGGATCTGTGGTCCCTGTGCTGTGCTACTCCTTGTGAATTGAAACACTGTCTTCCCGAGCGTACTGGGTATTCGTACGAAGCGAACCAGAAGGAGTCCTCAGCCATCCATCCTTACGTCACACCCGCAACAAGGCGGACCCTCTGGTATTCCTCGCTCGAGTCGTCGGATATCACTTGACTACATTTGTCAGTAACATGATGTTGACCTCTCGCCTTTTTGAACTTCTTGTATAAACATGAACGTATCTCACATAAAAAAACCCCCACAAGAACGTTTACAATGTGCAGTGTCTGTCCTTGTTTACCCCACGCATGATCTTTTTCCCTCGAAAAACCCATCTTCCCCTGAAGTGACACGGGGAACAGTCCATAGCAGGGCAGTAACCCAAAGGACGTAGAGTTGGACTTTGAAGCATCCAAACTTGAGCACGTAGAAAGGACCGCCAACTCCTTTACATCACGGCCGTTGTGGCATGCACGTGCGAACACAATCCCCCGAGGAGTAACGTCGAAGCCGAAGAAGAAATGTAACAGACACCATTGCGCAGCTATGCCAAATAAAGGCAAGAAAACTCGGTGTATGCAACTGACGTCCGCGTCGGGGTGGCATCTCTAGGCTTCGCATACAGCCTCTATTCATGCCAACTGAAAACTATGGCTTCCCGGGTCGGGGCGGGTTGCTTGCACAGGTGGAGGCGAGTTTTGCGGATGGGAGTGACGGAGAGGAGGCCGGTGGGGAGCCGGGGTGTCGCAAGAAGATGTTCTGCAGTCAGACCACCGGTTCGAGAGACTGATACGCATCTGGCTCTAGGAGGTGGTTTGCTGGTAGGGGATCACTGGAAGGCGTTGTCAAACTTAGACGCCTGGGTCGTTAAAAGTTCCTAGGTGATTGTAGTGTCGAGGTGAAGCCATCCGACGCACCCGCAGTGTGTACCAAGCAGCCCAACGCCCCGGTGCACTCACCAACGCTCACTCGCACCGCACGCGATCTTGAAGTATCCGTATATTCTAGTCCGTCTCTCTAATTCTGAACTTCTCGCCACCCACCCACCCAAAATGTTCCATCTCATCCCTACCCTTTTTCCTTCCCAACCCCGGTGCATGTCCACACCCATACTATCCCAACGGTGAAAGTGGAAACAAATCTGCGCCAGACGCACATCCATGCAGTGCCCAAACGCCCCAGAAATGCCTAGGTACAGTCTTCAAAGAACAAAAAAAAAGGAAATAAGTAATGTCGTTTGTTGTCGTGTATGTCGTGAGCTGCCTGCCGCCCATACACAAGAACGTGGGTACAACAAGGTAGGGAGGGTATCAACGCTTGCCATCGATCCGAACAAAGCAACACCGTTTGTCGTCATACATGAACTGCCTCTTACATGATTCCTGTTTACACGACAGGACGCTCCGGCGCAACGTAAGATTGTCCCCAATAGCGGTCGTATCACAGCATTCGCCTGAGCTGCGTCAAGACCTGTGGACCATTCGTGTAGTCATGCTCAAAATCCATGGCCCTCACATCTCCCATCATCCTGACTCCCGCGGTCGGGAAGCAGGCTCCAGGCTAGGACGCTCGACGAGGCAATTGAAAGCGGCCAGATACTGTAGCACGGCCTGAGCGTTTAGTGGCCTTCCTCAAAGGGCTGAATGCGCTCGCTACGAGGTCATGCCGACGTCGGGCATAGGGATATCGTTATCAGACGGAGGGTTGGCGTTCGACACCCGTTGCAGGGCGGGTGCGGAAGCTGTGGAAGGAAGTGCGGAGACGGGCCGTACGGGCGGAGGTTGTGAATAGAGGTCGTCGGAGCTGTGGTCGGGCATGCTCATGGGGGAGGAGGAGCGGAAGTCTTCAATATCGTCTTCTGGGGGGGCAAAGGACCATACCTAGTTTGTGTGTTAGCAATACCGCTTCAGGCATAGTGTACGAGGTAAATGAGATGTAAGAGAGTCGGGAAGGTGCAGTCGTACCTCCATGATGGTCCTCCCGCCCCTCGCCGCCATAATGACAGCCTTCTCCTCCTCAAATACAACTCGCCACACCGCCTCCGCAGGCGTACTGAGTTCGCGGACGAGCGTTCCTTTTTTGAGATCCCAGACTTTGACACGGCCGTCGGACCCACCGCTAACGATGCGCGTGTTGTCGAACTGCAGGCTCGTGACACTGTTATCGTGCGCCGCGAGTCGATGAATGGGCTGGTAATCGGCAAGGCTCCAGACTCTGACAGATCCGTCCGAGCCACCCGTGACGAGTACATCTTCGCGCATCTGCAGCTGGCCTACGAGCGAGGTGTGTCCCTGTAGCACGGCCAAGCATTTGCTACATCACGAACACAGATTAGCGAATGGCAACATACAAGCACAGCAGCGACAGTTGGTCACCGCGAATCACAAATAGACTCACCCGTCGGTCGGATCCCAAATTCTCACACTCGTGTCCAAGCTGCCCGTCGCAATCTTTTTCCCATCAAAGGCAATAGCATAGATTTGGCTGAAGTGGCCGGTGAGCGTACGCAAGCATTTGCCCTCGCTGATGCTCCATATCTTTGCTGTCGTGTCGTAAGACCCAGACACAACAATATCGCCGTGTATCTCGAGGCAGCGAACGCTCGCCTGGTGACCAATCAGGACGTGCTTGCAGAGACCCTTTTTGAGGTCCCATATGCGGAGAGTTGTATCTCTTGAACCTGAGATGGCTGTATGTGCATCGGACATCTTGAGGCAGCGCACGGTAGAGGTGTGCCCCCGGAGAGTGAATTGTGGGTAACTGTATGAGACGTTAGAGCCCTGCGTGGGCTGTGAGAGGACTACTGACCCTGTCGCGAGGTTCCAGACCCGCACATCGCGGTCGCATCCTCCACTGACGAGTAAGTCACCCCAGGGCACCATCGCCCAGACGCCCATGACATGCCCTTGTAGTGTTTTCTGGTGATAGCCCTCGGTGTCGAAGACGTGAATCTTGGCGTTGTCCAGGGCCACGACAATGTACTTCTTGGTCAGGTGCAGGCTTGTGACGACACCCTGTTCGGGTGTGATTTGGCGCGCATCGCAGTGGCCACCCTGCCGCCATGCCGTCTCGACCTGGTACCGTTGCTTGAAATGTGACCGGTACGTGGTGGCTTTAGATCTCGATGGGATTTCTTTCCGCTTCGACGTCCTGTCCAGGCTCTGTGTCCGCAATCCTTCTCCTGCTGCACCCGAGCTGGCGCCGTCGAGTTGCTCCTTGTTGGCCGTGTCTTCGGAGCGCGAGGCACGGCTGGGCTGTAGCCAATGCGACTTGGATGACTCCTCCTCTTCGTCGCCGGGATCGTCTTCCTCGCTCCTCTCTTCTCTTGACAACCCTCTGTACGAGAACTTCTGGCACAACAGCCGCCATGCGGTGTCGTCGTTGACGAGTTCGCGCCACTTCTTGGAGACCTGGGAGGCGCGGGCGAGGGTCGTGGGATCGTCCACGCATTCTAGTATCTGGAGAGGTGTCAGAGTATAATCCGCCTGTCGCTTGGGAGATACCGACCCGGAAGCACAACTCAGTGGGCAGCACCATGAAGGGGTCCTTCTTCAGGCGCGGGCTGACAAACTCGGCGACAAAGCTCAGCTCATGGCTGTCGCACAGGTTGAGCAGCTCCCCCAGCAGGCGCAGCCGCTCGGGGCGGTTCATGTCGCTGAACAGCGCGCGCGTGTTCTTGATCTGCGAGTCCTCATGTTCGGCGGCGGTGCTCCAGTCCGGGACTCGCTGGGTGGGGGTCGGACTGGGCGCGGGCGTCGGCGGTGAGGCGGGTGCAGAGGGCAGTGTGTTGTGCGGGATGGTCGAGGACAGCGGGCTCGTGGGCGTTATTATGGGCCGCGGCGCCGAGGAGCGAGACATGCGGCCCTGCTTGCGCGAGTGGGCCGTGGGCGATGCGAACATGTTGCCGGGGCGCATGGCCGCCGAAGACGCCGACGCGGAGGCGCCCATGTCGGTGTCGGAGTCGTTGGAGGCTTCGTTCATGGTGGTGTCGTCTGGCCGGCGAGCCAGCGGCTGGAAGTAGTCGTGCTGGTCCATGATGGCGGCGGCGGCGACGGCGAAGCTCTGCGAGTGCTCTGCGGGCGCGACTGCGCTGGCTGGGTCGCGGGCCGGTGGTACAGTACAGCAGACGGGTAGCCCAAAGGGACGTTGCAGGAGGGCTTCTGGCGCTGCCGGGCTGCTAGTGTTTCGAGATGTCAGGCCGGGCGGTGAGGTAAGCCCCAGCTGGGCTGATGCGGTGCGGTGCGGTGAGACCGTTTGCTGCCGGCAAATGCGCAGATACAACACTCGACAAAGATTCCGCGGGCGCTGCAGGCTCAAGGCGATTGGGGTGACGAGACGAGCACCGTAACATCACGGCTTCCTTGGTCACTTCGTCGCCAAGCCCCAGATGAACGCCTGCATGTCCCCTCCACCAGACCGCGCCTGTCCCCTGCATATCCCATGTCCCGTGGTGACATAATTGCGCCATGTACCAGCACAAGAGGCCTTCTGGCCATGATGATCGCTATCCAGTCTTCGAGTGCCCGTCAGCGCCCTCAAGCGCTCTGATGTCTGAACCCATGAGTAGCCATTTATAGATGCTCAACCCCAAACGCCCGCCCCCGCAGACCTCCGCCAGGGGAACATGTTCACGCACGTCTCAGCCTCACGGCAACCAAATCGTCACCTTCGCCCCCTCTCGATCCAAACCCGTGCTGAACCGAACCGCACCGTCCCGTCGTGAACTAGGTACACAACGCTGTGTCAGCACGCCATCTGGCAATCGGCCCTTCTGCAACCCCGACTCGCCCCCGGATCTGTCAGGTCTGCATCCACCGATCCCCAACAACCATTGATCGTCGACACTACTGCAGAAAGCCATTTATCTTGAATTGCATGCCAGCTCTAGAACTTTGCGGAGAATGGCCGGACTGTTCCACTGTCACTCTGCAGATTGTTGGTGTGATCACCCCACGTGCTGCCAAACTGGGTCCTTCCCGTGATGTGTTGCGGATTTCGAGTACGCGTTGCACGGTCAAGTACATGTTACTTTGTGTGGAGTGGTGTATCATTTTGTGGCTGCAGAGTTTTCTGTCCCGCTGTCACCTCTCGTGATGGCTGCCACGTTCTGTGCATCACTGTGTAATGACCTCGATACTATCTGTGTACAGCATGCCCAAATCAACAGTTACGCCTTCGTGTGCAGTCAAAACTTCCGTAGACATAAGCAGTGTGGAGTGAATATGTTGGAACTAACGAAGCAAGAGGATGGTGTTCTTTCGAAGGAATCCTTTGATGGACACAAGCCGTCGGATCTATTGATAAAGTTGTTCTGGGCATAATTGCGCTGTTGATCTGAAGTGGTCGACACCCGGTGAAGAGTTTTCCCAGATCGACCTAGGAGCGCTTCTCACGGGGTGCCAACCCAAACCAACAGCACATTTACACCCGAGCACATTTACATTGCGTTTGAAATAATCTATATACATGAAAGCAAACCCCGAACCATCTAGCAGGTGCTGACAGCCGGTCCAGGGACCTTGTAGCTGGTGAAACCAGAGTAAATGTTAGCAGTGTATCCCGGGTCCGTGTTCTTGACGTGTCCGGGGATGGAAACACCGCTGAACGACTTGCTGCCGCCACCAGTGACCTTGATCTGCGCGCAGGAGATGTAGAACTGCGGGATGCCGCCCGGGTACGGATTGTGGATAGCGAGCTGCTCGATGCGGAGCAGGTATTCGCCGGCGGGGACGCACGACGGGATGGTCACGCTGTAGGACTGCTCGAGGTCCCACGTGGAGGAGCTGCCTGAGAACGTCGGGCCAATCTCCTTGATCTTGAACCAGGGTGTGGAACCGTCGGAGGCGGCGGCGGTCGACGAGGCCTTAGTCAGGTAGAAGGAGACGGGGCCCTGATGGTAGACGGCGATGTCAGCGGTGAATGTGACCGTTGAGCCCGCGGCGACAGAGACAGTCGACGTCGAGGCTCCTGAGCCACCGCCCACGTTACAACGAAGGTCGTTGGAGGCGAGGTCGATGACGGGCGAGTTGTTGTTGGTGTTCTGGCGGATGTTCTGGTAGACACCACCTTGCACGCCGTTCGCGGTGAGCTTCTGGAAGATGTCTGGCTGAGTGTTAGCGAACGTTTACATGGGAAATCTATTCAGCGAAACATACAGTGGCCGTTGACGGCCTCGAGGAACAAAGCCCCAGCGAGAGCGGCGGTAGAGAAGAACTTCATCTTGGAGAGTTGAAGAGTAGCTTGTTTAGATGGTTGTTATGCTTGGCTGCTGCTTTTCAACGATGTGCTGGCTCGCCCTTCTTATACTGCTCCCTGAAGTCCGTCGTCATCTTGAATTCGCGTCCAGATATTATCCACAGGTAGAATTCTTCCACGTAAGGTTACGTCCCTTTCCCCATGCGTCGCCCAACCCACGAGGTCGTCGCACGACCACCCACGCGTTTCCCTATCGAGACGAATGCACGTAGTCGCAACCAGGTCGCGGCCAGCAGATTCCTATGCATGGTGCCGGATGACCTTATTACAGTGGCATAATATGGGGGTCCGTGAGTGACAGACATCCTATCGTAGGATCGAAACGTGATTTTGCTCCAATAATGTTTGATGTTCTAACCTGGGTTGGTCATGAGACAAGCTTTTTTAATATGCATACTGGCTTTGAAGCCTGGGATCCCCGACGCAAGGCGCCCGGGAAAATAGGGAATGGATCCGGTAGAGATTCTGGGGTACAGGTGGCGTAGGCGATACGGATCGTGCATGCGAAACTTGATCAGCTCGACTCTTAGTTTACAGAACGTTGAATTTGTGAGTAGAGCGAGTGTGTTCCTGCATACGTCCCGATTGGGCTGGCACTGCTTGCAGCATTTTCAGCATTCCTAGATACTTACGGATTGCGATCAAAAGAACGGCACTGCAAGTCTCTCCTCAAATCTTACCGTGCTGTCACTGTGTACCTTGTACGACGTGTGGCTCGAAAAAGCGGGGTGTTTTGCTAGAGCGCACGTTGGATAATATAGAGTGTTTGGGCTGCCGATTTATATTGCCTAATTTCGACAACCGGGTTTTAGGACGGGTATGTGCCGAACAACAATCGACCCAAGCCTAGGCGTTTCAATCCCCGAAGAATCTTCAGGAACAACGACGAAGCCTTGCTTCCGGGAGAGGATTTGTCATGACAGTTTCGGCAAGCGGAGGTAAGTGGTGTGCAGCTTTACTGCTGTCGCTTGACGGTATCCGTAAGTCAGATAATTTGCCTTACGGACTTTTCGATAACCTATGCTGAATACCGAAACAAGATTCCTAGGAACTTTCGATCGTATTAGCGAATATGACTATATCGTGTGAACGTGATAGAGTATCGTCGAGGGAGGCCCCGAATGCTCGCATTGCTGAGCTTCCTGAGAGACAAGAATAATGGCGGCTGAAGGTTTCCGGCTTTTACAATTAACAGAGGTGGGAAGAAACAGTATCGAGCGTTAACGATGCGCCGCGATTACGATCTGGTGCGCGCGAACTAATGTCACCGCTGGTCAAGCTCTCGGACAGTCTCCGGGCGTTGAAAGCAAGAAGACAGAGACAGCACAATTGGTATGCCTAATTATTGACATATTTCCACGCGATTGAAAGGAGAAGCGGCATAACATTTTCTTAAGCATAGTTGCGACAACAAATCGGAGGTCCAACAGCGCCAGTCTGGGCACAAGTGCTGAGTGTAGGTTTGATGGGGGTCTCTCCGTGTTTCGGAATGGCAACAGAAAATCACGTGAAAAGTCGCCATCTCGCGGGCCTCCGATTGGCCAATACTTTCTACATCCCATCGTTCTTGGGGAGGCACGACATCTTTATAATCGCGAAATAGCGTCATCATGCCGCCTCCAGCTCTCTTGCCCCCCCTTGCGATTCTGCGACGGAACCTGTCCTCGCACTAGCAGCACCCGCTATGAGCCTCCCGCGCAGGTTTGCAGCTGTTGCGCGACCTACACTTCGACAGGCGGTTTCTGCTCCGCAAAAAGCCGTTGGGCGAAGCACTTTCCTGACCCCTCGTTCCAGAAAACTTCACAACCAAGCTTCTCGGAGCGCTCAAGCAGCCGTCTCTGAAGCAGACGCAGAGCCTGTCCCAGGATCCACGAATCCCGCATTATCCTTCCCATGCCTCGATAAGCAGGAGTCGCGATCGGCATCCCTCTCCAGTCGTTCGTCCGGGCCCGAGCCCTCATACACCACCGGAAAACATCTCAACTTTCACTCGCGCGAGCCGATATTACTCGATTGGGGCGGCATCCTTCCCGAGTTCAATGTTGCGTACGAGACGTGGGGCACCTTGAACAAAGACAGAAGCAATGCGGTATTGCTACACACTGGCCTGTCCGCCTCGAGCCACGCACACAGCACCGAAATCAATGCGCAGCCGGGATGGTGGGAGAATTTTATTGGCCCTGGGAAACCGCTGGACACAGACAAATACTTTGTGATATGTACGAACGTGATAGGCGGGTGCTTCGGTTCGACAGGACCGTCCTCGATCGATCCCGCGAACGGCGAACGATATGCGACAAGATTCCCAGTCCTCACAATGGAAGACATGGTACGCGCGCAATTTCGGCTTCTTGACTCGTTGAGCATCCGGAAGTTGTACGCGAGCGTTGGCTCCAGCATGGGCGGCATGCTGAGTCTAGCTTCTGGCGTACTCTTTCCGGATCGTGTAGGCAGGATCGTGAGCATCAGTGCTGCCGCGCGAAGTCATCCGTACAGTATTGCCATGAGGCATACACAACGCCAAGGTGAGTGTAAGACGGGACGATAACTGAATATCATACTGACTTGTTGTAGTGCTGATGATGGATCCGTATTGGAACCGGGGCTTTTACTACGATGGTGTACCGCCGCATTCGGGCATGAAACTTGCACGTGAGATTGCGACCGTCACGTATCGAAGCGGTCCAGAATGGGAGCAGCGCTTTGGCCGCCGACGAGCCGACCCGTCTCGACCACCGGCGCTTTGTCCGGATTTTCTGATTGAGACGTACCTTGACCATGCCGGCGAGAAGTGGTGCCTCAGCTACGACCCCAACAGCTTACTTTATGTTTCAAAGGCTATGGACCTTTTCGATCTGGGGCAAGATCACCGGAATCGCATCAACAAAGTCAGACAGGACAATGCCGGCAAACTCCAAGCATACCTAGATGGGCGCGCTCCAGCAGAGGGCGTCGAGAGCGACCTGTGCAGCCTAACTCTGCCTGAGAAGCCATATGAAGAGAAGGAACAGCCTACGGAGGAGAGCGAGGTCGCCCTTGATGCCGTCGAGGCAGCGCCCGCAGATCTGGTCGCTGGACTCAAGCCTTTGGCGAATACCCCAGCATTAATTCTAGGTGTAGCTAGCGATATCCTGTTTCCGGCATGGCAACAGAAAGAGATTGCAAACACGCTCAAGCGGACTGGAAACAAGAATGTCACACATATCGAGTTGGGCGAGGAGAAGAGTCTATTTGGACACGACACTTTCCTGCTTGATCTTAAAAATGTTGGTGGAGCCGTCCAGTCATTCTTGGGCTGAGTCATGGTAAAGCGATGTTGGGCTTATCTTCCTGTACATTGTGTATTTTTGTACTTATAGCGTTGCATGGCAAGGCGTTGGTGGGCCAATCTTGCAATTCCAGAACTTCCCATGGGTCCCCACTTGGCTCGATGCATCTAGAATTACTACGCACCCACCAATGTTATTCCTGGAATACGGAAAGCTCCAACATTCCCATATTCTACTCTGGCTCCATGCACTACCATTCATGCGCGGCCTTTTCTCGCTCTCATATCTACATATTAGATTGCCTTGTTTCACTAGACAGCCTGGCGTAACCCAATATATGGTCCCAGAATCCCTTGTTCCTGCAGACCAAGGGTCACGCCGACCAGCCCTCACAGTGGCTCGTGGCTCCGAAGTCATTAGTGCTTGCCCTGCACCATTGCTGTGAAGGCCGAACGCCTTCTCTGCTCTAGGCTTGACCATTCTCGTCTCTCCAGAGAAAAACGAGGACGATATCCCTCTGCAGCGTCGAATAGATTCAAGGCCACGCGAAGATGAAGGTGTGGAAATAACGCCAGCAAGCTCTGTCCTTTGTCCATACAATGCCGCCGACTAATACGCTGGTCTAATATCACGGCAAGACTCAGAAGCAATCAGCGTAAAGCATCATCTCTCTGTTGACAATCAGATCCTCACCATCGCCACTAGCCTCTGTCATACAGGAACTGAAACCCTCGTCCGTGTAGACGGGCTCAAATAAGGCCATAGTCATGGCCCAGCACGTCAACTCTAGTGCACTACCGTCCTTGGTGGACCAGAAGATCGCCGGGGGTGGAAAGTACGAATATCTGGAGAAGGATAGTCTGGTATACTGCTAGTGGCAAGATTGTACACGAACCAGGCACCTCGGTTCGGTACTTTAGCCGAACTTATGGCAATGAAGAGCTGCGCTTCTTTCTGGCGGATAGACGTTCTATGCAACGACTGTTCATCCGACAGCGGTCCACGCCTTTTGTAACATGTATCCAGCAAGCGCTTGATCACGAGCAATCTTCTGGCGAGGCTCAGAGAATCGTAAGTGAGCCGAGGCCTGCTTGGATCATGCCTGACATGGAAGAACAAATGCGGTTTCTTGGCTGGCTTATCGTTTCGTGACTAAAGTTTCCCCAATCCTTTTGTCTCTTTGAAGATAATATATGCTCCTTTCCCAACATACGTAGAGACTCACTTCGATTTCACTCTTAACTCTACACAACAGTCTAGTTTCGAAGCAGTATATCAACCATCAGCAACATTGCTGACCTAAACACTGCACCAATCACCTGTAGTAGCCTGTAAATAATAAAAGGGCACATAGATATAGGAGGGGCAAGAAGAGATACGTAGAGCCTACCTTCTCACACACCTGCATCTGCGCCCTTCTATCGTACGACTACTATTAGTGTTCCTGAATTAGACGACCCTGCGCGGTCCAAGATCCGGCCTAGGCCGTTCCTTCCCATCCTAGTTCGCGTCCGGAACCTTTCCGGAGCATCACCAAATCCTATTCGCTAACCGCAATCCATCGTCTGGCTTGGCAAGATTTAAGCTTGAATGTTTAATTTGGAGTTGTCGTTGCCAAGAGCGGATGCATACATAGGTGCGCCTCACCCGCCATGCTAACGGCTATCTCCATCCCTTCGCGACTATGGAGGCGCATTGCGACGAGCGGAAACCAGGCCAACTAGGAGAGAAAGATTGTGTTGTGCAACGGAGTTTGAGCCAGACAAGGAGCGAAGCGAGCGATGAGCAGAGGACGCTTTGGCAAAATGTTAGGAGATATCGTAAGGTGGTGTGTGTGACCTTTGGATTGACGAGTGCGATTCTGCTGTATGGGTACGACAATGTTGTGGTGGGCACTGTGTCAGGGATGCCTGGATTTCAGTACGTTATTCCTCGTACACGCATCTTTCATCCGTCTAATGCAACTCCAGACGAGACTTCGGCATCCTCCTGAACGACGAATGGATCCTCCCTTCTTCCTGGCTCGCACTCTGGAACGTCTCCTCTCCCATTGGCGCGATGCTGGGATCGCTCTTCGGCGGCTGGTTCCAGGACCGCGTCGGTCGCCGCATGTCCCTCGCGCTGTGCTCTTTCGTCTCAGCACTCGCAGTCGCAGTAATGTTCGTTTCGTACATCCCCGCCTCTGCAGATGCTCGTCGCGCGCTCTTTCTGGTCGGCAGGTTTGGACAGGGTTGCTGCATCGGCGCAGCCATGGTGGCCACGCAGACGTACCTCAGCGAAGTGCTGCCCACGGTGCTGAGGGGCAGCGGCATGGCGTTGTTCCCCGTGTTCACGCTTCTAGGACAATTGATGGGCGCATTGGTCATTTATGGGAGTCTCAAGAAAGACAACGGGTACGTGGTCGTCTTTGGGAGCCAGTGGCCGTTCAGCTTCGTGCCCGTCATCGTCGCATACTTCATCCCCGAGAGTCCAGCGTGGTTCATCCGAAAGAGGAAGACGGAGGAAGCGCTCAGAGCGCAGGCGCGACTTGATCCTCCTGGCGCCGACACGAAAGCCATCGTTGACAGGATAGCGGCGAATATTGAGCACGAGGAGGCCACGCAGGGCCAGGCCAAATTCAAGGAGTGCTTCTCTGCGGCGAATTCTAGGCGCACGATGATTGTGCTATGGGTTAATAGTTTGCAGGCTGTGTTTGGACTGCCGTTGATGGCAAAGGCAAGCTATTTCATGCAGATTGTGGGCCTGGACGCGAAGCGCAGTCTCATTTTCCTTATTCTTGGTATTGTCCTTGGGCTGTTTGCAAATGTGGCAAGCATCTGGGTGCTAGCAAGATGTGGCAGGCGCAAGCTCATTCTCTCAAGTTTGAGCACCGCGGCGGTGTTGTGGTTGAGCATGGGCATTGCAAATTGTTTCCACGGCATGGGTGTTGTTTGGTAAGTTCGCGTTCAGTGTTGTGTATCTGTCGGAGGCATCGTTAACGAGTCGTCTAGGTGGACTGGTGCGTCTATGATGCTGACCATTATCATCTGCGGAGTCGGTGTTTGGCCTGCTTCCTATGCGGTCGCAGCAGAAACGTCATCTCTACAGCTTCGCGCGAAGACGCAGGGTATGGGCTGGGCTGTCAATGCATTCTCAATTGCTGCGTCTGGTATCGCCCTGCCGTACATCTTTAATCCAGATGCGGGCAACTTGAGGGGCAAAGTCGGGTTTACATATGTAGGGACCTGTGTGTTGGGCGTCCTGATCAGCTATCTGCTTGTACCGGAAATGAAAGGACGAACAGTTGCGGAGATTGATAGGATGTTTGACATCGGATTGAGGACCCGGGACTTCAGATCGTATCGAGATAATAGTGTGCAGCAGGATGCCTAGGACACATGTTATGCGTACGCATAGTACAGCGCAATGTCGAGAATCCGTGACACTTTTTATTTATCTTGTATTCTCGTGCCCTTCCACTCCGGTCCTATTGCCTCCTCAATCCACGCACACCTCGTCACATCCACATTCTCCCTTACATACGCGACCAACGCATCAGCACCCGGTGCCCCTTCAAAGATCCCCAGCGCACCTACATGCGGTATGTGAAGCGCCTCTGCAATCACCGGCTCGCACCCCGGCGGCACAGCGAGCAGCCGGGTGGCCTTGTCCTTCTGCGAGGTCATGGTGCACAAGTGAACAAGCGTAGGGATGTGCGCGTGTGGTAGGGAGGCCGGCGGGTGGTTGTGCGGAATGAGAACGATGGATAGAGGTCGTGGCGGAGTTGCATCTGGTGATGGTGGGTCTGCTTTGGCGTGGGAAGGAGCGGACGGTGGTGCTGCGTGTGCTGCTAGGGATTCTAGGTGGCGGGTTACGCTGTTGAGGCCGATGAGGATGTGATTGCTGATGTCTGGGGGCGGAGTGGGGTTGCTGGGAGCATTTTTGTCGGCATCTTCGTTGTTCTTTCTCTGTGACTCCCGTTTTCTTTTTTTCCCCTTTGATGGTAGTACGTGTGTCCTGCGGTGGTCTCCAAGGGGCTGTAATACACTGGACGCTGGTCAGAAGATATCCTGTCTACACTGTCGAGGTCAACATGGCCCGGTGAGATGTGACGGTGAATGCGGAACGTTGGGTGATCTGTCTTGCTGATCGGGCTTTTGACACAACCAGTGCCATAGCTTTGCGAAGAATGCCATCTTCAGGTGTTCATTGTTCAACGCACCTGCACACCAGATCTGTTACATCCCGGTTTTGCTGAGCTGTGAGGGTGGGCCTGAATCGATCAGTCTGCCAAGCCCATACGGTAGACTAGGCTCAGCGTACCAGTTGGTCTCAGTGTACGGGCGTGTGGTCTTGAATATCGGCTTCGTGCCCTTTCTAGCGGTGGCGGCCATGGCGTTGCAGGCGGCGGACAAACGACGCAGGTACCGGCAGCAGCAACAACAGCAGGGCGCTACAACACGCAGGGCTCTGCACTTGTTTGCCCCAAGTGGACGGGTGGAGCTGCGTGGTTCAAAGCGCTCCCCTGCTCGTTCACGCGCCACAAGGGCAAGCGCACTAGCGGCAGGTAAAGGCAAGCGCGAGTGCCAAGCCAACGTCATTGGTTGGGAAGGTGCGCCCCACCACAGCCAAACTCCAGCTCTCCAGGACATTCATTCACGGACGCGTGCAGTTCCAGCGCTGCGCTCCATTGCCCATTGATTGCGCCCACGGTCCTCTGCGCCTTGTCTCCACCTGCCGCACCGTAGAAGGACGCCCATGGTGCCCCTTCTCCCCGCACCTACGCCCCTCCGCGCGAGGCTGTCGACCGCCGTGAAGCGTGGGTAGGCTGCTGCTGCTGCCTGTACTCCAGCACCGCGGGCAACTGTGCCTACCACCCACCTCGCCCCGGTCACGCGTGCCGCTTCCGCAAACACGACTGGCGGCAATCACTGCGTCATGAGTCAGCCAGACCATGAATTAATGGAGTCTGCCACCGCAGACACCGCACTCAGTGTCCCCGCGTCGCCGCCGCCGCGCGACTCTATGGAAGACGCAGACCCCTCCTTGACCCGCAAACGACCCAGGCTTGACAGCGGCGGTGTAGAAACCCCAGCCATGCACACGGACACAGACACAGACGCAGACTCCACGACTGCCCCGCTCGAGCAGCAGGTCGAAATGACAATACGGTCGCAGCCGCCCTCGTCGTCGCACACCCGCGACGCTGCCGCCAGCACTGACGATGCACGCGCAACCGCGGCCTCCGACGAAGCCATCCATGTCCCCGCCGCCATGGACGGCGCCTCGAGTGGGGCGAACGATGCCGACGGTGCAGACGACAGCTCCGCCGACAGCCCGCCTATCATCGCTATTGACGACGACGACGACGACGACGACGACGACGACGACGGCGACGCTGATCCAATGGCTGGCTATGCCACAGCTGCTTCCTTTGGTGTCGATTACGATCCCGACGCGCACCTCTCCATGTTCCCTTTCGCGCACGATGGAGACTACATGTACGCTGCACAGGAAATTGCGAAGTATATCCAGTCCAGTGAGTCGAGCTTCATCGCTGTGAGCTGGAGGCTATAATCCATGCTAATAACCGCAGATTCGCAGGTGGATGGAGCTATTCTCAATCAAGTCTCTGACTGGCTAGATGGTCTTCCAGATCAACCGCTGGCATGGCTGAGCTTCTACGTAAACCAAGCGGGTCTTTGGGAGGAAATCTGTTGCGTGGCTTGGAGGCTATTGAATCGGAAGTAAATCATCGACGTATCTTGTGGATCACTCAACCGGACTGACCCTTATTAGAACGTCCCTCGGCGACACCTTCGCCTCTACGGACATGTCTGAAGAGGACATCGTTACAAAGTTCTTCTCGTCGTACCTCCGACTTGTCGTACGCCTCACCCAGGTCGACGCTTGCATGTTCGCACGGTCGACTCCGGGAGAGCACTGTCACCATCCGGTCATATCTCAAAAGCACATACGCCAGGTCCACCCGATCATGCGAAACTTAGTCATGGGAGGCTCTCTTCACCTCTACAACATGATGCGGAAAGAATATATGGCCGACATCGATACCATGGAACAGCAGATTTTATCAGTCTACTTCGAAGCCGAGGGTCCCAAACATCTTCTGAACTTGGCTTGCCAGGCACATGGCAAGCTTCCACTCCCCGCACAGAACTGGATGGCAACCAACGTAGCGGGTATCGTGGACTCAATAATAAGTCATCTCCTTGCGACGTCAAACGAAGAATCTTCGAAAGATGTATTCAATCTGCCACAATTGTGTCGCGATGCGCTTACGTTTTTTCGCACATACGAGGCAGATCTTCAGATCCCTAGTAAGGTCGTCGACACAGGAGTAGCGAGGGATACGATTGCCTGCTTTTACTCATTATTGTTTAACATCTGCCGATCGGACGCCGTCTTAGCTGCTAACCTCGTTGCCGAGTTTCTGGATTATCGAGATCCAGAGTCACCGACGGCGGATCCAGCAGATGACCAAGTCGGTCATGCTCCGTATCTCGAGGACTCCCTCGAATACCCCAAGCTGGTCGCAAATGCGTGGAAATTCAAACTGCTCCGAAAGTACATGGTGAAGGGACGTATGGAATTACGAGTCATGAGTATCGGCTACATGGACATGTCCCTTGTGGAGCTGTGGAAAGAGTACAACAACACACCTCTCTCGACAGGCCACCCGGTCATGCAGTACCTTGCCGACTTCATCCTCCATGAACGGGTGGTCGACTACATAATAAGCGTCGATTCGCATCCGCAGCTTATTTCTCGGAGCGGCAATATTGTCGGCTTTCTTGTAGTCACTCATCGCTACTCCAACACGCAAACTGATGCTATCTGGAACACCATCTCTCACAGCTCCGATCCTCGTATGGTGTCCGCAACTATGACGATGGTAAGAGGTATCTACAACCTCATGAGCGAGGCAGCTCAATTATATCTCTGCTCGAAGATGTATGGACTTCCAATCGAGAGCTACACTCTGGATATCCTGCGCTTCCTGAAAGACCTTGCTCCCAAGATATTGAACAGGGAAAAGGACTGGAGCGAAGTTCACGTCGAAGCGCGGCCCTGGAATATCTGTATACGGGTGCTGCAAGATACATCGCCAGGCAGAGAGAGCACTAAAACATCCAACGCTCTTCATTATGAGGCGGCTGAGCAGCTTCGTTCTATGGTCACTTTCATCTCTAAGGATGAGCGGCGTCGGCTCCTACGCGAGTGCACCATGCATGTTGCAAGCAGGTCTCCAACAGCAACTGGTAATGTTCGAGTGATCTACATACTCACATCATATTTCCTTTATGGCGAGCAGAGCTTTTTCAAAGACAATCTCGATGTCGTCCGCGATGTCATCGAGGAGATGTGCGCATACATCGGAAACGAAAAAGACATGGTGTTCAACGTCGAGCTCACAGCCCTCCAGTATCGCCTTGAACTTCTAGCCCTTATCATATACCAAGCTTGCGAATCGATACCGACCGATCTTTATCAGTCAATCTGGGATCACCTCATTGGAAGCCATGCGCATACCAACCATCGCAGGGATATGGCCTGGTCCAAATTTCTTGATGCCGTGAAAAGCAAACCGAACAACGACTTCTGCAAGCAGCTCGTTACCGTATGCGTACCCAGACTAGACCCGGTCTACTACACCCTCGGGATGTTCGAGTTTGTCGCAGCATATCGATTCCCGACAACGCGACGTAGCGTCACTATACAAGAAGGTACAAAGACATTGCTGCAGATTCGCGGTGCCGATTTGCTATGGGCCATGATCCTCTCGGCTCCGCCGGAAACTATCGAAGATCGTGCGGGTAGACTTCTGGCCTCACGCTATTTGGAGGTAGATCTCAATGAAGGCATCACTCTCGACGACCTTGAAGAGGCACATGTTGCACTCGTGGAACAGTGCATGAAGGAGCTGCTGTCCGTATACAAGACACTCCGAGCAGAGACAGCTATGACATCGCCAAGTGCCAACCAAATGGATGTGACAATTCCCCACGTCACGAAGCAGCAGAAAGAGCAACGATTCTCCAGGACTGTGATGTTTCTGAAGTTGCTTCTTGGTCTGATTCGAAGCAAACCGGAATTGAACCGTGCGAAGCGATCGGATTCCAAGGTTGAGCCTCTGGACGTGGAGCTCCCTGTCGGTGAACCACTTGAGATCAAATACTCTTGTCCAGTCACGCATACAAAGGAGACATTGGTCATCGGCTCCGAAAACACCCTTCAAGACCTCTATAACCGCTTGTGTCAAGCGACCGGGTGTACGAAGCTGAACCTCTTCGCCAAGGGTCAGCGACTCAGTGTTGTGAATAGACCAGATGCAAAAGTTGCCGATCTCGGTCTAGGGGGCCAGCAACTATTGGTTCAGAAGGCGCCCGGAGCCGAAGTTTCTCAGCCCATGTCTGATCCCAGCGGCAGCTCTTCGATATTTGAGACTACCTTGTTGAGTCACTTTGATGAATTATTTGCATGCATGGACGCGGATGATCATATCAGTTCTGTAGTAAGTTCAATGTCCTCCTTTAACTAGTCATGCTAAACAGCAACAGATCTTTGAGTTTCTTTTCATGTTCCCCTTCCATAGCACCATCGTCGATTCTGTGATGGCGGGCACGGCAATTTCTGAGTCATTGTTCCCGCAAGATAAGCCTTGGCAGGCGAAATATGCTGCTTATGCTCTCCAAAATCGGCTGAGGGTACAGGTGAGGAAGGTTTGTTTACCTCAAATTTGTTTCAATGAACATGACTTAACATTTGATAGAATTCGGTGGACGATACTTTCTTGGCCAACAGCGTGCGCTACGTCGATCAGGCTTTGCTACGCCCAGGGCTGGTGGAACAGCAACGCTCATCGTCCTCCATGCCGTTACCTGGCGTGTTGGTCGGTGTACTCATAGGCTTCCTTAAAGGTACGTACATTTCCATCCATAAACGTTATCTGGAGTAACATGGTTATTCAGAGCGGCCTGCGCAAGAAATTTCCTCCAGTTATTTCTCAAACGAACAAGCTCTCGTGGATCGTCTTCTGGACCTCGTATCCATCGCTCTGGATAGCAAGACAGATATGGGCGTCCATGCCTATGAGTCGTACTGCACTGTCGTGGAGGCATCCTTGCATTCACGCGGTATCTGGAATGCTTTCATCAACCATGACAAAGCTGGTCCGCTACACGGAGCCCTGCTCCTACGTGATGGGAGGAAGCTGTTACGAGAAGGCGTTGCCAAAGCCATATCATCTGTCTGTGGTGGAGGTCTTTCTCCCACTTTTGCCATCACCGAAGCCGACACGTCGAGCGCTTTTTGGCAATTCATATCGTCTGTCCTGCCACAAGCCGTTCAGTTTCCCCGCCAATCAGAGGAGTTGCTTGACCTTGCAGATCAGGTCTTCCGGAAGCACGACGAGCATAACAGAGACGAAGTATCCTTACGATTTTACTTAGCCACCTGGAGTGCACTTCTCCTTAGCTATGTCCATGAAGAAAAGGTGGGCCGAGATGAGATCGATTGTGTCGTCCTTGGCTTCACCAAGCTCTTGCTTAGCTGTGTTTCGTCATTGAAGTCATTCAAGAAACCCTTGAATGCTAGTTCAATGATTGATAGGATCTGGCGTAAATTCTTGTTTGCTCCCAAAGTCAGCGAGATGGAAGACGAGTCACAGGAGTCTCAAACGCCCATACTGGAGAGCAAGACGCGGAAAGAGCTATATGACCTTGTCCTAGCACTGGCCGACGACCAAACAAGCTGCGGATTGCTTCTCGATCTAGCCGAGGATCTTGGGATTGAAAACCCTAACGCCGACTCGAGAGCCCTATGCGTTGACAGAAGCAATGAAATCCGGGCTCCAACTGGATACGTTGGCCTGTATAACCCTCGTGCTATCTGTTACATGAACTCTTTACTTACGCAGCTCTTCATGAATGTCAACTTCCGCAAGTTCATTCTCAAGCTGAACGTCACCGACCCGGATGGACAACAGTTTCTCCTACATCAGACCCAGAAGCTCTTTGCCGAAATGCAGAATAGCTATCGCAAATCTGCAGATCCACGAGAGTTTGCGGTATGTGTCAAAGCACCTGAAGGGACGCCCATCGATATCAATATACAGATGGACGCAGATGAGTTTTACAACTTGCTCTTTGACCAGTGGGAAGGTCAGATGCTTGCATCAGGCATCAAAGAGCAATTCCGCTCCTTCTACGGAGGCCATACGATCAACCAGATCAAGTCTAAGGAGTGCGAGCATGTATCTGAACGAGTTGAAAGCTTCTTCGTCGTACAATGCGATGTTCAGGGCAAGCAAAATCTCTACGAAAGCCTGCAGTCTTTCGTGGAAGGCGATGTCATGGAAGGAGACAACAAGTACAAATGCGAATCGTGCGGAGGGAAACTGGTGGATGCGGTAAAACGAACATGCCTCAAGGACGTCCCAGACAACCTCATCTTCCATTTGAAGCGCTTCGATTTTGATCTCGTTGAATTGCGCAGAGCGAAGATCAACGACCAGTTCGAGTTCCCCGCTGTGATCGATGTCAGCCCTTTCAAGATCGACCACCTGAGCGATCCATCGAAGCCCCGTGAAGAGGATATCTTCGAGCTCGTTGGCGTCCTGGTTCACCAAGGAACGTCTGAGAATGGTCATTACTATTCGTACATTCGCGAGCGACCAAGCCCTGTAGGACATGCGCAACCATGGGTTGAGTTCAATGATCGAGATGTTGATGCTTTCGATCCATCTTCGCTTGGCTATCACGCCTATGGCGGTTTCTATGACGAGTTCCAGCGGCAGCAGAAGCAATTCAGTGCGTACATGCTGTTTTATCAGCGTCGCTCCGCAATCGTGGAGGATCACAACCAATACATGGTGGCGTCACAGTCAGGGACTGTCAAGGTCTCTGTCCCTCCGGCTTTACAGCAGAGCATCCAGATCGAAAACGATCGATTCGTACGCGAGTATAGCCTCTACGACCCTAATCATACCAAATTTGTGCGGCTGCTCCTCACAAATCTACGCGCGGTCAACCATGGCACTTGCTCCGAAGATCACCTACAAGAGTCTCAAGCACTCCATGTTGTCCTCGAACATCTCTCTCAAACACTTTTCCGTGTTAAGAGTGCGGATAACTTCGATGAGGCCATGATGCAGCTTCGGAAGACCGTCCTATCGTGTGCCACGTGCTGCCAAGTTGCCTTGAAATGGCTAGCCACTCATCACTCTGCATTGGCCAATTTGCTTCTTCATTGCGTCCACGGCAAGGTTCGCTCACAGACCAGATCATTCCTCATCGATAGTCTTCAGTATCTTCGCGGGAAGGACCCTGTAGCATATGGTATCGAAGCTACGGAAACAGAGAGCGAATCAGGCTCCATGATCCAGACAGATGGTGTACTCGTGGCGGTTTCTAGGAGTCTTCGCAAGGTTTGCGACGAATCATACCAGACCTTTCGCGGTTGGGACGATTTGTATCTAACCTTATGTCAAGTCAGTGACCTTGGTCACGTCGAGACCGCGGTACTTTTGGACAGCAACTTTTTGGAGTTTGGCTTGCGCATGTTCTGCATGCACGCACTCGAAGCTTGTCGCGATGTCGACTTGTGGCGCGTTGTCGACAAGAAGCGCCGCATCTACAACCGCTTGATCGAGTTTGTCTATAGACTTCTATCGAGGGTCGATCTCCACGCCCAGGTGTTTACAAAGAACAGAGGTAGTCGACTGGACATATACGAAGTCAACGGACACAAATTCCCTCTTTCTCGAGAGGAGAAAGCCTTCCTGTATTTCTGGCATGAGGACAACCGAGCCATCGCGTTTTTGGATAGGATGCTCGAGATGTATGACCCCACGAAGACCGAGGTCTACTATCCTGGCGAAATCCTCAAGCTGATGCTCAAATCTGTCGACGGAAGGTTCCAGCAGCGGCTGTTCTTGACAGTTCATGAAGGGGTCGGCTCGCTGGAGCCTCCGCAATCTGATCCTTATGTTCGGGCTGCCCTGCCTTATTGCGAGGCCTCTCCGGATATCCATCACATCGATCAAGTCATTGACGTTGTTCGCAACCATATCGTCAAATACCCCCAGGGAGGCGGCGAGGCCAATGTTTGTTTTCTGAAGGGCCTGCTGCATCTCGACAATGAAGCAGTGTCTGATGAAAAAGGAACCGATTACCCTTACACGGCTTCACTCCGGTTCGCAAAGTCCGTCGCTGTACATCTACTCTTCTACGATGACGAAGTTGTCCGCAAACTAAGCGCGGAACATTTTGAAGAACTCTTTGTGCGGTATCAAGACGATCAAAATACTCCCGAGGATGTCCTCAAGTTGAAGTACAAAACAGTCCGGAATCTTCTCTTTGAACTAAGCGATAAGATCGTTTTGGAGTACCAGAGAACGACTGCACGATCGGACATACAAGCGGTGGCTCAGGTGTGTGAGGTGCTTGCGCTGTTGATCACCAATCTGTATGAGTCAGACGACCCAACTTGGGAGCCTTGCAGACACGTACAGGATGGACACATCATAGAGAGATACCAGTCGGAGGCTTTGCCGAGGCTGCAAAACTGGCCGACGGATGAGAGCACTCCAGTTTCAACGGGCGGTTAGTAGATCATCCAAGCTTGAGTGGAACAGGACTAATGTAAAACAGAGGCGTACGATCATTCGGACTATGGCAGTGAGTCTGAAATGGATCCTGAGCTCATCGACCTTGAAAATTGAGGAACTGCGCTGACATGATCGCACTCTTACAGAGTTCGGAATATCACCAGTTACCATCGAAGGTCGATGAGACACTCAAACATGGGCACGAATGCATTGACCAAGCTTGGGTTCATGGCGTTTCGGGTGTGTTCGGACGTTGACGTTTTCCTACACACATTCTTTACTTGTTTTCGGGCCTGGGAAGCCCACCCTGGCGGTTGGCGTACATGGAACACTGATCTAGAGAGCTTTGGCTCATCTTTGGCCGCTGGGCTCTCTTTGACGTGGTTTGCTTTTGCATCCATATCTTTTCGTCTTGACTTTAACGGCATAGCGAAGGCGCGTACGGTCCACATTGGGTCGCGGTCACGGTTTGAGATGATGTCATCTATCATTGGCTGGACGGCTTGTTATGTGGGAAGCACATCGCGCGTCTAGAGTTACGAAGCTTGCACATGTGTGCTACGGCGGTCCTTGGCAACGGAACTAGCATCATGATCGGGAGATAAATCATGACGGGAGCAATCCATTGATTAATCGCAATGAGTGTTCATTGTTGACTTGTGCTTTCGTGTTATTCCCCGCTTGCCTGTAGCCTGTTCCACGTTGAGCCCTCCACCCGTATCACTGACCACAATTGTATTGTAGATGGCGGAGCACGACATCAAGTCAGCTCTAATAACCTTTCGCCTTAGCTTCCCTAGCCAGGCACGTTAATTAATATTGAGCCTCGCGCGGCTGAGGGTACTGTACCACGTAATGCTAGACTTCGTATTGCACGGCAACAACGTCTCTGTTACGCGAAGAATACTACAGAGTGGCATTTAGCCGCCGAGGAAGACGAGAACCAATTGGCTTTGGTTAAATTCTCAATGCAAAGAGCCCCAGGAATAGTTACACGGTTGTAAACCCTGTGGTCATATGGGTATGTGGCGAGCAGTGGAGGATTAATCAGAAAGCGAGGAAAGCGAGGGACTTGATAATGTGGAGCGGAAAGACAAACGTCTTTCGCGAAGGCACGACTGGAGCGCCAGGCAAGCATGTTCGTAACGCTCGGCTCGACCTCAGGACAAGACGTATAAAAGCCACGCCAATCACACTCATGTTTCATCGCATACATCTTCTTACTCAAATCCACAAACTATTCATCTCCAGTTCATCACTGCAATGAAGCTCACCCTCGCTCTCCTCGTCCCCTTCTCCCTCACCGCCCTCGCGACCCCCCTCTCAAATCCAAACCCCTTCGAAAAACGTGATAATTGGTGCGTCGTCGCGTCCAACGGAGTGGACTGCCGCTCCAAGCCCGGCGTCGGTGCCGGCAACCTGGTCCGCGATATCAAGACATCTGATCGCTTCGGCGTGGCGTGTACGAAGAAAGTTGGTGGAAGGTGAGTGCTGGGGAGTGAGGCTGAGGCTGTGGGCTGATTAGAACGGCAGGACGTGGGATTGGGTTCCGGGGTGGGGATGCTGGGTTAGTGCAAGGGATACGAGGACGGGTGATGCGGCGCACAATGAGTGTGAGAGTAAGTATCGGGCCTGAGGCTGGCGAAGAGGTAAAGGGGAGTGCGCTAATGTGGGTAGGTGGGCTGCATGACTGCTAGGTTTGGGGGAGTTGTTGAAACTCGAAGATGTGGAAGGAGGAAACGATGGCATTGGGAAGGTGCTGATGATCTTCAGTGGAAATCAGAATACTGAGACCAGTATTGAATGGAACGAGGTTCTCTAGCTCATTGCTAAAGTCAACGAACAGTGATTGAATATGCTAGGCTTATTGCACACAAAATGTATTACATCGTACAAACTCCACTTTTAAAACGTGCGTATCTCAGCGTCTCCCTTGCCCTCCTCAACGACAGTGACAAGCTCCGTCTTGCTCCACCTCCACGCCGGCACTCCTCGCCTGTACAGCTCGTCGATCTCAATGAACGTCCTGCCCTTCGTCTCAGGCACGAAGAAGAAGATGAACACGCAGGACGCCACCATCACAGCGCCGAAGATGAACGCGATCTTGCCTTGGAGATTGCCCTGGTCGGGGTTGATGGCATATGGCAGCGAGAACCCCCAAATACAGCCCGAGAGACCGTTCATGACCGTGGCGAGGGATTGGGTAGGGCTGCGCAGGCGGGAAGTAGAGTTCTCAGCGGAAATGACCCAGGCAGCGGAGCCGATGGTGCCTTGGTATACTGCGAAGGGTTAGCTTGTAAACGGTCGGAGAACATGTGGGGTGGACTTACCGAAAGACCAAACAGCCATGAATGCGACCTGTCCCCAGATAGCGCCAGATGTTTTGACAACGGCGAGAACACCGATCAGAATCAGCGTCACTGCCAGGATGGCCGTCCCGTACAAGGCTGTTCCTCTTCGGCCAAACCATTCGATGAACAGCCACCCGAACATGTTACCAACAACCATCAGTCCACTTAGACCGACCGTCGTATCGAAAGACCTGGCCGCTGACATACCACCCAATTGCATGAAATAGCTCATGTAACCAATCACCCACGCACTGCCAGACGCATTCTGGATGAAGAAGATCATGGTAGACACGATAGTGCGGCGAATGTTCTGGCGACTGAAGCACTCAGAGATGGATGCCGAGCCTTCTTTGTCGGCGTTGAGGCGTTCGAGCGAGTCATGGATCTCGGCCATTTGGCCATCGACGTCGTAGCCGGGGGTGTGGAGCTTGATGATGTTACGGCGTGCCTTCTCGATACGGTTGCGGGCGACGAGCCAGTATGGGGATTCGGGGAGGAAGGGGAGGATGGCGAGGCCGACGACAACGTAGCCCCATTGGGTGGCGAAGAGGCTGAGGATGTTAATTCATTTCCTGATAGGTATACGAATTGTTGTGCTGAACGTACACCTTGTATTGACGTGCATCGTCGTAAAACGATGACTGCCGTTGGACACCGTAGCCAATCAATTGACCCAGTACAACAGCAAAGTTCATGCCGGCGGTGACGGCACCACGAACAGAGATGGGTGCCATCTCCGAACTATACGTGGGCGCAACAGTGGCGAAGACACCGAGAGGAATACCGGTAAGGAGCTTTCCGCCGAAGAAGTGGGCCGGCGTGGTGGCAAAGAACTGCAAGAATATGCCCCCGGTGTTGAGGATGTAGGCGAGCAGAATGCACAATTGTCGACCAAACTTATTCATTGCAAAGCCAGTGATAACACCACCGAGGATGATGCCTGTTCGTATGAGGACTTTTACTCTGCTGTATCAGAGTGGGGTAGCTCACCACCCAATGTCGCCGCCTGGAAGCCGAGCTGCCAGTTTGCATCGATAACATAGTCACCCCCGAATGGCGTTCCGAAATCTTCCCTAAACTGCGTGATACCCACGACCACGCCTCCTGCAAGGGAGTCAAAGCCATACATGATGCAAGTAAAGAACATGTACAAGCACCAGAGGATAGGCTTGTAGTGTTCCTTGATGGCCTCACTACGACTGAGACCATGTTGACGTGCAATGAACGAGGCGAGGACCTGGGAAGAGCCGACGACAGCAGGAGCCGGAGTGGTAGACTCCATAGTCTCAACAGCGACGTCCTTGGTGTCAATAGTCATTTTCGGAGGTAGCAATGGTCTGTGGATGCGAAGATATACTCAAGACGCCCTCTGAACAGAAAAAGATGCGATCCTGCAGATGCCCACCCAAACTGGTGGAACATGTAGGAGGTCTTATACGGTACTTCCCCATATTCCAGACCATTGGTGCGCCATTCCCCACGTGTTATAGCGCCACGAAGTTCTGTCTGGAGACCCCGACCGAGAGTCAAACGGACATGCGCGTCAAGCGACTACGAGTCAGTGCGCATTTTCTGCCAATCACAACCACCAGTTGGGACGAAGAGACCCGCAATCGAAGCCACCACGTACCAGATGGTCGGAAAGATTCTCCTAAAGATTCTCCCTTCGGATGGAACCAATCACACCATCGGTCCTCCATGATGCAAGCTCCTAAAGATACTCCGACTCTCCACTCGTAGTGTGGTGTGGGACCAGGTATTTACTTTAAGATTCATTCCCTCTGCACGAAGGAGTCCAGATCTTGCGCCATACCGATACCACTGTCACAATGAGCGAAGACCTGAATGCGCTGCTGGAAAAGCTGACCCTGGACGAGAAAATCTCTCTCTTGTCCGCGAAAAATGTCTGGGAGACGCCTGAGATTGACAGGGTTGGCATACCCTCGCTAAAGGTACGTGCATATATCCGATCTGGGGTGTGCGAGGCGGAATGCTTGTCCGGACGTCAGCTGCCGATCTGCCCTTACAGGTAATCATCAAGTTCTCGGAGTAACGGGGCTTCGCCGTTCGAGGCCATGCTTTGATCAGCTATTCTTTTTATTTTAGCTTACATTGCATAGGTCACAGATGGCCCCAATGGTGCACGAGGAAACAACTTTTACGATGGCACAACAGCGGCGTGCTTCCCAGCTTGTGTCTCACTTGCCGCAACCTTTAATCGCTCACTTTCGCGCCAGGTTGGCCGTGCACTAGGTCAGGAAGCTATCACTAAAGGCGCATATGTCGTCCTTGGGCCAACAGTATGCTGTCACCGCTCTCCGCTTGGAGGTCGTGAGTATTTACTAGTCTCAGTCCTATAGCGGCAGTACTTACATATGTGTTTAGGAAACTTCGAGGCTTTCTCTGAAGACCCGTTTCTGAGTGGAGCTCTAGCCAGCGAGTACGTAATTGGCCTGCAAGAAGAGCGTGTGGCAGCGACAGTGAAGCACTTCTTGGCCAATGAGCAGGATACTCGGCGATTCTCGGTCAACGAGAAGATCTCGGAACGAGCTCTGAGGGAGATATACCTCAGGCCGTTTGAAATGGTCGCCAAGCAGGCGGATCCTTGGTGTTTCATGTCCAGTTACCCCAAAATCAACGGAAAGCACGTGGACGCGCAGAACAAGTTCCTAATCCACATCTTACGCAAGCAATGGGGGTATGATGGCATGGTAATGTCGGACTGGGGTGCTGCAAGTACCGTAGAGGGCGTCAAATATGGACTTGACATGGAGATGCCTGGTCCTCCGCGTCAACGGACACCAGAAGCAGTGCATGAAGCGTTGAAAGAAGGCCGGGTATCTGAAGCCGACATCGATGCACGCGTTCTCTCCACGCTCAAGCTCCTAAAGAAGGTCGGAAAGTTCGACGACCGGAGAGACACACCAGAGGAGCAGGCAGTCGATCGCCCAGAGCATCGAGCGCTCATACGAAAAGCTGGCGCTGAAGGTCTGGTCCTACTAAAGAACGATCGTTGTATCCTACCGATCGATTTGAAGAAAACGAAGAAAATTGCTCTACTAGGTCCACTAGCCAAGTACGCCGCTGCACACGGAGGTGGCAGCGCAAGTCTGAATTGCCATTACAAGGTTACACCATATGATGCGTTTATTGACCGCCTACCGAAGGATGTCCAGATCACGCACGGGAAGGGAGCACACATCTTCAGGGTATATCCTGACCTTGAAGCCGGATGCATAAACTCCAACGGCAATCCCGGTTTCGTTGCAGACTACTTTATGGAGCTCGACATTAGCGACGGAAAGTGCTTTCGTAGCGAAGAGTTTCCCCGTGGTAGCTTCAACACGCTGATGAACACGAATGTTACGGGCTGCCAGTCTGTGCGTCTCTCCACTACGCACAAGCCTCCCATAACTGGCGACCATTACCTCAGTTTCTCCGGTCTTGGCCCGTCGAAATTGTTCATTGATGGCGAGCTTGTAGCGGAACAAACAGGACCTACCAAAGACGCCATGGGTTTTTTCCTCGGCGTTCAGGATGAGATTCGCGTCCAATATTCCTTCAAAACAGGCAAAGAATACTTGATTGTTGCTGAAACCCACCCTTCGCCCGTTTCGAACGCAGAACTTTATCTCATGGACAACCAGTGCTCTATACATCTCGGCTTTATCCTACAGGCTGAGATGGAGCAAGACGTCCTCTCCGAGGCTGTGGAACTAGCGAAAGATGCGGACCTCGCTATTGTATTTGTGGGCAATACCACGCAGTGGGAAACAGAAGGCCAAGATCTCTCGTCCATGAATTTACCTGCAGATGGGTCGCAAAACCACCTCATCGCCTCGGTCGCGGCTGCCAACCCAAATACCGTTGTAGTAAACACTACAGGCGTGCCAGTCGAGCTACCTTGGTTCGAGAAGGTACCCGCTTTGATCCAGGCTTGGTATGCAGGACAAGAAACGGGCAATGCTATTCTCGACGTCCTGCTAGGTGAGATAAGCCCGAGCGGAAAGCTTCCTATTAGCTGGCCTGTCAAGTATGAGCATACTGGATGCCACGGCAATTTCGGCCTCGATAGTTACGAGAGCAGGGAGGTCGAGTACGTCGAAGGAACACATGTTGGATACAGATGGTTCGACAAACTGTGGGGTAGTGAGAAGGAGGTCCGGTTCCCCTTTGGCTACGGATTGAGCTATACGGAATTCAAAGTCAAAAACGCACAGGCCAATGGGAGTTTCGAGGAGGTCGTGAAGGTGACTGCGGTCGTTAGGAACATCGGTCATACTGCAGGTGCGGAGACCATACAGTTGTACGTCGAACCACCTGCCGAGGATGGTGTGGTGAAGAAGCTTGTTGGCTTCGGCAAAGTGGATCTGCAGCCTGGGGAAGAGAAGGACGTCGAAGTCCAATTCAAGAGGCAAGACGCAGCATACTGGGAGGAGTCCCTTAATAAGTGGATGGTGAGCAAAGGCACCTATGGAGTTCTGATTGCAACAAGCTCGGCGCCAAAGGATGTGAGGGCGAGGCTAGAGGTTGTAGTGGATGGGGATATCGTTTTCGAGCCTTGATGCCGAATGTCGCATTGGAACGGTAAATAGAGGGTGAACACGGCGTTCATCTAAAGGACACTAGAAGGCGGACCTTTTTCTAGGCTGGCCTTCAAAAATGCCTATTACGGTCTCGTTGAGGGCCGTTGGAAGAGGCTGGAGCCGTGGAGAAAAGCAATCGGGCCGGGGTCAAGCGAGGAAGCTAGACCTTATCGTGATAGATGACATCACACTAGTGCAACACTAAACGACACCTCCATTGCACGTGCAGACCTACACGCCCGTAACGCCGCGCCTCCATATATATCATTGGGACCGAAAACTTTCTACACGCGGTATACGCCCTCAATTTTCGACATGTCTCTATACAAAGGTGCTGCCCTCCGACGGGCACTTGCTCCCACATCTGTCCGGGTTCCTTGCTCCTCAAAGCGCGCCTTCTCAATCAGCATGCCTCACGCAAACGAGCCGACTTTCGATGCCGCTGCCTTCGGCGAGCAGCACATCACTAAGGGCATCGGAAGACTCACGAAGCATGTCTTCGAAGATGGGAAGGGGTCCTACATCACCACCGACAAGGGCGTCAAGCTCCTCGACATGACCTCCGGCATCGGCGTCTGTAACCTTGGCCACTGCCATCCCAAGGTCAGCGAGGCTGCAGCAAAACAATGCATGAAGATCACCCACGCACAAGTCAACATTGGCTTCAGCGCCGCGCAGATTGCCCTTCTCCGCGAACTCATCCCGATTCTCCCACATCCTTCCCTGGATACTGTCTTCCTCTGGAACTCTGGCGCTGAGGCTGTCGAAGCTGCCGTCAAGCTTGCACGAGCAGCAACCAAGAAGCAAAACATCATTGTCATGCAAGGCTCCTACCATGGACGTACATGCGCAACCGCCGCTATGACGCGCAGCAAGACCATCTACGGAGAAGGACATGGTCCATTGATGCCCGGAATTTTCGCTACCGCCTTTCCTTTCTACGCTCAATTTGGACTTCCTGCCGACACACCCATCGACAAGCTGGTGGAGATGTCTCTCTTCCAACTCAAACTCACGCTTTCGCAGCAGACCGCACCTTCAGACACCGCCGCCATCATCCTGGAGCCCGTTCTCGGCGAGGGCGGCTACGTCCCCGCACCTCCTGCTTTCCTCCACGGCCTCCGCAAAATCTGTGATGAGCACGGAATCCTTCTTATCTGCGACGAAGTTCAGTCTGGTTTCGGTCGCACTGGCACAATGTTCGCCGTCGAGGACAGCGGTGTAAAGCCTGATGTATTGATATTCGCCAAGGGTATCGCAAACGGATTCCCACTCAGCGGTATTGCCAGCACGAACGAGATCATGAGCCGTCAGAAGCCCGGCACCATGGGTGGAACCTATGCCGGTAACGCTGTAGCATGCGCAGCCGCTAAGGCCGTCATCGAAGTCTTCCGCGAGGAGAAGGTCCTGGACAACGTTGCCGCTCGGTCGAAGCAGCTCTTCGGTTTCTTGAATAACCTCAAGAACTCTGGCAGCAAGGCAGGAAACCTGATCCAGGATGTGCGCGGAAGGGGCTTGATGGTGGGTGTGCAATTTCAGGATGCGGACATAATTGCGCAATCCCAAAACGAGGCAGCGAGGAAGAAGGGCGGTGCAGGACAAATCGCGCCCAAGGTTGTGCAGGAGTGCGTGAAGAGGGACATGTTACTCCTAAGCACTTCTGTGTTCGACGTTTTGAGGTTCATCCCGCCCCTCACCATCAGCGAGGCGGAGATGCAGGAGGCGTGCCGCATCTTCGGTGAGTCGCTGGAGGCTGTAGCGAAGGAGTTGTAGTTGTCTCTTTTCTTTTGTCATTGGGTTTGGAGTTTCTAAAGCGTTTTGTCTCACAGGTATTTAGCCTCATGATCATGTATAAGAGATATGTTAGTGTCTGAGCCGTGGTATAAATCAAGAAAAATCCATCGCTTCAACCACGTTCGAAGATGAGCTGTGTTTGGATGCACAATGTGACAGCCCCTCGGCCCATCTCATGGTACTGTCCTGAATTCACGAGAGGCTTGACGTGGTCAGCAGTTTATTTATTGAAGGAACCGTCTGTTTCTATGTATTCCATCTAACCCTCAGCGAATAGCATCTCGGTAGTAAGCCCAAGCTTCAGGACTTTCGCCAGATATTGTATGCAAAACGGTTTCGAGTGATAGTCCACCTCGAATAGCCTTCTCTATAGGCTTTATCTGTTTTGCCTATAGGTCATGTCACAGTGGCTGCGAAACGTCCGTCGACGATTCACCCATACTCGAGGTAGTAACTCATGATTCTCAATCATACAGGGGTTGATCCACTTCATCATACCTAAGCAAGTCCACCAACGCTCGTCAAGGCTCAGAACGATTCAGCTATGCATCTGCACAACCTACGAACTGTTTTGTACGACCGATGCGAGACACCAATGAATGAGGCTGTGAGGGGCTGAAGCCCAAGCCTGCGGACGAGCTCCCGAACCTTGCGCTTGCGCTCAGCCTCATCGTTCCACCATTCAAGCGTAGTTTTGAAGGTGATCTCGAGGAAACAGCTTTGACCCAAAGCAGTTGAGACTTCCTGGTTATTGAAGCAGACGCCCGAGACATTTGGGGCCTTGATATCCAGGCGTTCAATATCAGACAGAATGTCGTCAGACCCGACCAGGCGTTGACGCTGTTCCCACGAGCCAAAGAAGGAACCCCACAATTCGCCAGCAATATCTCCAAGTCCGATCTCCAGCCACCACCGGTTCTTCCTTCATTCCAGACTGCCCATTCCTTCAACCTCATGGCCCAGCTCCGCATGGCAAAAGCATTGCCTCAGGATGAGCTACGCCACACTGGTCGACTCGTCCTGCCACTTACATCACCCCTCGCGATCCTATTCAGACTTGCGCGTCCGAGTTTCAGCAATTCCTTCGGCAGTAGAAGCTCCGCAGGTAATCAAGGATGCCTGTGAGGAGCATCGAAAAGGACTGCACACGGAAATGTCCCATTGAGATCTGATGTTCCGCCGCGTGGAATTCGAGAGTTCCTTGGTTGTTCATAAATGAATGACAGCGCACCGATTAAATCTACACCTTCTGCGTGACATCTTCTGGTACGATCCACGTGGCGTAACGACACTCCGGGGCTTTGGGCCCCACGATCACCCACATTTTGCAGTTCCCCGTGGAGGTGGGTACGGCGAGCACACGGGCTTCGGTGCGTCTACGTTAGAGCTGCTTTAGACTTCACGCGAGAATCCTCGCGGAAACACTCTGCGGTCTGTGAATGGGATTTGCAGTTGTCCTTCAGAGGAGCTGTCGTTTGTGACATTGAGTATCCGTGAACCGCGACTCTTGCTAGACAGTGTTGTTAGGATTGCAGCAAGGGCTGGTACAATGGATTGCGATTTCTCCGCTTCGGAACTCAAAGCGTGATGCATCGTTTACGAGGTCCTGAATTGGAGTGTTCAATACCACCCTGCGTCACCGGAGACACAATCGCAGTGGTGTGACTTCAAGTACCGCGTTTCTGCAAAGCGCGCCCGGCATCACATTTGACAATCCCAGTAGTATCTTCCAAGCATCGGATTAAAGCTATGCTGTTCTGCTCCAATTACACATACACATAAGAGCGCACACGAGAATGCTTCACACTATATAAACAATGCCTAATGCATCCACCTACTGTCCGCTCCCATTATACACAAGCACGTTCTTGCTATCCTTCACATCGCCGACAACCCCATTCGTCGCAAGCGCCAGAATTCGGTCGGTAACCGCCTTCGGAGTGCCCAGTCCGCCCTCCTTCGCCCTAAGATAGCACACCAAGCCCGACACAAGCGGCGTCGCCATGCTCGTCCCGCTCTCCACCCGCGTGCCGTCATCGCTGAGGTAGTCCGCGCTCACGATCTCGTAGCCCGGCGCCCAGACATCCAACTCGGGTCCGTAGTTGCTGCCCACGACGCCAGAAGAGGAATCGACGCGCTGGCGCTGCTGGTTCGTGTATCCAACAGTGAAAGACTCGGCGAGGCGCGCGGGGGACGTGTTTCCGATTTCCTTGTTCTCGTTGCCCGCAGCGACGACGGTGAGAATGCCATAGTCGTAGAGAGCCTTGATAGCCGCATCCAATGTGGTCGAGCTCGTGCGCGCGCCAAACGACATGCTGAAGACAGCGGTCTTAAAGGTACCCTGAATTTGCACGTCCTTGAACGCCCAGTCGAGCCCGGCCAGGATGGAGGACATGGTTGCGCTGCCAGTGTCGAAGACCTTGACGTCGACGAGGAACGCCTTCTTCGCGACGCCGTAGGTTTTGCCAGCGAGCGTGCCGGCGACGTGGGTCCCGTGGCCGGTGTTGTCGTTGTTTCCGTCGGCGGCGCCATCGGTGGAGTTGGTCAGGGCGTTGATGCCGAAGCGGACGCGGCCTTCGAATTCGGAGTGGGTGGAGCGGATGCCCGTGTCAAAAACGTAGGCGGTCTGGCCATTGCCTGCGGATTCATCGTAGACGTAGGTGTAGCTGGTTGAGCCTTCGACTCCGGCCTTGTGCGAGAGGTCGTCCAAGTTCCAGATGCTGGTGCTCTGTTGGGTCAACAAGGAGGTAGAGTTGTTGGGTGATGTTCCATTGGTAGGGACTTGGCTGGGGATAGCAGTGGCAGAGGAAGTGGGAACAGCAGCGGCACTGGCAGTGGCGGTGGGGAAGGCAGAAGCTGTGTCGTTTCCAGTAGGGTACTTTCCAGGGTAGGCTGTAGGGCGCGAAGAGCCAGGAGTGCTGATTTTTCCACTCTGGTAGCCAGAGCCACTTGGATGAGCAGATGGGCTGTCGGTACAAGTAGACTGGGCATCCACAGCAGAGCTCGGAGAAGATCCTCCAGCGACGGGGTAAGGGTTCTTGCCGGCGATGGGCCAATTGCCTGGCAGGTATACATACTCATCCGGCTCGACGCACACAACATTAGGAAGCTTCTCGATCTCTTTGATAACCTGCTCGTCAAAGTTGCCGACGTAGGCGTGGAAGTTGCCCTGTCCAACAGTGAAAGTACGCTTGACGGCGTTGTCGATATCGGCTCCAGGTGTGTACGCAGCGGCAGCAACCGTAGATGTAGGTGCGGGCACGTCTCCATAGACTGTTTCGGTTACGGTGACGACCTTGCACTGGGGGTTGCGCTTTTCCAGAGGGTTGGCCTGAGCCTGGGCGGCGCCGACGTCGCGGCGCGCGAGGCTCCGCACAGCTTCATGATGCGCAGCAATGGCTCCCGCATCGGACCCTGGCTTCAACTGAATAATGTATCGTCCAGGGACATACTGCGGCCGGTCATCTGCACGCACAACTGCGGCCAGGCCGGTAAGAAAAAGCAAAGAACGAAGCATTGTAGAATTAATAGGAACTAGAATAAACGAGTGACTGTCCGGAGAGGACGGATTGAAAGAGTGACTGCCCGGGTGGGTGGAATGGGTGAAGAGCTCACTGAGAACGGCGGATGCGGGCGTCTAGAGGTGGTGCTAGCCGTGTCTTTGTGGCGTCACTCCTATTGGTATCCACCTGCTTACGACGGATGCACGGATCAGGTGGGCTGTGGCTTTATCCTTTCGTGTTTGCAGATCATCATCACGGATGTTGTGTTGTGAACAGACACAAGCACTGCTTACTGCAGTCTCTCTCCGCGGATCTGGTGCAGGGTGGCTGCTGTCCTCCGGCCTTGCATGCGGCAAGATGCATCCTACGAGATTCGTTTGGCCACACCGTTCTCAGGCTGGTACGGAAGCGACGGCACGCCGCGTGAGCCTTCGGCGACTATACGAGGGAACTGCGAGTCGGCTCATCCTCGCAAATTGTTGTCAAGCCCAACGAATGCATGCTGAGGCTGCGCGTACCAAAGTCTGGTGTTCATCATAGGGTAACACAAAGTTGTGCTAGGGTCTACTCGGTGCCGCATGCGTACCCAGTGCAGAACATGGACTCGGTACCGAATAGCGCCGTTCGCTGGAATTTCGGATGGCCTCGACATCGCATTCCACTGTTTCGCAACGCGGACATTCCACATGTGGGATATCCGTCCAGCATCACCAAGCTCACCATTCTGCTGCTCATCCTGGCCTAGCTCTGACACGAGGCGCTCGTGTCCGGATGATCCATAATGCTCTATTTCTATGATATCTTACAACACGACGCTTACGCGCGATGTAGTGGTACATGGTCAGCGACATTTTCCCATAACCTCCGTTTCCGCCTGTGCCAATCACGGTTTGGCCCCATCGTCAGCGACTGTCGTCTACGGCGCCTGCGCTCCGGCACTACGGCTTCAGGAGGTGGTTTGGGTGCGGGCGCAGGTGCAGGATCGCTGTTGCCTTTGCGGCTGAGCTTCAATGACAGCAGGATGAAGACACCGGCAATCAGGATGGCTAGCAGCAACATGATCTTTCTCTTGATGCTCTTCTTCTGGTATCCCGACGCGACCTTGAGCTCCTTGTCTGCCTCTTTCACGTCGACAGTCATTCGTTCCACGTTGTAGTCGATGCGATCCAACATGCTTCCCTGGTCGATCACCATTGTCTGCAGCTCCTGGAATATGTTGGCGAGCTCGATGATGCCTTGGGCAATGTCCTCGATCTCGCGCTCGCGCTGGGCGATGAGGACCTCGTTGGGGTCGTGACGTATGCGCTGCTGCTTCGCCTGGAGCAGGGTCGATTGTGAGAAGGAGCGATCTGCGTCCGACTCTTGGAGGGCAGGGTCGTTGTAGGGATTCTGGATGGGAGTTGCGGAGCGCATGGGTGAACCGAAGCCACCCATATCGCGAAGCTCTGGGCATGTGTTAGCGAGGCTTGCATCCGTCTTGTGAGAGGGCACTTACTCTTGAGGTATGCGGCCTGCTTCTTGCGGAACAGGGCGCTCACTTCGCCGACACGCGATGCCAGGGATATCTTGAGGTTCTTGGCCATGGTCTCCTCGCCATTGCTGATGCTGCCCTGCTGCCTGGACTCGCGCACCATGGCGTCTATGCGCTTGATGGCCTTCTGGCAGCTCTGGAAGCTCCGGGTGATGTCTTGGGTGAGGGACTCGATCTCGCGCTCCTCCCGCTTCTTGACGTCCTCGTCATCAAAGCCAGGGAGCACGTGCTTCTGGTGCATCTGGTCGAGCCTGCGCGTCTGCTTCGCGATGTCGGCAAGATGGTCTGTGATTTCGTCCTGGACGTCGAGCCAGCGCGGCGGCAGCAGGTCCATCTCGATGACGGCGTCGCCGTCGTCCTCGAAGGCGGGGATAAGGCCCTGGCGCTCCTCGTCGTCGAAGCCATTGGCCGCGGGGCCGCCATAGCGCGGCGTCTTCTTCTGCGGATGGTGCGAGTACGACTGGCGGTAGGAGATGAAGCTGTGCGGGCTACGTCAGCGCATGCAACGTGTCGAGAGAGGCACAGTGGAGAGCGGCGCACAGGTTGGTTCGGTCCCGCCACATGGTCGGCAGGTCGGCTGGGGGCACTATGTCATGATACGGAGCTGGGGACGGCGCGACGGGGCAGCTCGCAGATTCGCTCTGGCGGATGGGCGCGCTGGCGGGTGGCCGTGAGCAGCGCCCGGGGGTGCTGGGCTTGGCTGTGTGGCTCGCGGGATTCGCTGTGGCGGGTGCTGGCCCACTCGCAGCGCGGAAGGGGCACAGGGCTAATCACACTTAGTGCGAGCAAGCATGCCTCAGTCTCAGCCCGCAATCATTTCTCCAGCTCCTCCAGCCGCGTCGACACACCTCCTCCTCACTCCCACACGCCCCGACACAGTCGCACCTCTGCAGCCCGCCCGCGAGCACCCTCTCCCCCAGCAAACCCCCGCGACACCCACGCCCAGCTACCATGGTGCGTGTCCGCCCCGCGAGCCCCTCGTTCGCAGCCTTGCACCGTACCCCGCCTGCCCAAACACGGCAGCAGCAGCCCGCACCGCGCACCACGCCAGCCGGCCCTCACTGACTCCCCACCGCAGGCTGATTCCCTCACCGAGGAGCAAGTCTCCGAGTTCAAGGAGGCCTTCTCCCTGTTTGTAAGTGCCACACTCCGCGCACGACGGCGGCTGCCTAGCGCCTGCGCGCCCGCGGGGGGGTTTCTGTGTGCTGACGTGCCATGCACAGGACAAGGATGGCGATGGTACGTAGTCTGCCTCTGCAAGACGCCAACGTCGACGCTGCCGACGGCCTGCCGCAAGAGCGACTGTCGCTGCTGGCGGGTGCTGTTCGCGGCTGCGACAGGCTGGGCTGGCCCGCGGCCTCGCTCCGCTCCTGCGTCACCCGCCCGCCTCACCTACGACCACCACTGACACGGCTGCGCTACAGGTCAGATCACCACCAAGGAGCTCGGCACCGTCATGCGCTCGCTCGGCCAGAACCCCAGCGAGTCTGAGCTCCAGGACATGATCAACGAGGTCGATGCCGACAACAACGGCACCATCGACTTCCCTGGTACGCCCCCCACCCTCTCTGCTGCCGCGCAATGGCTGATTCGTGCAGAATTCCTCACCATGATGGCCCGCAAGATGAAGGACACCGACTCCGAGGAGGAGATCCGAGAAGCCTTCAAGGTCTTCGACCGCGACAACAACGGCTTCATCTCCGCCGCCGAGCTGCGCCACGTCATGACCTCCATTGGCGAGAAGCTGACCGACGACGAGGTCGACGAGATGATCAGGGAGGCTGACCAGGACGGTGACGGGCGAATTGACTGTGAGTCTCTACAAACCCCCCAGGGTCCATCCACTAATGTTCGCCAGACAACGAGTTCGTCCAGCTCATGATGCAAAAGTAAGCTGTCAGGGTACTTTGGATGATTGGCATTTGGGCACGGTGAAACGGATGAATTCCTGCAATGAGTAACGGAACGGTCTTCTTGTCGAGGTGCGATCAGTGGTTGCTGAATCCTCTGCAGCTTGTCAGTTCATCATGTAATCCATTGGTATATGGCAAGCTCGATATCCTCAATCCAATATTTTGCGCCTCTTGCCCTTCTCTGTTCTTCCTATGAATCGCATGTTGTCAGTGCTTTCGTTGCTTTCTTTGTCTGAGCATGCAGGGACTCGCGGCAGTGCTAAGCTCCAAGTCTAAACAAGCGGCCGTAGCACGTTTGCTTGGGACGACACAGCCTCAAAGACTGTGGCTAGGTGCAGACCCCTTGTACGGCTTAGAGTATGTGGATCCAGCGCTAACGTTCTTGATACCTTCTGCTACTGAACACCCAACTTCATCAAAGAAGCCGGTCGGTCACGTCGTCAGCCCTGTTAGAACCAAGCACGCACGGTGGCTCGCTGCTCAAAGAAACATGGCGGAGACTGGCATCGTGCCAAACTCCTTGCGGCACCCGTCTTTGTGGCCGATGCTATTGCTCAAACAATGCCAGCAGGACAAAGCGAACAGAGCTCACTCAATCCCGGCGTCGTGACACTTGAGACAGCTCGTCCTACTTTCTCACCGTAGCAGCATCTTGTACCTTCCAATCCAGATACGCATCGCACTCATTTGCACCTCCCAATCAGACGGCCGCGTAACGAGAGCAAAACCACACAATGGCCTGGAATCCGCTCTTCGACCATTTCTACCATGTCGACGACAATTTCCGCAAAAAATGGCCCCGTATCGTCAAACCTGCATACGAAGACGTCCGTCTCCAGATCCTGCTCTACGCTGGTCGCGAAGCCGCCGCCTCTTTGCACATAGCTGCTCCCCGCAGGCGATCAGGGATGGGGGGTGGTGATACTGACATGGTTGACGTAGCGGAGCAGGCCATGCTGTACGAGCCTTTCACGTACTGGGATTGGCATGGCTACGATGCCGAGGGAAAGCCTCTGAATGAGAGTCGGCATCTCCATGAGGGCGGGCGTAAGAAACGGCTACTTTGGGAGAGGGAGAGGGCGTTTAGCGCGAATGGGGAGAAGAATGGTGATTTGACGCCAAGGGAGCGGTGGGAGGGCTTCAAGAGGTTTGTGGAGAGAGCTGAGAGTAATCGGAGGTCTGTGAAGAGGATGGCGGTGGCCAATTGGATGACGAAAGGGGATATGGAGTGGTGAGTTGCGAAATGAGTACTGGCAGAGGGGTACTGATCGGGTCGCAGGATTGCGAAGACCCTGACGAGGTTGGAGGCGCTGGATATGAGCGATGTGCCGTCGGCCTACAGTGCTTGTTCGGTTCAAAATGATAATACCTGGCTTGGCTACCTCAAGGAGACCAAATTTCGAGAGCCGATCTACAAAAACAATCTCTTCGAGATGTTCCCGCTCCTTCGAAAACTTAGAGACAACTCCTCGTACCCAGAAGAAGTCCGAATGGCAGATCTGTACGAGCATCGACATGATCATACCTACAAGACAGACGGGCCTTCTCATGCTTTCAAACGTGGACCACACGAGAAGAGTATGGAAGTAACGGTAGAGAAGACTGAAAGCTTCGAAGAATGGTTCTGGAGGCTCCAAGCCCAAGTACCTTGTGAGCTCTCAGGTTTAGAGGAGGAAATCGCCGAGACGCATCTCTGGAAACGAGTAAAGTGGCTGGGACTTCCAGACTGGCGGTCTAGCAGCTACGCTGCAAAGACGGTTGGTTCCACCCTACCACCCTGGTGTGTTTCTATGAAGACAGTGTCGATTAGAGGCGAATACACAAGGGACCGTAGCTCGAACGAGTTCGAATCGATCCACGACCACGTGTGTCGATTCATCCTCGGTGTCGAGCGGATTGTACCGGCTTCAGTCACCAAGCTCGAGCTGCGGCTTTCTGTCTCATTCTTGAGGTACTTCCTAGAGCAGCTAGAGAAGAATAAGCCCACCATTCAGCGCGTGGGCATAGATCTGGGCGCCTGGGTGCAGATCTTCCCACTTGGAAACCCACTGGAGCATCTCGAGGACGACGATATTCGGGCGACTACGCGGCGGCTGGCACGCAATGTCCCTACTCTCCAGATATTCCATCCGAAGAAATATTACTATCGTGAGGTGCAAGGAAAAGAAGAGGCCTTTGCAGCGGAACAGGATTACGTCGCCAAACAACCCAGCTTCTACCGGAACAGGAGCGGGAATTTCGAACCAGCCCGGCCTATTAGACAGGCTCCGAGGCCTGAAACCCCGGTCGAATCTGCTCCAGCTGACTACGACTTCGTCGAGGATCTGCAATTCGATAGGACAAAACAGAACGATGCTTGCCCGTTAGATGGCTCGATCGGGCACAGGGCCACAAGGGAAAAAGTTGACAGCACCCGCGCCAATACCCTGGCAAAGCTCCTCGAGAAACTGCACCTCGCACGTCACAGGGTCGGCGAAGTGTCCCACATGGCCAACATGACCTTCCGCCAGAACAGGGCAAAGTCAAACCTGAAAATCACCCGTGAAGGAGCGCACCTGTTCGGTCTCCCAGGCGAGGCGCAGACGCGGAGTTTCGACCCCATCGATCCGCTCACGCTCACGCAGCAGGAAGTCAAAACCGACTTCTGCGCCGGCAACGAGTTTCAATTCTGGAACCCCGAGGGCCTGAAGATGGTGTACCCCTGGATCGCGAAGACATTCGGCTGGCGACCTGTCTTCGACTGGGACTGGTTCATGGTTCCGCGGAATATGAGTGGCACCGAGAACCCCAACCTCGTCACCATCAACAGCAGCGGGAAACGCGGATCCAGCAGACCAGCCGACTGGCAATTGGAGGGTAAACAATCCGACGGCCGCGGCAAGCCAGGGAAGGCACTTGAGAGCACGCTCGGGGCTATCAAGAAGCAGTTCGCGCTGCTTAACGAGGCGGGTATACCCGTGCATCTACTTATTGGTCGCAGAGATCCCGATATCTCGAGCGTGTACTGGGGCTGGCCATACACGAAGCAGGCGTGGAAGGAGTGGAACGAGCAGTACTTCTCTGCGAGTTTGGAGACGATTGCCGAGCACGTCGATACGCTGAGTATCATGTACGACCTGCGGAATCCGATTGACAAGGATCGCTTGTCCTTCATCGATGCGAAGCGGCCGTACCATCCACCGCATGGCAAATGTCCGACCAGAGTGTGCCGCTTGGAGGAACATAACGGCGGCAAGTGCCCGTTCATCGAGAAGTATCTCGGGCAGCGGAATAAGCATCCACGCCCGCAGGTCAAACCGGCTGGAGAATCGGATTCGAAAAAGAAGAAGAAAAAGGACGCGACGTTGACGTACAGCGCCCTCGCAGACAGCGGCTCCTGTGGCCCGCCCACGGGCGAACTCGCAGACGACGAAGCCAACGAAGATGACTCCGACGACGAGGACGAGGTCTTCCCCCTCCATCTCGCTCGACGATCGGTGTACCTCCGCGAGACGGTGGGCTGGATCCGCTTCTGGGAGGCCTACGGCTCGAGCTTCACCAAGTTGACTGCGCTGCACGTACGCATGCCACGGTCCCACGACAACGCCGGCTCGTGGCGCCTGGCACGGCTACTAAACAGGCATGCCGGGTGGCACATCATCTACCACGCCGACGAGCGGCAGCACATGCAGAGCGAGGAGGACCTGATATCGACCTTCGACAATGGGGACCCCACCGCGCCAGGCAAGGAGGTCTGGACGCACCTCAAGGAGTCCCGCGTCTGGCCCGCCGGCCGCTTCGTGCGGCGCACCTGGGTGTGGGACCCGCTCCGTCTCGTCGATGAGTCGTTCTCCGTCGTCGAGGAGGAAGACTGGGAGGACGCTGAGCGGAACCCTAAGGCCGTGGGCAAGAAGTTCAACGCCTTCCGCTTTGAGCCGAGACAGAGAAGGGAGCTCACCTCCCACGATAATCTGATTGAGGTTCGCGAGATCGAGGCACTCAAGGCGGCGCGAAGGAAAGTCGAGATTGCGATTGCAAACGAGGAGGCGAATGGGGATCCTAAGGATGCTGACGGGCTGCCTATAAAGCCAGATATGGAGCGCATTCCACGGCCAGATAGGCTGCCGCATATGACGTCGGGGTTTGCGGGGCGGTTACAGAGCGTGTATGGGCATCATGTCAGGAATGTGGCGGGGGCGCAGTGGAGAGAGGAACTCAGGGGGATGATAGCTTTCATGGAGAGTGGGTATGGGGGTGAGGCGGACGAGGCATGGCGAGATGAACGCGATAGGCTAAAGGAATTGCTTGCGGAGGATCCGCCGTATAGCCGGATTTTCGAGGTCAGGGACGATAGGATCGCGCTGAGGGATGTGCCGGTTAAGCAGTGGGATGAGGATGACGGAGACGCTGGTCAGCCCACGACAGCTGCCCCGGCAGACACAGAAACGCAAGAGGCTTCCGCGCCTCCATTTTCTGGCGAATCCTTTCTTGACACCTCAGAAGTCGACTCCCTCTTCGTCGACAGCGAGACCGAAGGCATCGCTCCGCTACCTACAGCCTCCTCGCCGACGTTCACATCTCCGCAGCACAACATCAGCTCAGGGAATCCATCTTCGTCGCGGCTGCCAGGCCCGTCCCGAATTAAGAAGCCGCACACCGCTGGTCCGTTCGATCAATCATCTTCAGTGGATAATGCAGACGACGGCGCGGACGACAAGAAGGGAGGCAGTGCGGTCAAGGTCGAGGCAGTTAAGGTAGAGGCGGTCAAGGTAGAGATTGAGGTCAAGATTCCGAAGAAGTTGCAAGACCTGGGAAAATTGGAGGAGGGCGTGGCTAGGGCTCCACAGACGCCGTTTGATGAGGAGTATACCGATGGCGACGACGGAGGTGAGGATGAGGGGAAAACAACGGATAAGGAGGGGGTGGATGCGTATGGTGGGCTGGATGGGAGTGAGGCCCACAGCTATAAGTTCGACGAGTTGGTCGAGAAACGACAGGATTACTCCGAGAAGGCAGAGGAGAGCGCCGCGGCTGAAGCATCGGGGGAGAAGGAGGGGATGATTGAGGGTATGTCTTCTATGGCCTGGTTTGAGTGCAGCTGCTAATACGCGTGCAGCTAGTCCTGCTCCCGGTGCCGAAGGTCAACAGCAAGGACGTGCAGCGGAGACGTCGACGAAGCGGAAGAAGTCCGACAACGTGGATGCCCCGAATAAAAAACCCAAGATCTCCAAAGCGGAGAAGGAAGAACCCCGCCCAGACAAGAAACGCAAGCAGTCTGGGTCTGCTCCCAAGACGACCATGCCCAACAAGAAGCCCAAGGTATCCGAGTCAAACAAAGACAACCCACCAGAATCACGGCCCGACAAGAAGCGCAAGCAATCCGACCCTGCGCACACGGAGGCTCCAAACAAGAAGCCCGAGGTCTCCAAAGCGGAAGTGGATGACGAAAGCGACCTCTCTTCCTTCTCAGAGTCGGAACTCGAGCCAGCCCCAAAGCAAGGGCAAAAGCGCAAGCAGCCCACCGCCAGCGTTCCAAGTCCCCTCCCCAAGAAACCCAGGACCACGAAAAGCGGGCGCGTCGTCAAGCCCGTTATCGAGCAAGCGTCCGACGGGGAAGCCGCATCTGATGATGCGGCGGCGCTGAAGGGAAAGGAGGGCAGGAAGCATAGCAGAGTCGACTACGTGCCGAGTCCGACGACGCCTGCGGACGACGGAGAGTCTGATGGCGGGAACAAGAGAAGGAGACCAAAACCGAACAAAGGAAAGGGGAAGCCAGTCACCGCTCCTTCTGTACCCGTTCCTCCGCCTCCTGCTACTCCTGCACCCGTCGCTCCGCCACCCACCAATGCTGCTGCTACTGCACGCCCAGCACGCCCAGCAGGTGGCATCCAGGTACCACAGCGTGCCGGCGGAACGCCCGACTACGACAGAGTAACGGTGGTGAACCTGCGTGCGCTAGCGAAGCAGATCGGGCTGAAGCTGACGGGGGCGAAGAGGAAGGCTGATATCATCAAAAAGTTTGAGGATGACGATGCGAGTGGGCCGGGTGAAAACGCTGGGGGCGTGACTGTATAAGGGTGATGGGATTTGTTGCTTGTTCCATAGGGTAGTTATCTTGCTTGCAGTTAGGGTCGAGTGGGTGTGCTGGGATTTAATCTCCTGTTGTTTCGTCATCAACTCTTCTGTATCCAGAATTCTGTAACAAGGTCGGGATGTTATCCTGCATGTAAGGCAAAGGATGTGCAGAGCTTTGTTTAGAATCACCTTTCCTTTCGGATTGTACGTAGGCTGCAAGCCCCCCAAAACAGTATTTCCTAGGGTTGAGCAGTATCCTTCTGTCGACTCCTAACATATGCCTCTTCGAAATCCAAGTCGTCCAACAGGACCAAGTCAAGGCATACACGGCAAACTGTTCACGAGCGTTCTTCATTGCGACATAGTCTTACTATCTTCCGGTGGGCATCTGTCGTCCAACCCAACCCAACATGATATCCAACCCGTAGACCCTCGCTCCAGAAAATGCAGAATGGCCGCCCCTGCAATGCAGACCCCATCAAAGCCTATGGAACTCCGCCGCGCTTCTTTTCTATGGTCAATCGAGATGGATGAAGATGGATGCAGAAATCAATATATGCCTTGTGTGCGGTATTGAAAGGTATCGTAACTGCAATGTGATCAGTATACGTGCGACGAAATAAGGGGGTGAGGACGCTTACAGTCGGGTATAATAACTCCCCACGCTCTTGGCGATCAGCTCCTCGACAAAAACCTCTGCTTCTTCCTTGCTGAGATGCAACATCATGCGTGCGCGAAGTGAATTCGTAACGCCCACCGAGCCTGCTGCGAAGCAAGGCATCTTGCTCTGCTTGCCCATCATATCGACCAACATGATTAGTCTCTCGGCCTCCTTCCGTAGAGCCTGGAATGACTTCTTGCATAACGTCTTGAATTCTTCAAACGCAGGCGCGGTCAAGCCTCCAAGCACATCCACATATTCCTGAGTAAGCTTGAATGGGGCAGCTTCGAAGCCCATGCTGCCGGGTGAGTTAGACAGCATGAAACCGAAGTCGATGTGGATGATATGACCCATGTTGTCAATGAGCAGATTGCCATTGTGGCGATCCTTGAGCTGTAGAACATAGGATATCATGCTGTAAGCAGCGAGCGATCGGGCAAAAGCGTCAATGCCTGCCTTGTATGGCTCTGATTCGGGGTCGCCGAACGTCTTCGTGAAGTGGTCCTTGAGCGTGGCAATACGCTTCTTAGGATTCGTGCCGGCAGCGATGCTCGCTAGTGTCAAAGAACGTTTCAGCGAATGTAGCGAGACACCGTTCGTTATCGTCTCGATCAGACCGGATGATTCCCCGGTAACCAGTATCCGCATTCGCTTGGTCCAAACAGGAACATCCAACTCTTGCCAAATCTTTGTGCACACCTCGATAAGTTGGCAAGCGAAGGCTTCCTGGCGAAGATCCGCCCCAGTCTTGACAATGACGCTGACTAGATCCCAGTTCTTCATGTGACCGTACGGTGACGATCGGCGAATACGCTCCTTCTTGGCACTCCATTCTTCGCCAAAGGTGGCTGCGCTGGGGTCGTCACGATCGCCCTGTCTTTTGACACCTCCCGTCTTCAAGTCGTTTTCCATACGTGCTGCGCCCGCTCCGGAGTTGGTAGCTACCAAGGGTCCTTCTTCGATGGTTTCAGGTTCCGCCGACAGTGACGTTGGGTCCGCCTCAGCCAGTATGTTATCGAAAGTAGGTCCCGTTTCTTCTGTCAGGAAATTCTGCTCTTCCAGTGTCTGCATACTTGCAATTATTTTTGCTTTGATTGCAGCCACCTCAGCCTTGGGGCGTTTCGATCCGCTTTGTTCAAGTTGGGCCAACATCTGGGCTGCTGTTCGCATATGTGTCGCAAGGGCAGAGATGTCCGGTTGATCCGTGCTCAGGGTTGCGCGTGTAACTGGCATCGTCATTCTTCGAGGAATGGGACTACTCGATCTGCTGATTTCCGTGTCTGATGTTCGTGGAGTTGATAGGGTTGCGATCGAAGAAAGTGTATTCGCACCACTAGATGATCTGGGCGCCGTCGCCTTCCCGTTCACAGCGGTAATGGCAGCGCTTGGAAGTGCCACCTTCGCGGGACTGGACGTGGCGTCGCCTGTCTCGGGCTCGTCAATAAGCGAGCTGCTACTGAGATCGCCGTTCGCAGGTTCGAAGACGCTGTCGGAACCGTTCGGCGCAGGTCTATCGTGTACCAGGTGTTCCGCATGGGTAATGTCGAAAAGCCGCCGTTTCGAAGTGCCCTTTTCTAGCAGCAGTCTTTCCAAAACTTGTTGGTTTTGTTCTGAATCAGGATCGAAGTTGAAGTCTTCTTTCAAAACTTCTACCATGAGCAGGTAAGGCACACGCTCTGCACTGTTCAAGCTAGTCGCTTCCGCTGGGTTGATCCTCACGATGCGGTGATGCTGGCTCTGCGAAGCTATTCCATCTCTTAAGCTGGCGGGTGCGATGACAGGGATATCCACTTCGGCGGGAAGATCCTGGTCCATGAGCGCGAGTTCGGCTCTGAGCGCACTCAGACGGGCCTGCTTTGGGACGACGACCAGCCTGTTCGAAATGTCCTCTAAAGCACTTAGGAATTGAGATTCGAGTCGGAAGTAGTTGGATCGAAGCAGTCGGCGCTTTTGGGAGCGGGACAGAGCCGTCGGGGTAAGCGGCCTCGGGAAGTGTCTGGTGGAGCGGTGATGGTCGGGCCTGGTGCCTAAGCCTGCAGTGGGAGGAGGCGTTGGTAGTGGGGATGTTGCGCCATTGCGGAAGTCTGGGAGCGAGGACGAGCTGAGACGAGCTTCGGCGCTCACTGATAGGAGGCTGGGTCGGTGGTGTGCCGAGGCAATACGTTCCGGACGGTGCGGTCTTGCAGCCTTCTTCCTCAATTCTTTGGGGTCACCCTCCTCTTTCAGGGTCGGTGTGGAGGGCTTGGAGGTCCTTCCATCTTCAGGGTCCGAGTGCCCGCCAGGTGCCCGCGGGCGCCTGGTGCGGGGAGGCCCGGCGACTGTGTTGCTCCTCCCGATCTTTGCTGTTTGCACATTGTCAGAGATCATGTCGTCGAGGGGACGCGGCTTGCGCGCCTGTGCAATGGCAAGCGGGCCGGCATGTCTGGGCAGGAAGGGCGCGGCGATGCTGGCGAGCACCAGACTGGACAGCACGGTGACGGGCAGGATGTTCTCCTTGACCTTCTCGCGACGCTGGGGCTCGGCGGAGCCAAAGACGATGCGCTGGACCTTGTTGTATATGCGGCGGCAGGTCTTGAAGGCGTGCGAGTTGGGGGCGGCGGCGAGGTCGTGCAGGTATGTCTGGAAGAGCCAGAATGTCTGCGCGCGTTAGCCTTTGGGCGCGTGGGCGGGGTGGGAGGCGCACCAGCAGGGCGCCGTTGACCGACTCCTCGCACAGGTCTATTATGAACTCCTCCAGGGCCATCGACTCGTTGTCGACGCTAATGAGCAGATGACATAGCCTGTTCCGCATGAGCTAGCTGGGGCGGGCGGGGAGGCCATTGTGAGGGCCGTGGGCGCGGGCGGATGCGTACTGCGGGAGGAAGAACTCGATCTCCTCGTAGGCAAAGTGCCGCAGCTTGTTGCAGAGCACATAGTGGATGCCGACGTGGTCAGCATACCGCCTGCGCGCGCGTGTCAGTGGGTGCGACGCGGGACGCAACGGTGGCTTCGGGGCAGCGCCAGCCAGAGCAGAGCACTCACGAGAGGTATGCGACGGTCAGCGACGGATCGTGGTTGAAGTGATCCGACTCGAGGAAGCGCTCCAGCAGATTCCAACTCATCTGGGCCAGCGCATTGGAGCAGTGTGTTCGGGGGACGGAGGTGCCAACACGCCCGCAAAAGGGTGAGTGAGTCTCGTCCTGGACATGGGGCGGCCAGGGACGCTTGGCGGCCAGGGCGGAGACGAGCGGCTGCACGCGAAACGCTGCCGGGAGCCGCGCTGGCCCATCCAACCCAGGGCCACCGCGCAGCCACCGTCGTCTTTGATGCAGTCGTCGAGTATGGGGCTCGACTGGGAAGAGCCGAACAAGCCTGGCAGCGCTGTGCTGATTCTCCGGCCAAAGCCGTCCCCGGACCCGGAACACTTCAACAATACCCAGCAAGACTCCAAATCGCAGCGGCGACCAGCTCTCTGCTCACGGGACAACGACAGCTCCATCCAGTGTCGCCCTCTCGAAGAACGCATGGCATGGCTCTGCACGTGACCACCCGCTTCCCGACGCCCTGCGCAATCGAGGACATCTCCTGGGCAATCATGACTAGATTGTGCATCTCGAAACCTGGCGAGGTGAGACGAGGTGAGATGATCATGAAGACCTCAGCCCTTCGAAGCACCCTGCTGCAACATTGAATTTTCAATTCCTGCATTCCTACAACAGCTTAGCCTAGCCCTCCGCCTCGTCGTACACATCGTACTTGTACCGACTCCCCACGTGGTCACTCCTCAACCCGCTCTGACCCTCCCCATACACCTTCTCTCTCGCCGTCAATCCATCCCTCTGCGCCTCGCTGTAGGTTCCTCTCCTCCGCAACTCCGGCACCAGCAACTCAACCACATCTTCGAAACTGCCTGGCGTCGTGACATACCCAATATTGAACCCGTCGACGTCCGCTTCCCTGACCCATCTCTCGAGCTCATCCGCGACCTTGGCCGGCGATCCAACCACAACAGGGCCAAGTCCTCCTATTGATGCTTTCTCGGCAATGACGCGGGGTGTCCAGCGTGGCACGTCTGGCGATGTCGCAGTGAACTGGTCGAGGAGGCTGCGCACGCGGTTGTCCTCGGTGGCGTCGGCAGCTGTGAGGTCGTGGTCCGGAGGATACTTGGACAAGTCGATCCCCGTCCAACCGCTCACGAGAACCAGGCCACCGATGGTCGAGACATATTTCTTCAGCTCCTCGTACTTTTCCTGGGCTTCTTCATCCGTGCGGCCTATGATCGGGGTGAATGTCGTGAAGAATTTGATGCTCTGCGGATCACGCCCCTTCTCTTGTGCTAGTTGCCGGATCTTGTCGATTTTGGGCCGGAGGATCTGGGGAGAATGCGAAGAGACGAAGATAGCTTCTGCGTGGGTGGCTGCGAACTCGGATCCTGCTGATGAAGTACCGGCCTGGAATAGGAGTGGCGTGCGCTGGGGAGATGGATCTACAATGTGGCGTGATTCCAGCTGAAAGTACTTGCCGTCATGCTTGATCGTGCGGATCTTGGCTGGGTCGATGTATTCATCTGCTTCAACATTCTCGGTGATGGCGTCGGGCGCCCAAGATCCTTCCCAAAGCCTGCGAGCATGCTGTAAGTCCTACCCACAGAATCACTTTGGGGCTCTCGTACTTGTATAGTACGCGCAGATACTCATCTGCTTGTGCATAGCGCTCGTCGTGCTCAATTGGATTATCCAACCCAATCGCCTTGAAGGCAGCCTTCTTCCAGCTTGTGACGATGTTCCACCCGAAGCGACCACCAGTCAGATGATCCAACGTGCTGAATCGTTTTGCTAGCAGAAAAGGTGGCTCAAAAGACGTTGAAGCAGTGATTGCAAATGCCAGATTCTTCGTTACAGCTGCCATAGCGGAGATAGGCTTCACATTGTCAGTTGCGGCTTTGGGAACTTTCAAGGTCGACGGTGGTCACTGACGATCGTAGGGTCCGTCATAGGCCACTGCGCTGCTCTTCTGATGCAGTTATCTAAGCTCCCTTCATACGTGTCGTATCCGCCATATGTATCCGCTAGGAACAATGCGTTGATACCACCTCGGTCCAGCAATTTGGCGAGATCAATCCAGTATTCCAGTTTCCGTTTCGTGGCCGAGCGATCTTTCGGATTCTTCCACTGACCTGGTGAAAGATGACCGACTGTTGACATGTCAAAAGCATTGAGAAGGATCTTCTTGCTCGTAGTCGTGAAAGCGTGGTCGGTAGCGGTAGTGGTACGGTTCGTACCGTTGGGCGTTGTTTCTGTCATGATGGCTCTAGAGAATAATTAGGTTGTACCTGTGTGTGAACTTTACGAAGCAAGCTCGGAGACGTCGGAAGAACTAATGCGTGTTACGACGATGTTTTATCCCATCGCTGTAGCGTGTATGTTTGTGGTGCTGCTATGGAGCCTTATGGACGTTCTCCACCTGCGCCGGTATCGTCGCATCTGAGATGTATTCCGTCATTGCAAGGGCATCTTGCGCCACTCAACAATAGCAGACGCGACTTCTGAACTCTTATGAACGTATACCCTTAGTTCCCTCCTGTCACAATAGACCCGCGGGTGAACCGACTATCCGATGACTGCAGTAGCTTGCGGATTGCGTGCTCGCCATGCGGTGATAGCGGGTGACCCCGCAATAACGGAGTAACACCATGTCGCTCAAGTCCGATTTGAGAGAGCGAGTTGAATGCGGATGAAATGAACAGGCCCCATAGAAATGTCTCCCCAATCTGTACCTGCAACTATGGGCTCAAAAAGCACTCCCGTCGGGTAAGCAATTGCAGCATGACTTTTACGTGCTGAGAGTGCTACGCAGGAGAAAATGGCATACTCATACAGGTCTGAGTATGATCAATGTTAAACTGATACTGTATGAGCGATTCCTTGATGCGAGCGTTCTAGATTCGGCGAAGAGAATGAGAATAGGCTCAGGATCCCATCCATACGTGTGGCATCGTGCCTGGCCGGAGATGAGGAGGATGACTACTGCGAAGGGGAGCAAGCTCGTGGGGACAGCAGCGACAACGACAAGCCTAAATTAGGCGTCGTAGCCCGGGGTGTTTCTCCCTGAGCTGGCGCGCATACCGTCAACGGGTGGGGGGAAGGCGTCATCTGCCCTATTACCAGTTATCGCACGCGCGAGTAGGGCGAGGCAGGCATCTTATCGGATTACCTAAGGTGTATTTCTCTTCTTAAGTGCATGGCGCTCAGAGGTTCTGAGCACTGCAGGTTGAGTGACCCCCCTCGTCGCATTCTTGGGCACTCGCAACACTTGTGAAGGGACAGTCGTGCTAGCCTCATCAGGATGGCACGTGACTCGGTCATCCCCTTCTCCGACAATACTACACCAGGGGCTCAGGCATCATCGACAAGGCAACGTGTCGCCCAAGTTACTGGACACCTTGCATCTCCCAAAGAAACGGAACAGGTGAACTCTTCTCCGTCGTATCCTGTTTCACGACTCCAGCCCGACCTTCAGCATCACATCGATGATGTGCGTCCGCTTCGAGTCGCCGTCATCGGCGCTGGCTTAAGTGGAATCAATGCAGGCATTTTGCTTCCTGCGAAAGTACCTGGTATCGATCTTACCATATACGAGAAAAATCACGATGTCAGTGGAACATGGCTTGAAAACAATTACCCTGGCGTACGCTGCGACATACCCGCGCACGTCTACCAATCAACATTCTCTCCCAACACCCAGTGGTCCGAGATTTTTGCCAAAGGCTCCGAAATTCGCGACTACTGGCAGTCGCGCGCAAGGAAACACGACGTTTACAAATACCTGAAATTTCGACATCGTGTGGACGACGCATCTTGGGACGACAACGAAGGGAAATGGTCTCTCAAGGTACATGATCTGAACGCCAATGTCACCAAATTGGAGATATTCGACTTCGTCATCACTGCCATTGGCCGCTTCAATGCTTGGAAACTGCCGGACTATCCCGGCATCGACAGCTACAAAGGTCACCTTCGGCACACATCCAACTGGGATCAGTCCTTTGATCCGCAAGGCAAGACAGTCGCCGTGATCGGCAACGGAGCAAGTGGGCTCCAGGTTGTGCCAAATCTCCAACGTTGTAGCAAGCATGTCACACATTTCGCCCGCAACCCGGTATGTGAACCTGATGTGAAAATGGATTTATACTAATGAAATTTCAGACCTGGATAGCAACTTCTTGGGCGGGCGACGAAAGAACCTTCGAGCCTCAGCCATACACAGAAGAGCAGCTAAAATTGTTTGAGGATCCTCAAAAATATCTAGAGTACAGGAGGGACATTGAAGAAAGATATTGGAGACGATTTCGAGCAATGGTCAGAGGCTCAGAAGAGAATGAGGGTATACGTGATGTTTTTATCGACGTTATGAAGAAGCGGGCCGCAAAGAAGCCGGAATTACTAGACGGGCTGATTCCCGACTTTGCACCGCACTGCAGGCGTCTGACTCCTGGACCTGGATACCTGGAGTCCCTGACTGAAGAAAACGCTGATCTTGTGAAGACGCCCATCAAGTGTTTCACTGAAACTGGTATCGAGACGATAGATGGCACACATCGTCAATTTGATGCGATTCTGTGTGCTACAGGTGCGAACACCGACCTTGTACCACCATTCTCAATAAAGGCGCGAGGGGTGGATCTTCGTGAAGCCTGGCGGCCAGATGGCAAGTTCGGTTTCCCTTATACATACTTTGGGTACTCGACGCCGGGCTTCCCCAATCTCTTCTTTCTCATGGGGCCTCATGCAACAGGCCCTTCTGGTACAGTCCCATTTGCGGCCGAAACAGCTCTCACGTACTTCGCCAAAGCTCTCCGCAAGGTGTCTTCGCAAGGTTACAAGTCCATCACGCCTTCAAAAGAAGCGGCTGATGACTTCGTCGATTACTGCGATGCATTCTTCCCAACGACGGTCCTGACTGACAATTGCTCGTCCTGGAATAATGGCGGGACTCCAGGACAAAGAATCCACGGCTTATGGCCGGGAAGCGCAGCTATGGCCACCATTGCAAGACGCGAGCCGCGCTGGGAGGATTGGGAGTTCGAACGCTTCAACAAAGTCAATCGATTCGCGTACTTTGGCAATGGCTATACTCGCAGCGAGCTCGACGAAAGTGCCGACTTAGTATCATATTTGAAAGCCCCAGGTCAGGAGCCAGATTTGAGGGATGTACATGAGAGCTGGTGGGACCTGCCAGGCGCAAGTAGCAAACCGTCGCAATAGGCGACATCGATTAGCACATTTTCATAGAGAAAACAATTCCGCCCAATCGCAACGTAAGGAGAAGCTCCGTTCATCTTACTACTCTTTCCTTTGAATTGCCGTCCCAGCTGTTATCGGTCCTTCAAAGATATCGCGAGTAGATGTGGTGTTCTTCGCAAATCTTAGACGGAATGGCGTGCTAGCCAACGACTCCCACCATGCAGATTACGCAGTGTACCCCCGCGCAATCCCGAACATCAGGCCCGGTACCGCTTCAAGGAAATTTTTGGACCGGGGTTCCAGAACTGAATCGGGAAAGTTCGCGGTTATTGCTCCGCACGTGGCGCTGACGCGCAATGGACATATAATGTGCAGCCCCAGACACATGTACAGACGCTGCACTCCCAATACGCAACATCACCCTCAATGGCGGACCCAGAGAACTCTAGCAGCGACCTTGCGACCGGTGTTGAGAAGCGTGACCACCCGAGTATGTAAAGAAGATACTATTCGCAAGTCATGTACTAACGAGGGGCACAGCAAAATGGTACCGGTCGACCTTCTACAACATGACCATTCTTGGTCTTTGTAATTTTTCAGCGCCTGGAATCTGGGGCGCGATGAACTCTCTCGGAGCAGGAGGTGCGCAGTCACCTGGTTTGGTCAATGCAGCTAATGCGCTGACGTTCTGCCTGATGGTGTTGAGCTGCTACTTCTCGAGTGTGATTGTGAAATACCTGGGTATAAAGGGCGCGCTGATATTCGGGACGTAAGTTTGCTCTTCGACTGCCGTTGTATGCATTCGAGGTCTGTGCTTACAATAGCCAGCTTGGGATACGCTCCTTACGCCGCTGGTCTGTACACGAACAATCGCTTTGGCAATACTTGGTTTGTTCTTCTCGGCGCAGCACTGTGTGGTATCTCTGCTGGCGTATTCTGGATGGCTGAGGCTGCGATTGCTATTGCTTACCCTGAGCCGTGGAATAAGGGCAAAGCTCTAGGGTACTGGCTCACGTATCGCCTCAGTGGACAGATCCTTGGTGGCGCCATCAACCTTGGTATAAACGCCGATCGTAATGAGGCCGGAAAGGTCTCCTACACCGTCTATCTCGTGTTCATTGCGCTGCAGGCGGCTGGACCATTCGTTGCGTTGCTGCTAAACAGGCCGAGCAAAGTGCAAAGGAAGGACGGCAAGAAGGTGGAGCTTGCGATCTTGAAAGAGTGAGTAAAGGCACAAGTTATTCGAGAATGCGCATTAGCTGACCTTTGGTAAAAGTCCGTGGTTCGAGATCAAGGAGACAACGCGGGAGTTCTTCACCAAGAACTTCTTGCTTATCGTGCTTTGGATTGGTCAGGCTGTGTTTTCCGAAGCCGTCTTCTTCACCTATCTTGCGTGTATGTATAGCCATCCCGTGGGGCAAGAGCTTTCTGATGATATCTCTCTACTACTCATTGTATTCTATGGGCTGACCATGACTTCCAGTATGGTTCTCCGTCCGTGCCCGCGCCCTTGGCTCCTTTGTTTCTGGTCTCGTCGCCGTAACCTGTGGAAACCTTCTTGGCTGGTACCTTGATAATTCGCGCCTTTCTCTTCGCACACGCGCCCGCACCGCCTTCACGGTCATCGTTGTGTTCCAGGGCGCCTGTTGGATATGGATTACTGTTCTTGTAACCCGTTTCCGCCACACTCACCCTACCTACGACTGGGGCAGTCCAGGATTCGGGAACGCCTTCGCTGTCTTCGTTCTTCTGACCGCTGCCTTTCAGATCAACTACCTCTTCCTCTACTTCTTTGTGACGAACCTAGCGAAGGACGAGCCTCAGGTTATTCGATATGCTGCATTGTTGCGAGGAACAGAGAGTGCCTGGCAGGCGATAAGCTACGGTATCACAAGCGTGACGGTCTTCGCAGAGGTCGGGGCGGTGTACTGGAACTTTGCTCTGTGGGGCGTCGCTATTTATCCCGCATGGCTAGTTTTAAGACATTTCGGCGGCCCTAAAGAAAAGGTCGAAGAAATTCCTGGGAGTGAGGAGCGCCAGGCTGAGACTGTAGCATATGTTGAACGCAACGGCAAAGAGATCTAGGTGGGTATCGCAGGAAGGTGGACTGAAGTATCACATGCAGAGGAAGGGCCGCGAGGCTAAAGAAGAGGCAGGCCTATTACGTGTAGAGAGGAGCTGCTGCTTAAAATATCAACGTTATCAATCATCACGTCGCTCTTGCCAATCTCGCTCATGGTACGCGTGCCTTCCGCTCGAGCCCACGTAACCTTCCACACTACGTCGCACGCTCTTTCCGTGCGCTATCTTCACTCCCCACTCAATTCGACCTCGAGAAGCTTTCGATCACTCTGATCGCGGCCATGAAAATCGTTGCGGTGTCAGTGCTGTTTGGACTTGCTCGGCAGTCTATGGGCTGGACTACGCGCGGGGATGCAGCATATATCGCTCCGCGCGACTTTCTGCCAGACAAGCTCGCCGACGACCAGACCTGGAAAAGGTTCATTTGCAAAGGCGAAGCTCTCGTTGAGGTAATGAAGGCCTCTGAAGATGAGGCGGCAAAAGTCATGAATCTCCCACACGCCCAAAGCGAGTGGAGCGGTGACCTCAAGGGCGAGTATCTGACTGGAAGTTTAGTGGAGCTCCATAAAACTGACTCTGATGCAGCTGAACTGAAGACATGGGCGTACACCGAAGCCTACGCATCCTACCTCAACTGCGATCTCAAGGGCTATTGGGCAGTCGAGTCCGCTTGCAATGCGCTCGGTCTCGACACGCGCGCAAAGGCGATGGGCGGCGCGAATATTTGCTACAACTTCAATCACTGGGATGCGAACAAGAAAGACGAGAATGGAAACATTGTGCCTAAGGCGAGGCAGACGTACCAGGTCAACAACAAGGAATACAGGGTAGACTCCTCACGATCGTTATGGGCAAGAGATACTGACTCAAACAGGCGACCGGCGCGGAGATGCAGATAGCAATCAACCCAGCTGGTGGCGTAGTCTTTATGCAATATGTCACCTCTCCTGCTACTGCTGCACAGAACGTGTGGAACAAGAAGCCTTCGATCGACGAGCTCCCCGCACTGCGCCATCTCTCCGACATTATGTGGGGTGCGTGGAACCGCGACAACGAAGACATTAGCAAGATCAAGTACTTCTGGGCAAGTCAAACACGATACCAGCAACTGATCATCTTCGTTCGAAGCATTCCACTAACTTTGTACCCCACGCTTCTAGGTTCAAGGCGTGGGCAATACTCGCACGAAGACCTTGATTGCGCGTGCTCTCAAAGAGGCTGGGAAAGTGCTTGAGAAATGGCCTGGCACCACGCTTGATATGGAGGAGGATGGAACGCTGGCTATTCTGGGTCTGTTTGCTTGACCTTGGAGATATGTTGTGACACTAACAAGGATCAAGGTTCGGAGAACGGCGCCTGCTGGGGCTGGTTTCTTGCGCAACACAAGAAGGAGCTGGGCAGCAAGGTCATCGAGACAGTCGTGATCTTCAAGAATGATCGCGATAAAGACCCGGACCCAGATCTGATTTTCTACGTTGGTGACGCTCCTGCGCAGTAACGGCGCTGCGCGAGCTAGGCGTTGGGCGGCACCTTCGTGGACCGATCTTTGAGACTAGGCTGGGGTTGAAACAGGTTTAGAAGCAATGAACAGCCTGTCTGCAGCCGACACGGGCGATATTCCTCCCTAGGTATAACATCCGCGCGAGTGCGGTGCCACACGGATTGAGAGTATTGAGAGGATTTCCGTTTCTGTTCGTGGTGACCTCCCTAGTCTGCGAAATGCTTGTGTCTTTATCTTTCATTGTCCAACTGGTATACTACTGTCTGTAGTGAGCGAGATCTTATCAGCTTACAATGTCTAGCATCCTACTTAGCGAAAACAAACCCCACTCCAACGGCAACCAGTCTTCTTCCTCAAGCCATCCACACCGTGGTTATGCTCAATGAAAAAGAGAAAAGGTCGAAGGCCGAGGCCGGTGTTGAGTTAAAAAATAAGGAAATAGCCTCCGAAGACTCAAGCACCTCAGTCCGGGCACCCAATCTCACAGCAGACACTTTCGCGGGTGCGGCCATGCGCACCGCTCGAGCAGCGCGTATGTTGGCAGGAGCAAGAAAGGTGGTCGAAGATGAGGCTATGTGGTAATCTAAGGACGGTCTTGCACCTCTGCGGCTTGTGGAATCATCTGGAGCTTGGATTGGTTGGTGTAGGAGGTATGGCTCCACACCAACGCGCAGTGGAGATGTGCCCGTGTTTTGTTGTTCCCAGTGTAGACGTCAAGATAACCGCAACGGAAAAAGACTGGAGTATTGCACCACTGCTGCTCGGTCGCACAACTTCGAAACCCCCAGAGGCGCTGACCGTAAATTGTACTCATCCGTTCTAGGCAGATCGTATCATCTCTCTCATCTGCCTCTCACCGGAGCCGAGACCCTGTCCCAAACGAACGATTCACTTGGGACCTGAAGCAGGTAATTCTAGGAGTTAGAAACTCCGTACCAGACGCGATCAGTGGAGATGTACTCGTCACCACCTTGTGGTCTCTGGTATCAAGGTAGAAACAGAACCTAGAGCAAGGGCGAGAGTTGAACACTACTGCGCTAAGCTTCAAGACTTTGATACACCAAAGTTGCAGAACATTGTGAGTGCAACAAGCCCGTTGAATTTAGAGATACGAGCGTCCTTACTAGGTGTCGCGGCCCAGTTGAAAACAGACAGAGAGTGAATATGAATGAGGTGTGAGGCTCGAGGCGTAAAGTGCGAGGACGATATGGAAAAGTCATAAAAAAATGAGACAAGTGATGAGAGAAGATGGGACGCGGCGATGAGTGTTTCGAAGAGATTAAAGCGACGGACGCGCACTAGCGCGGCTCCGGGCTCCGGGCCTGTGTTAGTATCACGTGACCGATTACTTGCTTAGGTGCTTACCTACGGATCTCGCGCCTGCTGGCGAACCACCAAGGGCTAGCCAGTACCTTTGCTGGATCGCAGCGACGAATTTCTGCTACGATAGAGTCTGCTTACCATTGCTCACTCAGAATACTGGTAGGTCACATGCCTGCTCTATTCACCCAATAAGCACCGCCCCTGACTTGAATATCATGCTCATGCTATACTTCGAGAGTCAAATTTGTTGGACGGCTCAGCCTCCGATAAACTCCCAAAGTTTTTCACCAATCGTTCGCGCAGCTCTGAAGAGCCGACGGCTCGTCACATTCCACGCTTCTACGCCTCGGACGCGTGGGTGCCGAGGTGCAACCCAGGGCCATAAAATTGCAACCACTCCAGACGTAGCGCGGGCAAAGAAGGGTCTTGCGTTCAAGCGGCAGAAAGATCAAGTCGACGCAGTCCGACAGCGCGAGACGTCCCAGCCCAGAACATGGATTGCAAGCTGAGGTTGAGTTCGGGAAACTCGAGCTAGAGTGCACGAACGCTACATGTTGTGAAAGCGCTCGTTAGCTTGAGGCTGTGAAGGCCTTCTATGAGGAGCGCTTCGGAAGCTTTGAGGAACTAGTAGAGTCTCAGCGAGAAGGAGCCGAGGGCACGATTGACATGACTGAGGAGACTGAGGAGCAAGGTATGTCAGCTCATTCTTGATTGGTCTCACTGAGTAGTACTAATGATAGAAACAATCTTGGGGCCAGCTCCCAGGTCGCTTTCTCTCCTGATCCCGACCTCCCGCGGAACGCTGATGACCACGAGAACGAGCACCACAACGACGTCTCACAGAAAATGACATCGATGACCTGGAGTATGGTCATGTCGATCTGGACGTCGACTTTGGCAAGGAGGATATTGATGAGTTTGACGACGAAGGCAGAAGCTGGCCACAGGGTGCCAATGTTTCTACAGAATAGTGGACCCGAATATTAGGAAGCTGTGCACGAGTCCCACTTTGACACGTTAAACTAGAACCTGCAAGGTACAACTTTATTTGAAAAATTGTTCTTGATTCTCACTCGAAATTATCTGACCATGCTGTAAACCTTGAGCTCACCGTCATGTCGACCGATCCAACGATATAGTAGCCAGCGCGGGCCAGAAGCGCTTGTTACAATCCCAAGACATGACTGATTATAGCTCCTCGGCCACGGTAACCGTGCTAGCAGCTCCAGAGAATAAGTACCACCTTGGCCTGAATTTTGGTAGGGCATTGATGCTCCATGAGAGGTTATTTCCTCGGATAAGAGCGATTGAGGTCCCAATCCCGTTTTGTAGCAGCCCTTTGAATGCACGCGCTTTCACGATAACTGACGAGAGGGCGGTAAATTCCTTGTTCTCTTGCACCTCAGCACGCCTCTCCGCCCTAGCACGACCTGTTGAATCCTCGGAACATTTGCTCAGGTCCTTGTAATATTCATACTGATATGGATGAAGGAGCAAACAGCTGAAGGTAGCGAGCGCCTCGCAGTATCGCCATTGTTTAACACAACATACATTAGTATGGAATTTGAGAGAGATAGTAGTGTCAAGTAAACTACAGCTCAATATTTTCGTCGACTTCGAACGCTTTCAGGATAGCCTTGCCCTCCTAAGTATCCGTTCGAGATAGCGCGTATCCTGGCGAAGCACGACGCTTACCCGTATAGCGGTTGTTTTCCTGCTCGTTATTTTGGTCATTAGGGCCAGGACTCTTTTCGCTACCAGAGGTTTCGATACGTGGTATGTGTCTCCTTAAAACAAAGAGAGCCTTCATCCTCGGCCGCTTCCGAGGGGGAGAGTTTACAGTAGCTCAGGACAAGTCATCGTTGCTCTCAGTAAGCTTGAATTCATCGGTACTGTTGTGAGGAGGAGTCTCTTAGCCCGACTTTGGTTGTTCATTTTCATCGAGTGAAGCTTAGGCCCTCGACTGTATAGCAGGTAATGTCCCATTTGTTCGGCTTGGAGGGCGTGGCTTAGGCGCGACCAATCTCATTGACACGACCTTCGTCCTCGTACACTTGGCAGCCTGCCGCCGACTCTCACCAAAGTTCATTCAAGCAAGAAATATTATAATTGATCAGAAACGACAGAAAAAATAGCGTTATCTATGCGTCGTCAGTGATCACACCATCGAACCCATCTGCTCTCCACCCTTCCAACATCCTCTCGAAAGGTACAATGCCCGCGCTCCATGGTGACCCCCTCCCTGCTTTAATCATCTCCTCTTGACTCTTATGGTTCATTGCGTCGCCCTCCATCGTAATATACCCGGGAGTACACACCGATACTGAGCTGAAGAACGCTGCACCGCTCAGACACCTCATCGCCCACATCTCCTCCGCTTCCGCGCTCGGCTCGATCGCGACCTTTCTTTCGCGAGGATCGGACGGTGGGCTAAAGTGTGATATAATTGAAATGATATGCGATGTCTGAACTTCAAGCGTATGATTCACGTTAGCAGTAGCCGACGCCTGTGCGATAGCGAAGAAAAAAAGATTCGGGAAGTCGTGGGAGAAGACGCCGTGGAGGGTCGTCGCGCCCCGGGATGTCCACTTTTCGGACATTTTTAGGCCGTTTCTTCCAATTATATCGATGCCATTACGTGCTGCCGGGTCGCCGCCACCGTAGGCGGGTGATCTGTATCCTGTGCTGAGAATGAGGATATCGATTGGGTATTCCTGACCGTTGGCTATGATGGCATGGGACGTGACGGCGTCAATACCTTTACCATCTGTGTCTACTAGGTGCACGTTTGGCTTGTTGAAAGTTTGCAGGTACGTGTCTGAGAAGGTAGGACGCTTGCACCAGGTCGGGTACCACGGTGTTAGTCTTTCGGCGGTAGACTTGTCGGTAACGATGTTAGAGATGCGTTCTCGGGCTTTGGTATTGTGATTCGCATCCCAGGCTTGTAGCTCACTCAAGTATCCAGGTATCTTGTCGGGGGTCAGGCCAGTGAAGCGCTCGCTTCCGAGAACGGCACAGTATGCTTGAAGTCGCGACCACTCGTCGTCTACCATATTGACGGTGCCTTCCGGAAGATTTCGAGAGAGATGCTGCGCCAGGTTTTCCATCCGAGCTTTCTGCCAGCCTAAGCCCGCAGCGATACGTTCGCTCCATTCTTTTGGATCAGTGGGCTTCTGACCTCGATAGTTGACTTGAGACGGCGTTCTTTGGAAGAGAAGAAGCTCTTTTGCAAACTTCGCAACCTCTGGCACAGCCTGGATAGCAGTTGCGCCTGTACCAACGTACCCGACGCGCTTCCCTTCAAGTCCCTTCAGCTCAGAAAATGTATCCTCGCTCGAGCCACCCGAGATAGCGTAGTCCCAACGCGAGGTGTGGAACATGTCACCTTCGAATCCAGCCAGTCCAGGGATCTTCGGTACGTGTGGATGCGGGAATATTCCACCAGCTAAGATGGAGAAATCAGCGTTCACTGAAAGCGTAGCCTTTTCCGTTCCTCCATTGCCTCTACCTGTTGTCATGTCCACCCTCCAAATCTTCTTACCACCATCCCACTGAAGACTGGTTACCTCCGTGCGGTACATGATTCTGTCTCCAAGTCCAAACTTCTCTACTAGCTTGACCAGGTAATTGCGAATCTCTACTGCACTCGTGTACTTGTGGCTCGGTACATATCCTGTTTCCTCAAGCATTGGCAAATAAACATACGACTCAACGTCGCAGTGAAGGCCCGGGTATCTGTTCCAGTACCAAGTACCACCAACTCCGCCCCCCATCTCGACCATCACAATATCATCTTGCTTAAAGCCGGCCTGAACGAGCTTGATCGCATTGAGGATTCCGCCCATCCCGGCACCCATGATGAGGAACTTGGTGTTGCCTCCCGCCTCGATTGGCAAAGCTCTCTTGTCAAGCGCGGCATGGTCGGCGAAGATGTCGTCGACGAGGTTACGGAGACGCGAGGAGTCACTGTAGTGTAGTTCTTGAAATTGCTTCGTACCTTCGGGTCGCTGGCGCTTAGCAGCCTCCTGCATGAACTTGAGCTGTTCAGGTGGCAGCTGGGACATTGCTGCTGCTGCGGCCATATTCGATGGCAGCAAATCTAAGGCGTCAGTATTGTCAGAGCCAGTGTATCGATGTGTGGTTGCTTCTTGGTTGAGATGTACGTACACTCTGTTGATGCAATTCCTTAGTCCGGTGGGTAAGTACAAAGACAACGTCTGTGTAGATGTGCAGAGAGGAAAGGCGAGAGCTACTTATTGTTCGACAGCGGCCGCAGTTCCTGTATCAGCCCTTCTAACCGCTGCACGCCGCTTCTGCACCAAACTATGGTCACCATGGAGGATCACACCTAGAATGACTCCAGCATATGCTTCGACGGGGCCACAATAAGATGATTACACCGTATAGAGCGTGTTCGTGCGGGGCTTTCCTCATTGGGTCGCGCGCACGTACGGGGTGACTTCCCATTGGTGTAGTTCTCCAACACCAAGGCCACAGCGAAATTAATTCCAGACGCATGGATACTCGCGTGATCCATGAAGCACAGGCTTCGTGGGTGCTCCTTCCGGTGTGCGTAATGTTGGAGCTTGAGAATGTGCTGACATTTCCGTCAACCCTACCGTAGCTTGGCTGTGCAACGCACCAGTCCATGCAACACCCCAACTTTGACGCGCCATATCTCTACCAATATGGATCCAATTGAGGCTGTAATAGCAGCAATCGAATCATGAGAGCCAGAAAAAAAAATTCTGATAGACAAGTTGCGAAAGATTATGGTGTTGTGGTTTCTACACTGACGCGTCGGCACCAAGGCATCACACAGGCAGGTGCAGCTGCCAACTCTACGCGTCGAAGTCTCAGCCAACAACAAGAAGTAGAGCTTCTACAATATATCAAACAGCTTACCAAACGTGGCCTTCCTCCTACACGGCAGATGTTACAGAGCTTTGCCTCAAATATAGCCAAAAAGCAAGTCTCAATGTCCTGGGTTGATCGCTTTAGACGGCGGAACAAGGAATCCTTGATATCTCAATGGACGGCCGGCATCGATAACAATCGCCATGAAGCTGATTCCTTAGCCAAATATAAGCTCTAATTCGAGCTTTTACAGCATAAGATTGAGGAGTATCAGATCGACGCTCAAAATACGTACAATATGGACGAGAAAGGCTTCCTACTTGGGATCACCACCCGCACAAAGAGGATCTTCAGTAGGCCTCTATACGAAAGCAAGGCTGTGAGGCAGGTGATACAAGATGGCAGCCGTGAGTGGATATCTGCCATAGCCTGCATATGCGCCGACGGATCTGTCTTGGCCCCAGGCCTCATCTATCAGGCCGCCTCTACAAACATACAATCGAGTTGGGTAGAGGATCTCGATCCTCAACACCATCAGGCCTTTATCGCAGTATCAGAATCTGGCTGGAGCAACAATCAGATCGGCCTTGCATGGCTGCATGGCTGCAGCAGGTGTTTGATCGGCTCACAAAGCCAAAAGCTAGACGATCATATCGGCTATTGATCGTTGACGGCCATGGATTCATATCACTATGGATTTTATCGACTTTTTTGATCGCAATAAGATCCTACTAGCCATCTATCCACTCCATTCAACACATACGTTGCAGCCTCTCGATGTCTGCATCTTTAAGCCTCTATCAACAACATATTCAAATGAGCTATCAGCCTTTATAAACAACAGCCAGGGACTGGTCTCAATCGCTAAGAGAGACTTCTTTAGCCTATTTTGGAAGGCCTGGATCAATATAATGAGGCAGCCACTGATACTCTGGGCCTTTGAAGCAACAGGCATCTGCCCACTCGATACAACGACTATACTCAGTAGATTTGATCAGCCTCAGCCAACTGAGCAAGACTCGCGAGAAAACTCAACCTCAGTACTCAGTGCCTCAGATTGGAGAAAGATTGATAGACTGCTAAGGGCCAATGTGGATATAAGCAGAGGCAATGAGGCTAAGAAACTGAGTCGAACTATACACCATATCTCTGTACAGAACCAGCTTCTAGAGCATGAAAATAAGGGTCTCCGTGAGGCCCTAGTAATACAGAAGAAGCGCTTAAAGGGAGGCAGGCCTTTGCCTCTTGATCAGCTAGATGAGTATTATGGTGGAGCTATTTTCTGGTCACCTTATAGGTAGCGTGCAGCGGGCCCGCGATTATCAACACCAAAAAGATATAGAGGAACAACAAATACAGCTTCAAGAAAGTGAGCGAGCAGAGGCCCGTCGGGCCAGCCAGTAGCTCAAAGCAAGGCTACTCTAGGAGAGGCGTGTTGCTCGAGCAGCTGCTAGAGAGGCGCGCGCAAAGCAGAGGGCCGATGAGGCTGTAGATCGACATCTTAAACAATAGGCCCGCAAGGCACAAAGTCAACTTCAGAAACGTATTAAATTATCCCAAAAAGGAAAAAAGAAGAAGAAATAGGCTCAGCGTGAGGCTGTAGATATTGATGAGGCCTCATCTGTTGCATCCGCCTCACAGTCACGTAGAGGCCGAATTATCAAAACACCAAGCAGATATCGATAATCTGAGTAGCTAGCAATTATCTTTGGGCCTAGGAGGCCTCAACCTCAGAAAATCTCGTGATATTATTGTTTGTGGCTGTCTCTATAGCGTCATGTTTGTGGCCGAGCGATCATGTCGGGGTTGCGCATGACGCGACGCTGCGCATAGCGTGCCAAGGCACGGTAATATACTTGCTTCTCTTGTAAGTTGGAGCGCTAGGCAACAGGACAATACAACCAACATCAGATTTCTGGCACCTGTATTGTACAAGAATACAAGTGGGAAGTTATGACGCAGCTCCCCTCTTTCGACGACCTTCCTCCTGTCGAGGGCATGCCGCAAGGCTGCGCATGGGGCATTTTTGACAAGGACGGCAAGAAGGACCTTTGCGGAACGCTGAATATCCTCACGCCCGAGGTCGTTGCCGAAGCTTGTAAAGAAGCCAGAGATGGCATTTCGATTTCCCTCAAGTCAATCCTGCCTCCTCTCTCACACTGAACCGAGCTTACTAGTTCTTTGCAGCTGGCCGCTCAATGCCAACAAGATTCCAATGGGTCGCGGTGCTCCAGTCCACAAGCACGTAAATTTTCAAGAATCGGGTCTGTCGAAAGGCTCGGGGTGGGATGATCAGCTCACGTTCAATACCCAGGTCCGTCCTCCACTCCCCTCCTCCTGATACTCCATATTAACCAGAGCCTAGGTAAGCAGCCAGTGGGACAGCCTGGTCCATTGGCAGCATCAAGAGACAAAACTATCCTACAATGGCATCAAAGCGACCCAAGAGGGCCTCGCTGCAACCACGACAGATGAGAACAAAATGCCGACGTTGGACCACTGGCACACTTCAGGCGGGCTGGTCGCACGCGGAATCTTGATAGACATTAAGGCGTGGTACGAAGCCAAAGCAGCGAGAGACGGCAAGGCTGGCGACGAAGCAGTTTTCCATCCCTTTGAGGAACACCGTATGTATGTAACGACCAGTTGCTGCTCATCAAATGACGACCACTGACTCTACACTTCACTACCAGAACAGTCTCCGACATCGAAACCTGTGCCAAAGATCAAAACGTCACCTTCCGCGCGGGCGATGTCCTTATCATTCGGACTGGCATGACCGAAATCCTCTCCTCCCCACAACCCGCCGACCTTGCCAAAATGCAGAACCCTCAGCTAGCAGGCGTCCACGGCTGCATCGAATCGGCCAAGTGGATCTGGAACCAGCACTTTTCCGCTGTCGCTGGCGACTCTATTGCATTTGAGGCGCTAATGCCTATTAAGGAGGATGGCAGTGTAGGAACACCGGAGGATCTTGGTGAGTTCTGCTTCCAATAGACTCATGTAGTGGTAGAGGCCAAGTCCGGTATGAGGGCTAACGGGAACTAGTTTTGCATCCGTGGCTGCTGTCCATGTTTGGGATGAGTATCGGCGAGTTATGGGATTTGAAGGCGCTTTCGGAACACTGTAAGAAGACCGGGAGGTATACCTTCCTGCTGACGTCGGCGCCGTTGAATATCCCGGGGCTTGTGGGGTCGCCGCCAAATGCGCTGGCGATCTTCTGAAGGGACTTTTGCTTGATAGAGCATCTCCAGGGGTGACATCGAGCTATACATCACCCACCGTAAGCCCAGCATGGCAGTTTCTGCTCCAGCGCCAGGCCAAAAGCTTGAGCAATTGTACTGCCCAAAGGTATGCAATAAACGGGTCGATAGTACTCGGCCTATTATCCTGATATCGTACACTTGGGGCTTCTTTGCCGCTCGCCCTTCGCTCCACAACTTTCAATAGCTCTCGCAACGCCTGCTCCTCCTCCTTATCACGCATCTGAAAATAGTACGTCGTACGCCCTTCCCAGTACGAAATCGTGACCCCTCTTCATCTCCCTATCTTTACCCGCAACATACACCACCCACTCACCACTCCCAACAATCCACTGGGTCGGCCCAATCAGTCAAACATGCAATACCTATCAAGCCCCGATTTCCTCAAGAGCGGACCCCAATTGCCGCGCCCGAGAGTGAGCCGTGTAAGACGAGGTAGCCCTGTGCTGAACCGCCAGAAGACAGCGTGGCACCGGAGATTCAACTCTTTGATTTACATCTTACGGTGCATATTGCGTCGAGTGCGTCGAACGAGGTGTTCATGACGGCGCGGCGGAATCTGGTCGTCTCGGCGATGCCTTCAGCCCACCAGCTTGAAGGGTCCTGTCCTGTACACGGGCGCGAGAAGTTCACCTGGACTGCTCGGAGATCGAGAAGCGCGATACGCTCTCCGAAGTCTTTCTGAAGTGTTTGTCCAGGAAGGACTCAGGGCTATCATAGCTGTTTGGTAATTCTCCTCTCTCTCTCTCTCTCTCTCTCTCTCTCTCTCTCTCTCTCTCTCTCTCTCTCTCT